CATTCCTACTAGCCAAGCTTCGTTGACAAATATCGGAGTCTCTGTATCCAGTGCATCGACAACATCGACAGCAGCACCCGGATCGCTGTTCTCTCAGAGCTCTTCTAGTACGATCTCTCCCGTTGTCATCCAGTCAACGGTATCGACAACAACACCCGGGCCACTGGCATCCCAGAACTCTCCTAGCGCAATCTCTTCCGCTGCCATTTCTGTATCTTCGATCAGTATTCCTCAAGTTTCGCCAAGTCAAGCTAGCACCTTGTCTTCGATCAGCTCTAGCATCGCCTTGTCAAGCTCATCTTTTGCTACAGCGGCTCCGAGCTCGGCTGCCACAACTGGCTATGTTGCTAATGTCGGCATTGGCGATACCAGTGTACAGGTCATCCAAACCGCTGGCGGCAGCAATCTGGCAAATATCGGTGCTGGCTCGATTGCTTCGACCCAAGTCTCTGCTAGTGCTGCAAATCCTGTCACCGCTGTCGTGGGCTCGGTTGTTGGTAGTTCTGGTACCACAGTGGTTGTGTCAGCTTCTCAAAATGCATCAAGTGCTTCAAGCACTGCTCAGAAGATTCCGACTACCACTGATGTTGCAAGCGTGTCAATAATCCTTCCTCAGTCAAGCAGCGCAGCAGGTCAGGTCACTTCCTTGAGCAGCATGACTCCAAGCGCTACGGTTCCGGTCAGTAGTATTTTGAGCTCTCCAGTAAGCTCTATACCATCTGCTGCTACTAGCGTCGCGGTCGTCAGTCCAGTCATAAGTGCCAGCTCAGTGGTCCAAAGTACTTCGACTAGCTCGAGCATCGGATCTCCTGGGATGTCAGCAGCTCAAGTGAGCAGCAATTCAGCAAGCCAAGTTTTACCTTCCTCGAATGTTGCAGTCGTGGCTGGTAGCCAGTCCAGCTCTATATCCGTTGTTCCATCTGTAGTAGTCAGTGGTGCTACGAGCGGATCATCGGTTCTTGCTCAGTCGAGCAACGCAGCAAGTCAGGTCGCTTCGTCACTATTGAGCACTACACCCTCAAGCGCTGCAACTCCGGTCAGTAGTGGCGTGGTCTCTCCGATAAGCTCCGTCCAATCCGCCATCACTAGCGTTGCGGTCGTCAGTCCAGTCATAAGTGCCAGCTCGACCGTCCAAAGCACGCCAACTAGCTTGGTCTTTGTACCTGTTGTGACCCCAGCAACTCCGGTGAGCAGCGTTTCATCAAGCCAGATCTCATCATCTTCGAGCATTGCAGCCGTGCCTATCAGTGCCTCCAGCTCCACGCCCATCATTGCAATCACGCCGACAACTAGTATTGCGGTAGTAAACGGCATCACGAGTAATCTTCCAGCATCTCAAGTTGCTTCGACCAGCTCGGTAGTTGTACCTATTGCGACGTCGACGGTCCAAGTGAGCAGCAATGTACTGGGCCAGATTTCTTCATCCTCGAGTATTGCAGTCGTGGTAAGTGGTGCTTCCAGCTCAATACCCGTCATCCTGTCTACGCCCACCACCAGCCTCGCTATAGTCAACAGTGCTACGAGCAGCCTTCCAGCATCTCAAGCTTCTTCGCTTACTTCGAATGCTGTATCTTTGGCGTCTTCTCTAGGATCTGCGAGCAGTGCACTCAGCCAGGTTCTTCCGACCTCTGCATTCGTTATCACAACTTCAATCATTCCGTCATCTACGTCCAGTGTCATACTCTCGGTACTCCCATCATCCACATCGAGTGTCATTCCCCCGGTGGTCTCGTCCTCCAATATTTTGCCTTCCAGTTCTGTTATAGTAGCTGGTAGCTCAACGAGCCAGTCAATTTCTTATGCAGCTCCAGTCACCAGTAATGTAGTAGTCAGTGTGGCCACAGTCACCTCCGTTACACCTCAGAGCACTTCTGCTGCCATAGGCCCCGGCTCTTTGACAACAACGTCCCAGCCTGTTTCAGTCAGCCAAGTTGTTCCGGCTTCTAGCTCAAACTTGGTGTCGTCGAGTGTTGTGGTTATACCCAGCAGTTCCTTAGCGACATCTGCCGCCCGTATTCTCTCGAGCAGCTCCATAGTATCGTCGGCCGCACCGATGCCGTCAAGCAGTTCAGTAGTATCGTCCACTGCTACAGTCGTTCCGAGCAGTTCCGTGGCATCAGCCACCGCTCCTGTCGCCTCGAGCGCTTCAAAGGCTTCGTCCGCTGCCTCCGTAGCTCCAAGCACCTCAATCGCACCGAGCACCTCGATAGCACCATCAGCTACCTCGATCGCTCCTGTTTCCTCACCGGTCATCACCACAGCAGCCAGTGTGATCAAGTCTAGCGTCACCACCTATGCGACTTCGGTCAGCTGTGGTAGCAGCAAAGCCGTGCTCGGCGCCCTTGGTGTCATCAGTGTGATTGGAGGTAATTCGTGTACCACGTATCTTTTGGCGTTGGGCAAGAGGGAGGAACCTACTACCATGCAGACGGTATATGGATCTGTTTTGAGGGTGGCTGATGTGTCCTAAGATGGGTATATGTGGTATACGTCATGTTCGTAGTGTATCTTTCCTTTTGTAACATGTGTTGTGGTTTTGTAGTAGGGTAGTAGTGATAATGCTCAATCCGGAATTGATGATTTCATTTGTTCCATTCACCTCGTGCTCTCAGTCTAGGTCTGTTATGTGCTTCTATTTGTCCCTTGATGTGGAAGGTTGAAAACACATTAGATAGCAGGCCGATCAATCGATTGTGTTCGCCGGAACCACGAAGACGAAATGTGTTTCATTGCATCCAGAACTAATTTCGTCATGGTCTTTGAGTTTTCCCTCACTGATTTCTTCACAACCTAAGGAAGAGTAAGCCATTAGATATTCCACCACGTTCTGCTCTCAGGTCCTTGCTCGCTTGTCTAGAAGATTGACATGGAAGGGTTGCTGCCGCTGGGCAAACACCCAGACCGTTTTGATGGAGCAGGGTCGCCCTCGAGACTTTTCATACTCGAATATTTTGGATGTTTAGCAACTTACATGGGGGGGGGGCAAGGTATAGGCCAAGATATGTTTTATATGTTAGCAGCGATTTAATTCATAGCTCATCCCTTCTCTTAGCATGGTATGCGATAGTCAGTGTGTAAATACCTTCTAACTAGCCTTGTTCTCCAGAAAAATACTGCTTGCAATCGATCATCGCTTGTGAGGTTCTTAGGAGAATACCCAATGAAGCTGTAAGATTGCTGAAACTGCAGATGGAGAGATCGGTGTCTATGACATGTTACTCTTGATGAATGCATCCGACAGTGAGAGTGGTCAAGGCTTGCACAGGACCTCCTGTTTCGAAGCTTTCCGGCAACGCGAAGCAAAGTGATCGATCGTCGGATGTTAGGTATGTGAGAGGAGACATAATACTCCTGCTGCAGGACGTGTGTTACTGTCGCGAGTGTAATTTTCGAGAGATTCCCTGGTCTCAATAAGATTCAAGATGTGTGTTGATTGACAGACCAGCTTCTTTCATTCTGTTGCTTAGTTCGGGAAGTCGAAGAGCTGACCCATAGTTGGGTCTCAAGCAGTGATGGACACACGCGAATTATCTCTTGCATGCTCAACTCTTAGTGACAGGCATCTTGGATAGGTATCTCGCGAGCAGTTGATAAGGGCAGAGCTGTTGTGACGTAAGAGTCGGTAGAAAGGACTGCTCAACTCGAGACTGTCATCCTAGCTGACAAACAATCACTTGGCTGGTAATATCAATCTACTCAAGCAAATAGCTGGAAGTCAATGATGAAAAAAGTGATGCCTTGGCATTTAGGGCACAGCGGAATCTGTTGGTCTCTGTATTCCAGTCTCACGGGCCGCGGAAGAGTAGCGGACGTGCCGGAACATGCAGAGGAAGACTCGGGATACGGATAATGGCGGCTCTTCGTCTTTGTATCCACCGGTACTTTTCGGCGTCGGGTTCAAGACGATCTTGTGCCTGAGGCAAGTCGATGAGCGGGCTGACGGCAGAGACAGAGTTTTACCAAGAGCAGATGAAAGAAAGAAAAAGGAGATTGGGTTAGCATCAGGGCAAAAAATAGGAGACTCATGACTCTTTCAGATGTTAGAGGGCTGGACAGAAAGACGGACTCGATCACGGTGATGAGAGAGAATCGCTCGATCGTCAAGTCAAGTTGAGCGACGAGAAGAGAGTCATCGTTGCCAAGGCCAAGAATTATGGGGGACGATTGGTTATGGAGCCGCATGTGGCTTGACAGGATGAGAGCGGAAAGTTTGGAGAGCGATTCAGCGAAGTGCGGAGGGTGATGATTGGAGTGCACCGTAGGGCAAGGATTCCAAGATTTGGGAGGTTGATGGACAAGTTGAAAGTCGGTGACAGAGATGGAGAATGGACGGCCCAATTGCAATGTCTAGCGGGACAGTTGTGGCACTGCAGGTGCGACGTGGGTGGTTTGCGACTGCCCATCATCTTTTGGCAGACTGACGTAGTGGTTTGAAGCAGGGAAACGCGGCTGCAGCACGGAGTGGACGGCCGACCACCATTCCACACAAAGCAAACAACGAGACGAAACAGCACGCAGGATTCAGGAATCAAGCAGGCCGAGAACAAGGAGGCGGTGTAGTCAAATGTCTGCGGTAGTGTGAAGTCGGGAATTGGGAGAGAAACAGGAAACATGGTGATCGATGGTTGTGGAAGGAAGGTGACGGATCATGATGGACGGGTGGCTTGACCGCACGCGCCACAGGTGGGTGGATCGAAAGCTTTGGAGAGAGAGAGAGAGAGAGAGAGCGCGCGACCGAGTGAAGATCAGTTGCTGCTTTTCGTTTCTTCAGACATACATCATCGTCGGCCAGCCATTGTAACTTGGACTGTCTTGGCCTGTTCCTCTCACCTCCAAACCTCATTTCTGAAACCTCGTGTTTCAACCCATGAGCATTCCCACTCGACGACTCTGAGTCCCAACTCCCCGTCCTCTCGCCCCGCGTCCCTCTTTGCCCAGTCTGCCACACGCACACAACCGTCAGACACAGCCTGGCACACAGAGCCCATTCCACTTCGACCATGTCGACTCCTTCAGAAGACTCGGGCAGTCCGCTGCAGTCGCCCTCGTCGACAGCCTCTCCACCAGAGTCTCCCGAGTCGAGCCGTCCTCAGATGCCGCCACATTCCGTCACTTCACCTCCCCTCTCGTCCGCCGCCAACATGACCATGTCGTCCCAGCCTCTTGGTAACGTCAATGCTGCCAGACGCCCTGCTCCCACCGTCAGCACTCTCGGTCGTGGAGGTGCCGTCAATCCAGACATTCTCGCCAGAATGAAGGCCTTCCACTTGAACAGACAAGGTCCTGCTGCCCAAGGTCGCGCTCCTCCCACCACTCCTGGTGCTACCACTCCAGGCCCCGCTGGCCCGTCTCAGACCGGCCCTCAAATGCCCCAAATGCCTGGTGGCCTTCCCGCTAACTTCCGTCTGCCGCCCGGTGTTCCCGGCGCTCGTCCCGGCGCCCCTCCAAGTTTCGCTTCGTCTCCCAATGTAGGCGGCGCCGGCAGAGGTCCTTCTCTTGCCGAGAAGCGTGGTCTGAAAATGCCCGGCGGTCTCCCTGGCGCTCCCCCAGCCGCTGGCGGCAGACAAAAACCTAAGATGACTTTGTCAGCCATGGGCGGTGGTGCAAATGGCGATGCTCCTCCACCCAAGCAAGAGTCCGCCATGGACAGATATGCCGAATACATCGACAAGGAAACCGGCAGTCTCAAATTCAAGGGCAAAGCCGTCCTCAACAGCAAAGGAGTCCAGTTCTCGTCAGGTCAATCTTTCCAGATCTCGCTCGACGATGTGAAAACGCTTGATGAGCTGGGCAAAGGAAACTACGGTACAGTCTACAAGGTCCGCCATACCAAGCCCCAGATGCGCAAGGTCGGTCAAGGTTTGTCTGGAAACAAGTCCGCCCCTGGTGAGGTAGAAGATGAGGCCTCCGCTGCTCGTGGAAACACAACAGGTATCGTCATGGCCATGAAGGAGATGCGTCTTGAGCTTGAAGACTCCAAGTTTGCGACCATCATCATGGAACTCGACGTCCTGCATCGTTGCGCTTCGCCCTTCATTGTCGATTTCTACGGTGCCTTCTTCCAGGAAGGAGCCGTCTACATCTGCATGGAGTTCATGGACGGCGGTTCTATGGATAAGCTCTACGGTGACGGTGTGCCTGAAAATGTCCTCCGCAAGGTTACTCTCGCGACAACGCGCGGTCTCAAATCCCTCAAAGACGAACACAACATCATCCACCGTGACGTCAAGCCAACGAATATCCTGGTCAACACTGCTGGTGCAATCAAGATTTGCGATTTCGGTGTCAGTGGAAATCTGGTTGCTTCTATCGCAAAGACAAATATCGGATGTCAGTCATACATGGCTCCCGAACGTATCAGCTCTGGTGGAGTCGCTCAAGCTGGTGCCAACCCTGGTGGCGGTACCTACAGCGTTCAAAGCGATATCTGGAGTTTGGGCTTGACCATCATCGAATGCGCCATGGGCAGATACCCCTACCCACCCGAGACATACGACAACATCTTCAGTCAGCTGAGTGTGAGTATTAATCATGTGGACTCAGGCAACCATATGCTGACTTTTATACCAGGCCATTGTCGACGGACAGCCCCCAGATCTTCCCACCGGACAATTCAGCGACGCGGCACGCAACTTTGTTGCAGGATGTTTGAACAAGATCCCCAAGCTTCGACCTACATATGCCATGCTTCTCCAGCACGCATGGCTCGCTCCGGAGTCAAAACCCGAGGCCATTGCCGAAGAAGACGAAGAAGCTGCCGAAGCCGAGGAGGCGGCGGCAGCAGCACAAGGAGAAGGCAACGGTACGTCTGAGGGCGATGCCGAGGCAGGATCGAACCCGCAAGAGGTGCCCGAGTCGGAGAGATGGGTCGACCGCGAGGTTGGTGAATGGGTGCGCGGACAAATCGAGAAGAAGAGAAACGGTACGCTGGGCAAGAAGGCGAAGCCTGCACTCCACGCGGCTCCGCTCGATGCCACATCGAGTACGCAATCCAACAAAGGGGCCGTAGCAGTATAAGATATGGAAATGCCACGAAGCAACAGATACGAAAGAGAAGTCGAGCACAAGCACACGGATAGAATTGTGTCAAGAAGAAACGAGGACAGAGAGGAACGGGGATTATCAGGCATGAGAATCAGCAACAAGGGATATTTCCTTTACTTTCTGTCTGGTGGCAGCATAGGCAGACGAGGTCTGCAGAGACGGCGACAAGATGTACATTTCGCATAGATGATAACGGCCATGACAAGCAAGAAAGAGAAACAGAATCCAAACGCGTGACCATGGATGTTGCGCACGGGCCGGTTGGGGTGCCCAACTCTTGTCCAACTCTTCCCAACAGCGCGGCGCGTGTCAAAACGTCTCTTGCAGCGCCCTGAGCCTCGCAGTTGACAACTACCCAAACACATTCGCAACCACCACCACCACCACCCATCAAGGTCCCTTTTCCAGAAACTCCTTCTTTCCGCCATGCCACCGCAACAAGCGTGGGCATCCCGCCAATTCCAAGACTGCGATTCGGATGGAAAATCACGCGCCGTCCAATGCAAATGGTGCATAGAGAAAAAAGTCGCCTACAACAGCACTTCGCGCAAGACTTCGCACCTTAAGCAATGCGTCGCCTTCAACGAACACGTCGTACAGCTTGTCGAGGCTGAGAATGCAGGTGGATACCTCTGCAGGGAACTCGAACAGATGCCTGCTGTTGTCTTGGAAGCCGTACTCGACCAGACTGGCAGCAGGAGACTGCAACAAGGCCATGCTGGACAAGGCGCTGTGGGCATGGGTCCTGTGAATGGCAATCTCGGTGTCCAAGCTGCTGTGCTGTTTGGTAATGCCAACCTCGGTGCCCCTAGGTTGAATCAAGTCAATGACACACCTCGCTCCGAGCGACCTACGCCTTCGTCTGCCCTTCGCGCCGGCGCAAACTCCATCTCTCACGCTTCGACTCCGTCTACTGTGCCACAACGCGGTGCAACAGCGAACAACTTCAACCGCGCTCAGATTGACAGAGCTTTTGCTTCTGCTCTGAATCATCCTTCGACTACATCCCCTGCGCTGCAAACCCACCAGACTCCCAATCAATCTGCCATGCAACCACCCAATGGTCCAGATGTGTTGACCCTACTCGGCTCTTTCAACTCCAACACAGACCCACGCATCTCGGATGCATTGCGTCTGCTGGACAAAGACACGCGAGTGAGGATTGCAAAAGAGTTGTTGGATGAGGCATACGATGGTGTTAAAAGAGCTGTGGACAATTATATTGAGAAGCAGCAGTACCTCAATGCTATCCTTGAGGATGGTGCTGAGTTGGGTGCTGATGAGCAGGGGCGTTAGAAGGGTAGGGAAGAGAAGCAATGCAATGGTAAGATTGAGGAAGAGAAGGAAGAGGAGGCACTTGTGCTTAATGATATCCATGAGGTTCTATGTTTATATTGCTCACAAAAAGGTGTGTTGCTAGATTGTAGTTGCTCAAAAATAATCAAATAGATCGAACACGACGAGTGTCTTTATGTATCGTACGATGAGTGTCTAAGCACTATAACCATGGGGGACCTTCGATGCGCTCGATTCCAGCTGCTACAAGATGTCATTCAAGTGCTTGTGTGCTTTTGCATTGTTCTACGATATGAGGTCGAACAGGGTCATCCGCTTTTGACTTAGAGAAGGAAGTCATGGCTTCTGGGATCTCACCTTCTTTGATACAAAGCTACCTAGTATGACTCCCCCTTGACACGCTCGAAATGATACTCACAATTCTCTGTCGAGATCAAGAATAACTGCTAATGGTTCCCTTGACGATTCAGTGAGGTTTTTTTTTTGCTTACGATGTTCTGGGTAAGGCCTGGTATAGTATGCATCTCATCGACCACGAACTTGATGGGTACCCTCCAGCACTTTGATCGAGAAATACACTTGATAATAGAGAGGGTCTTGCTATGGATTACACATGTAAACGACAAGAATGAGTGCAAGGTAGAGTGCACTCGGCTCCACAGCCCCTCCTTCTGCAAAATTCGGCTTTTTCTCGTTTTTTTTTTTTTCACCACAACCATTTCTTCCACACTTTCAGAATTTCTTATCAGACATTCCACGTCAAGAAACAATCTAAGTGCTCGTAAGCACTCAAATCGCCGCGCAGCGCCGCCTCGGCCACAGCGGAATTGATGAAAGTGGAAGACGGAGGGTCAATATGATCCTGCCTAACCTCTCCCGACCTTCCCCTGGTCCCTTCAGCTCATCTGCAGGATCATATTGGCCCTCCGTCTTCCACTTCCATCAATTCCGCTGTGGCCGAGTGGTTAAGGCGTCAGACTTGAATGTTTATCAGCAACCGATATCTGATTCCCTAGGGAGCACAGGTTCGAACCCTGTCGGCGGAGACATCTTTTTGCATCATCCTCGACTTTCTGGCACTCTTCTCGAGCTGCGTGAGGTGTTGGAAGTGTTTTGATCGAGCGGGGAAGATGGTAGACCGCAAAAAGGCGAGGGTTTCTGAGTCAAAGCCGCAAACCTTCGCAGATTTGACGTGGAAAACTTCACGTCGAGTTACACATCATCTACGTAGCAGCCCGACACTCGAGGAAGCAGTGACATCGAGCTATGTCGAGTATTCGATGGAGTGGGCTCGAAGTTGGCGGTGTGATTTGACGCAACGCCTTCAAGATGATTTGTGCGCCCGCTTGCACTCGACACTTGTTACTCGACCTCGAGATAGCGAACAGCCATATCAAGGACGGCAAGATAACTCGGCTATCTGGTCTGTTTGTCTGCCCATTTCAAAGTTGTCGGCGATACGTGGCCAGATCAATGTTCAGGCTTCAGCTCCCACAACGTACACACGTCTAGGCTTCCATTGCTTGACGGCCACAAAGCAACGACGAACTAGAGTCGCAAGCCCTTCGCTGGTCGACAACCAAACCCAGTCGACCCGACAGCTCGTTTTGGCAAACCACAGGACCACATGGGCATGGGCTATTCTACCCCGCCGTGCATCCCGCCTCCACAAAACGTACAGACCGCAGCTCTTATCATCAGCTGCAGTGGTGCAAAAGATAAGCTTCTGTCCAGAGGAACTGAAACAGCCTCCTTGACGTTTGACGTCTGATAGGTGTGGTCGAGATACCAACCAAAACAGGACAGTATTCTGACCACTTTGCGCTCGGTAAATCCCTCCGACCACAGAACTAGACCTAGATTGGCGTATCTTACCGGTCCGTACATGGGCTTTTGCTGAATCGCGTCTACTGATAAGTCCAACTTTTGGGACCACATGATAGGCGCTGTAGGCTGGCAGCATATCAGATGTATCGCTTACTGCAGCGATAGGATAGGTACTAAGCATGGAGGGGTCGGTCAATATACAAAGGTTGGTCGCTGGTGTGACATTTTCTTTGTGTCGCTTTTTTCTCGTTCTGCACAACAATCATGTCTGAAGATCTCTACAAGGCCTCATCGTCTACAATGGCGGACGAGAAAGGTCTCTCTCATGCGCATACTGCCTCGGATAATGGTGTGGGAGAGATCCATGATCTTACTCAGCTCGGTTACACGCCAGAATTGACGAGGAATAGATCCATGCTCACGCTGTTGTTCCAATGTCTTGCTATTGCTGCTATTCGTAAGTATATACACTGCTGTCATGTTATGACCAGACACTGACTCATCGCGCACAGCATATGGAGAAGGCAGTCCACTTATGAGTGCCATCTACGGCGGCGGCCAACTGTCTATCTTCGTCGGCTGGATAGTTGTGTGTGTCCTCGATGAGTACGCCTTACCGATCCCTGGTCTTGCTTCTACATCTCAACACATGCTAACGTTCTCATCGCAGATGTATCGCCCTCTCCCTCGGCGAACTCGCCTCCCGCTATCCAACCTCCGCCGGCCCCTACTACTGGACCTTCCAACTCTCCTCTCCCAAATCCCGCAAGATTCTCTCCTTCATCAACGCCTGGACATGGCTGATCGGCAACTGGACAATCACGCTGTCTGTCAACTTTGGCTTCGCATCCTTGATCGCAGGAGCAGTGGGGATGTACCACCCAGACTACGCAATGACGAACTGGGAACTCCTCTTGATCTTCTACGCCTTGGTCATCGCTACACTTTTCATCTGCGCACTGGGAAATAAATTCTTGCCCATGGTTGATACAATCTGTGCTGCTTTTACTGCCATCTCCATCATCATCATCTTGATTGCGTTGGCCAGCAAAGCAGATGCCGGACGCCATTCTGCAGCTTATGCGCTGTCTCACTACGATAAATCTTTCTCTGGATACGGCAACTTTACTTTTTTCATCGGATTGCTACCTGCTGCGTATTGTTTTTCTGCTTTGGGCATGATTGCCTCGATGGCTGAGGAATGCGATAACCCTTCTGTCAAAGTGCCTAGAGCAATCGCTCTGTGTGTTCCCGTCGGTGGCATTGCTGGCTTGTTCTTCGTCATCCCGATTTGTGTGTTACTACCCAATCTGGCTGATATTGTGGAAGCACCTGCTGCTCAAGCTTTGCCCTTTATTTTTCATAGAGTCATGGGATCACCGGGAGGTGGCTTGGGACTGACATTCTTGGTGCTGATCATCACGCTATTTTGCAGCATCAGCATCACTACTGCTGCAAGCAGATGCACATGGGCTGCTGCGCGCGACCATGCGATACCCTTCTCCAACACTTTTGCTTCTGTCAACACGAAGTTGGGTGTTCCTCTCAACGCTCTCTTACTTGTCACGCTCTTGCAACTGTTGCTGGGGCTCATCAACCTAGGTTCAACCTCAGCCTTTACAGCCTTCGTCTCCGTCGGCGTCATCGCCCTCGCCATCTCCTACGCCATACCCATCGCTCTGTCTCTACTCAACCGCCGCAAACAAATCGCCACCGCAAACTGGAAGATGAGTAATGCGATTGGCTACGTTGTTAATATTGTAGCGGTGGCTTGGATTGGGTTCGAGTTGATTTTGTTTTCCATGCCTGGCGCGTTGCCGGTCACGGAAGTGTCGATGAATTATGCTAGTGTGGTGCTTTTTGGATTTTTGGGTATGGCTGGAGTGTTTTATGCTTGTTGGGCTAGGAAGGTGTACAAGGGGCCTCCTGAGAGTGATGCTATCGAGTAAAGGGAGGATTGCCTGTAGTTCTAGTATACCGGATATATCAACACAATCACCGAAACCATTTATCAAAGTACGACTCAAAACATCCACAGCAATGCAATTGCGTCTACTCAACAATTTCAAAGGAGATTTTAAATTAAAAACACTCTAGTTATATATAGTTTTATAACATTACGAATAAAAGCGGTGCAAGATTCTCAAAGCTCCCAAACAAATGAAAAGTAGAACACGAAAAAAGCTCGGTCAACAAGCTTAGTAGATCATGTCGGTGAGAGCACCAGGAGGCAGATCATCCAGCTTCATGACGGGTGCCTTGGTCTGAAGAGGGGGAAGCTCGGCTCTTCTGACCTTTCTTCTGCGTCTTCTGCAAGCGCGGACTGCAGAAGATGCTGTCGAGGTGGCTGCTGCTGAAGAAGTAGATGATGCCAAAGAAGAGCTTGCGGCTGCCGAGGAGGTCGAGGAAGAGGACGAAACTGTTGACGAAGAGGGGGAGGCTGACGAGGAAGTAGAGGAAGCGGTAGAGCTTGGCTTGGTGGAGCTGCTGCTCGATGCTGCCGAAGAGGACGACTTGGACGCGGATGAAGAGGTGGTGAGTCTGACCGAAGTGGAGCTTGTAGTGGGCTTGACAGAAGTCGAGCTAGTGGTTGGCTTGACCGAAGTCGAACTGGTGGTAGGCTTGACCGAAGTCGAACTGGTGGTAGGCTTGACAGAGGAAGAAGTGCTGTCGGAAGGTGTGAGTGTGCTGGTTGAGGAGATTGAAGTGGATGAAGCGGCAGCAGAAGACGGCGAGCTTAGAGCAGAGCTCGTAGATGCAGATGAAGATTGCGAGGATGACGATACGAAAGTGGATGGGGAGGATGATGATGATAGGGCAGTGGATGATGAAGATGTAGAAGATGCAGCGGCGCTCGAGGGAGCGGGAGATGATGAAGAAAGTACGAAAGATGAGGAAGAGGAAGGAAGGGGAAGGGATGGGGAAGACGATGAGAAGGTGGGAAACGAGGAAGATGATGACGACGATATCGTCGACAAGGCAGCAGAGCTAGCGTTCGACGATGCCGAAGTAGCAGCAGCAGCCAGGCTGACACTAGAAGTGCTTGAGGTCGAGACACTCGAACCACTACTGCTGCTGCTACTAACGCTGGTGCTCAATGCAGATGAGCTGTTACTCGACGATGCCGCACTGCTAACCATCGTCGAGCTACTGGCTGCCGCCGAGCTAGTGGCAACTGGCAAGCTACTGCTCGACTGAGCAGAGGTAGCAGCGGCAGACGCACCATCGCTGGAACTTGACAGGGAGCTCGATGAGGGCAGATTGATAGACAAAGGCAGTGCAACTTGTGAGGAAGTCGGTGCTGCAGGGACGGATATGCTAAGAAGGCTAGAGGACGAAAGGGCTACTGACGAGATAGTGGAAGATGGCTTTACTGATGAGGCAGTAGAGGATGTCTTCACTGGAGAGGCAGTAGAAGATGGCTTCACAGACGTGGATGTAGCCTTTGACGAAGTGCTGCTAATCTTCGAGGAAGACGGAGTTGAGCTGAGCTTCTGTTGATTCTGTTAGGACAGAGTTATTTCTTGGCTTGCTCGATATTGCTTACTGTTGAGCTCGAACTGGAAGAAGTGATCTTGCTGCTGCTAGAAACAGCTTTACTTGTCGATGGGACCTTGGTGCTGCTAGAAGTGGCTTTGCTTGAGGTCGTCAAGGTAGACACGGGCTTGGCAATCGTGTTGGGCTTGAGAGATGACGAGGATGAGGTTTTCTTCGAGCTGGATGAGACTGGCTTGCTCGTCGACTTGGCTGTGGTCTTTGCAGATGAGGTCGAGGTAGGCTTCTTGGATGAGGACGTGACTGTTGATTTCTGCGTGGTCACCAGCTTGACCTGGGTCTTTAGAGTTGTCTTGGCCGTAGTCTTCTTTGTGGAGGACGACTTCTTGGTCGATGATGATTTCTTCGTTGAAGATGATTTCTTAGTCGAGGTCGTCTTGTGCGTAGAGCTCGAATGCTTTGTGCTGGTGCTGGTCACGGCTCTGTCCACAAGCTCGACATTGCAGTATCCAGATTCCGGGTCGCACTTGGCAGCGCGATCAATTCCAGTGGTATCAGCGGGTGATACATTACTAGCCACTGCTGAAACCAGCAGCAGGGCCAAGGCAGAGATGGAAGAGATGTTGCGCATCTTGAACGAAGGTTTGCACAAACGTAGAAAAGATTGATAGCAAGCACTGAGCAGAAACAAGATGGAGAGAATGGTCGAATATCTACTTCAGCATCCCTGTACGCCTCCATACAAGCCTCTATAATGTCGACGTTGGAGAAACGGTTTGAATCGATAGACCGGCTAGACAACGAGTCGGTCTGGCCGAAGACCATCTCAAGACCTACCAATGACATTCCTTCTCTTGATTCGCAGAAGTGTATATTTGGGTACAACATCTAGCTTCTTACAAAGTGCCATCGTAATAGATGTGGTGCATGGCATTATCGAGCGCAACACTAACAGAGAGTAGTAATATCGCGTAAATTCGCATGCTTGCGTCGGTAGGCGAAAACCGTTGAGCTGGGAGTTAGGGGTGATGCAGAGGCGTCGCGGTACATCTTCAACCGAAGATTCCCCATCGCGTGGTCTGTCTGAGGCAACATAACGGTTCTCTACCTTCTAACGATTATTGACGACGAATGTGTCTTGCCCCATGGCACAGAATGTTCGAAAACACATGTCTAGATCAGAAAGACCGCAGTGTTCGCTCAATCTGACCTTCTGGCTTGCGGACGCGGCACGGCAGAGCAGCATTGATATAACGATTCTGCGAGATCTCGACGTCGCAACTGCCATGTCTGCGTCGTCAAAATTGCATCGTCATGACACACACGTGTGTTAAGGTTGGCTGACCGCTGAGTGTCAGCTTGATGTCAACGATATTTTTCAGCCATGGAAAACTCTTGTCTTTGACATTTGGAAAGTTATGCTTTTTGGAGAGGTGTCTTTAGCGAGAATCGATCAGAACAATAGTGCTTGTCGACCCCAGAACCGGATGGATGGGCGACATCTCGGTACTCGTGCAAGACATTTGCAGTGCTTGTTGCGCTGTTGAGTTCATCGACAATAAAAAACGAACTCTGTGACTTGGTGAGCCTTGCTTTGCAAACTTGGAGATTCAATATCCACTGGCCGAAGTGAGTATGGATTGATTGGACACATGCAGACGAGGCATCCTCACCAGAAGGCAGTACTACGAATGACAGAGATAGTATAAAGGTTCAGTAGAACCAGAGTAACCTGCTCCGAAACACAAGTTCAGAGCCTTGCACAATCGTTAGAGCCTTGTAATTAAATCATGCAATCGTTGAGTTATTTTGACTGTCTGCATGTGTCTTGAAGCACCCTGTGCCGATGGCTTCCCAGTCAACGAGGATCTTGAATATGTGGTTCAACGGATAGCAATCGTAAAGAGAACACCTTGTCGTGCATCGAAGACAACAGTCGTGCCCGTCAAGCAACTTTGCTGTTCGGACGTTTGTCGAAACCGACAGCTTGTCTTCAATTGAAAATTGGCAATGCACTCTTGTAGGTGATGGTAAAACGTACTCTGCGGCCTCTCTTAAGAACTTTCGCGCTGGAACTCAGCTAGCAGCTGGTCGAAGGGAGCGCTTCTGCCAGGCACAGCACGCTTTGCACTCATACCATGGCGCGTGCAAGCTAGACTGCGGGCGCATTGATTACCGCTGGCGAGAGTAACGCTACATTGCTTTTCGATATCGACCGGAGCCTTCGGTCGACGGACAATCATCCGTTCGGAGTCGGCTTCGATATTATTCATGGTCTCAGAGCGATTTGTTCTGCCTTGTGAAGAGTCGGTCGATGAAGATGAAAGTGCTAAAGATCAAATGGTAGGCTTGGGTGCAAGTAGTGCCAAGACCGACGTTCCCAACATCTAGACGTCCTGTCTCGACAACAATCCATCGCCATCAACCAATGTGACCCAGTATCATTGCAATGCAGAGCAGAAAGCATCAGGTAGGGGATTGAACGTCTCTGATCGTTCTCAAGTAAGGCCCAGTCGAGGAATGTAAGTTTTAGCATCTATGTATTGTCATATGGAAAAAGATCGGATATCGCTTTTGGCAACATTTTCTTTCTTTCGTTATGGGCAGCAAATCTCTATCTACAAAACATTTCCTTTATGCTACTTTATGCTTCATTAGCTGCGTTTTCAATTCATGCTTCGAGGATTTTCTTGACAGTTTCTGCTCTCAAACCAACAACGATTTTTCTCTATACCTCCATATCTTTACGCCTGCTCATCCCTATATTCTGTTACAAGCACCCCCATGATCTAATCACCTGGAGGACATGCTTCCGTCTTGCTAGGGCCGGCTAGGCTTAGGTTGCGTCAAAGTGAGGCATTTTCAATCGGGTTCGCCTAAGCTTCACCGCACGCTCCCTGCTTGAGGTACACCTTGATCCGCGAGGATGTTGTGAGTCCGCAGCAGCTGGTGGATCTCGTCTATAATTGCCAGGTGGTCTGTGTTCGCAGACCAACCTTTGGCCTTATGAACTTATCTGGCAGCAATTTTCTCCAACAATTGGTTGGCTGGCGTAGTGGTCGTAAGTTACTCATCATCTTCAACCACCTTGAACTAGTACTAATCAGGCATGTTTAGATCGCGTCTCCTTTACATTCTGCATGTTCTACGGAGAAGGTCGTGGGTTCGACCCCCACGCCGATCATCCTTTTGTCGATACTGGTTCCATCCCAGCTCGACAATTTTGCAGAATATGCAGGAGACGCAATCTAAACAATGCCTGATTAGTGCTAGTTCAAGGTGGTTGAAGATGATGAGTAACAGCGTGGGGCAACCCCACGCTGGTGATGCTTTATCCACAAAATTTGATAAGGGCATTCGCATATATCAAAACATCTTGCTTACAAGTAACGCTGCTTGAAGATCCTACAGCAGACCCATGGTTTGGTTCCGTTCACGTCAGAGTTGTAGCAGGATAGAGTGCACACCTATGGACACTCTCTCAATCTTTCAAGGCTTCCATGAGACTTCTGTTACCTCTGTCTCCTTGATCACTGGCCATGCTACTCCAAATTGACCCAGCTCATGTCCTTTTGTCGAAGATTAAGCACCTTTCACCACATATGAGCCAGACATGTTTGATCTTCACGTCCTGCCGAAAGAAAGCTAACTCGTCAGCTCACAGACAGGCTTCGAAAAGACATGTGTTCCATTTGCTTACCGTAGCAGATTGAGGCCTAAGCCTTACCGTCTGAGCGATGTGACACTGGTCGAACCACAGGTCTTGAATCATGCTATATCTGCATAGTAGTCCTGCACGAATTTCTGCATCGAATTCATGGGGTCGTACACAATGGGTAGCGTGAAGCAAACACTGGCTTTCTGTCTCTGGAACAAAGTCTGATCTTTCGTTCCACGTTCAGCTGGAAGCGCCGTCAACAGATTATGTCTGATATCTTCTTTGTCTGCCTCTAATGATCGCGGTGGTACTATGTTCAGCCTGTCTTGGTTCCTTGGTCTTCAGGTTAGTGAAAGCTCTTTCAGCATAGCTGAATAAATTCGACAGAAGCTCCAAGTGACAGCCAGCAGTGAAGAATTTCCATGGCCTTCCCAAATATAAATACGGATGCTTTGGTCACGCTAATTCTCTCATCACATCGTCCTCTGCTTGACTTCCTAATATCCTACGCCAACCACTATGGATATTGATTCGCCCGACACACCCACCGGCCAGGTCCCTCAAGGTCAAGATGGCACTCCATCTTTGCAATCTCAAATCGGTAAGCTATTTTCACGTCAATTCTCCTCTAAACACCCAAGAAAGACGCCTTTGGCCAGAGCACGAATAGCACTTCCTCATTTCTGTCTTCTGTATCATTTCCGTTTTCCGCTTTGTGCATTTCTATAGCCCTACGTCTGGCCTATCTTTCACATGGGGAGGTCTGAAATGATGCGGGACTGCCTCTTCGTGTGCAAAGGTATGCCACGTTGATAGCTATAGAAATGCACAGTTCTTTCAGCGAACTCGCAGCTTCCACTGAGAGCCGAGGTTTCCTCTACTCTCCTTGGACTTGTCCGGCATTTACAGAGGACTGTGCGTTGTGATAGCGCGCTAATTTCCCTATCACAGAGACTGCCACCTTCTTCGACGACATTGTCGTCGTCCCTCTCTTAGAGGCTACCGCTTCTCAGCCCCCATCAGTCGCAATGATACGCAGCACTACCGAACAGCCTTCGGCTGCTGTCAGATTGACAAATATGACCACACGCCGTTCAAAGAGCTCGGATATGGACCAGCGTTCTATCCGGCGTCTAAACCTTACCAGATCTGGTGAACAACAGACCCCACAGCCCATCAGACAGGCACTCGATGAGCTGAGGTCTCGTGTGTTTACCCATATCCTTCAGCAACTCACATTGCGCAACATTCCCACCCATGGAATCGACCAAAGGTACCTGAACTGGTGTCTTCCCCGCCTGGTCGACCACAATCTCTGGGAGAGGATTATGGAAGACCTAATCCTTGTTACGCCTGCTGAACTCGAGCAAGTGCTGGATCTCCAGGATGTTGAACAGGTTTACTCTGGATCTCTTACAGAGTCTACTAGATTTTACATCCGTACTTTCGCCTTTACGGGCCAGGAGATACTCTAGGTGTTGTCCGAGCTCTCTCAGGATGGCTTCGACTGCAACAGAAAAGTCTATGGATGGACCGAAAGAGTCAGGAACCTCGCCCCCACCGTTCTCGTCTGCATCCGCTACGCGGGTATGTCTGGCTATGAACCATGGAAACGACATCTCGACGATCTCACCAAAGACGCCAATTCTTTCTCGCTGGCCTTCATCCAGAACACGCTCGTGACGTTCCCCGAGGTCGTCAAGAACGCGTTGATTCAAGAAGTGAGAGATGCGCGAATCGATTTTGCAGTCGATCAATCCATCTTGAATCTGAGAGAACAGGCTCTCATCAGCTTGCTAGACGCTGGTGCGCTCAACACGGAGCCAGGCGGTGCATGGCAGCACGATCCCACGACCAAGGATGAGATGTCTTTTGTGACACTGCGCACTCGTGTGTCCACTCAAATCGCCGCCTCCACCAAGGTCTGTGGATCCAACGAGCTCAGACAGCTTCAAGATCTGGCGCACGAAATCCAGCAGTATGCCAACGACAATCCGGTGTTGACTGGCACAAATGTCTTCGCATTCGTCCAAACCCACCAAGATGCCATCGTAAAGGGCATGACTCCATCCTTGCTCCACAATAAATTCACCCCATTTGTGACGATGTCGTCCGATATCCCCTTAACGAGCTTCAAAGACCCGCACACATTCTTACTCGGCGCGTGTTGTTCGTCACACTTGACAGCAACGGTGTTCAACTATTTCGGTGCCTGGGAAGAAGGCCTGAACAAGTTTGATGCCGATTATGTACCGCAGATGGTCAAGGATCATCGGCTCCCATTCATTGACATGTTTCCCTGGCCAAAGAAGGACCCGGCCACCTTTGCCTCTGCTGTAGACTTTCTCCGCAAATATTTTTCCATTGTCAACCCCCTGGTGGTCCTTACCCATGGACATGGTGTTTCCAGCACCGCCATCGGTAACCTGCAACATCCGCATGGCCTTCAAAAAGGTGGTTTGCTGGACGCAATTGGTCAAATCCATATTAGCAACCATACTTCGTCCACTGTCGACTCTGGATATTATGTAGTGGTACCATCCCTTCATCCTGGCACTATCGCTTATCGGGGTACCGCTGCCATTGATACTACGAAGTCACTGTTCTATATGGGGGCAATGGTTGGCTGGTTGGCGTACCATGAAGCTCTTTCTCGATCTCATTCTACAGACGCCAAGAAGGCTATCTGTGAACAGATCGTGACTGCCGCCGATGCCAAAGTTGGCAAGGACACAGCCTTCGGCAAGCGTCTCGAGGTGTTGAAGGTCAAGCTGAACGCTGAGCTAGCCAACCAGCGTAGAGGCCTGTTGACGAAGGCCGAAAAATCTGCCCGACTAGCCGCAGCCAGAGCTGCAGCCATGCAGTTGACTCAAGAGAGATGGTCAAAGTCCGATACTGCTCGCCCTTCGGGACAAGATACCACTGCACTCAAACTCAAATATGTTGTATACTCAGGCGCTAGAGGAGTCATCATGGTTACGCCCCTCACTGTTTGGACCCAAGCCCGCAAGGAACTTGATGTCATTCTGCAATCTGGATTTTGCTTCACTGTTCCCGAGTCCCAGGAGCGTACTGTGGAGGTCACAGCAATTTACGACAAGCACGTTGCCGCCCTTCAGCACTCAGCTGCAAGCCTCGGCGACAAGACCAAATTCGTGCAGTTCGCAAAGTCGTCAAAGGTTGTCCGAGGCAGTAGCTACTACCTCTCTAGTGCTACTGTCGACGATGCAGTCAAAGATCTCCCTAATCTCATTCGGTGTTTCCTCCCCGATACCGTCACCGATCCTTATGCCGCCAAGTGGAGCCGGCATCCCACGAATACTATGCAAACTGCTGCGATCAAGGCTCTGAGAGCCTGGCTTAGAGAGGGGGCTGCAACTGCCACAAACAATGATAACGCAGCTGATCTTGTGAGTGATACATGGGCCGAGCACATGAACAGGAGAGACCCTGCTGTCTTCTCTCTCATAGGAACACGCGGAATCCAGGGTCATATCCAGACCAGTATCTTCTCCACAGACGACGACCTCAATGGTACGGAGATCACGATTAGATCGCACAATTCCAATTGGGACGCCACTGTGATCAAGCACAGTTTTTCGTGGATGACATCCAACGGTACTGTAGCCAGTATGGACAATCTTCCTTTGCCACGTACAGCTATGCCTCAGACTGACCGCGACAAACGATTTGTCTTCTTCGTTCCCGAAGGTATCGATATCCGGGATCAGGATGGTACATCTATCGATGCGTATGAGTTGAAAGGTCGCAAACAGGCAGGAAAGCAGGCAGGGAAGCTCCGCACTCCTGTCTATCCTACCATTTCAATCGCCACGCTTGTTGCCACTCTTCCTACTCATCCCCACGGAAAGGATTTTCTGAAGTTGTGGGAAGATCAGACTGGACTGAAAGTCGACGAGGCTCTACAGTCCTCTCACCTGCAAAGCATTGCTCCATCATCCGATCAGGCCTTCATCACTGCTGAGTACTTCGCTGAAAATCCTTCCCGTGCTCTACCACTTTGCCAAGAGTACAATGCCAACGCGAAGAGGGCTGTTCAGGCGCTGCTCCCTGCTTATCCAGGTGACGGACTTTGGCTCATGCATGAATTCTGGACGGATGCCTATCCGGAAGGCGGCGAGGTCCGCATCACGAACCCGGCAGAGGACACCAGCGGAGATTCGGTTTATGACAAGCTGGCAGTCTTCTTGCAAAAGCCACTCTACCGTGAGCATCCGTCTCTCCTAAGCTTGCGTGCTCTTGTCCAACTATCCCGCAACGGTGGACTCGACAAGAAGAAGTCAACCTCTACGATCAAGAGCTCAGCTGACGTACTGAGAGGGTTCACGAAGCCTCTCACAATTTCTTCCCTACGGGTCAAGATTAATGGTAAATCTGTGGTCACCGGATTGACACGGTTCTCTATCAACGCTGTTGCACCCAATGGTGTTATTGCAAGCGTTCCACCCCCAGTCTTGACCTCTGCTGAAGTCGACATCACTGACGAGAAGCTCGACGAAGAGGATGGAAGTGAGAGGGAGGAGGATAGAAGCGAGAGGGAGGAGGAAAATTTCGCAACTCATACGAAGTTGGACGAGATGGCAAGGAAGAGACCTCGAGATGAAAGTGAAGAACGCGAGGTGAGGGACTTGCCATCTCCAAGCCGTCGTCGCCTGACTTAGATTTCTTGTACTCAGCAATCTCCTATTGCTCGGCAGTCTTTCGTTATTCGGCAAGTTCTTGTTACTCGGCTTGAGTGAAAACTTGCACTATAGATGACCATTACTCGGCATTCGCTTTGCACGGCGTCTCTAAAGTGATCAGTATCTAGATAGCAAATGGCATTCACAGACGTGCTGAAGATTGGTATGTTCGCTCATATTCTGTGACAGGCTCTAAGAGAAATTCATCCATGAAATCCACTGCCTGAACATTAGGATACTTTTTTGCTATAGCCTCAAGATTGGTACGAGAAACGTTGTGTTTGTCGTGAAAGCCATGGATGATTTTGGCTTGCACCGTATCACATACATCTTCATCCAGATGGCTCATGATATAGTCAATACTTTATCCAGATGCCTTATGATAAATTCGATATCATGAAGAAAGTTAAACTTAAAATCGCCAAGAATGTCCGAAAGCGTGACGGTATCGACATTAAATGAGGCCGGTAAGTCGTGCGAGGGCTCTATGATTGTATGTTTTTTTTTTGTTGTTATTGAATGCTCCTTGCCTTTTTCGCGTGAGAGTGGTGGAGGGCTGATGGTTTCGAGGGTTGTTTCGTTCAGGTCGACGGGCCAGTCCAAAGTGTACTCATCTTTCGGTAGTGACTTAGTACTTGCTGTGGAACTATCAAGTCGTCCTCTTTTGCTTGGTCGCTCGCTATCTGGAAAGTCGGCCATGATGGTTGGTTGTGTTTGTAGGTGTGTTATCACCCAGATCTGGAATGAATGAAATTGCCAAAGGAACTTGAATTCTAAACTACTGACGCACCGCATGGTCAAATATACTAACCGTCAGGGGCCGGAGCTTCGGCATTGCAATAACATGAAGTTTGAGGTTGTCAAAGTAGGTGACCCTAACATCTTCGTGGCTGCCTTGCTGCACGAAGTCAACCTCGCTCGCTATCAGTAAACTTGTGTGTCCCTTGCCTTGTCGACCGTGACCGTGACCGTGACCGTGACCTTGACCTCTAGGATAGAATCATAAAGAGACCCGATTCTCATCACGCTAGTCGAGCTAGAGCAGGGTTCAGATCTTTACGATGTCGATCAGGATAACTAAGTAACACGATTTCATGCGGCTTTCGAGGCTGTGATATAACCCCTTTTCCCACCGATAAACGAGCTTTGCAGCCATGATTCGACTTTACATTGGGCAGCTTTGACATGCTCCAAGGTGATTTGAGTTGGAAGGAGTAGTGAGCCACTTAAGTTGAAATATTGACTCCATGAAGCCTCAGCCCTCAACGCTCCTCTACACCACACCCAAGAATTCTGGAGCACGTTACATGCATGCTTACACCTGTCTGTCATTGGTGTACAAGTAGAGAAGTTGTTGGGTAAGGACAGAACATGGGAAATGTTCTACTGATGCTTCGCAAGTCCATATTTTATGACGCCACAACGACTAGGCTTCATTACAGCGTCTGATAAGACAGTGATCAAGTTTGACAAGATTCTCTCTTGTGTAGCTTTGCGAACTCTTTGCTGATGCATAAAAACAATTCTTCGTACATTCGTTTGAAAAGATACGCCTCATACAAACCCAAGCCTCGACATCGGATCCGGATCATACTCTTCGATCTCCATACTCTTCTTCAACCACTCCATCATCGGCGCCATCAACTCATCATACGACTCAATATCCATTCCAACATCCTTACTCGGCACCCTGATCAGCGTCGCAGTTTGCTTGTTTCCTTGATACGTCCAATTCCACCAAGTCTTTTCCACTCGACATTCTTTTCGACCAAATCTCTCCACTCTATCCAACCTCATCATCGCCCCCACGAACCTATTGAACCAAGTATGAAAATGTGGCTTCACTCTTGCATGATTCCTCACGAAGCAGATCTTCTTGACACCGCTAAAGTCTCTCAACATCTGTGTCATCATAACGTTGAAGTCGAAAAGGTAGTGCCAGTATGAGGAACGATGAAGGATGATTGTCATATCTTCGAGCTGCAGAGCAGGTATCCCAAAAGCATGCGTCTTCCAATGGTGCATCTGGCGGAAATGGCGTGCTTCGGAGACGATGGCTATACTGCGAAGCGAGGAGATTTGGTCAGGACGAAGGGTGGAGTTGATTCGACCTGCGATATCGAGCACGGTGTACGGATTTCGGATCACGAACGTCGTTCGCGAGAAAGCGAGGAGATGGGCATCTTGGTAGAATTGACGGCAGGTGAGTAAGGGTTGGAGGTACGTCGATGCCCAGTAATCTTCTTGGAGAGCTGAGGGTGCATCGTCGGTGCATCTCGGACATGAGAAGACGTCTTTGTAGCTTTGCTTTGGGTTGAAGACGAGGCACCAGATCTGCGTGCGTATCTCGGCTGGAAGGGTGAGGAATGAGGCCTTCTCGTATCTATCGTCTAGTTCAATGCCCGAGTCCTTGCGGTGGTAGGGAGAAGCTGGTTTCGCCATTGATGTCTTAATTGGACCAACAATGGATGTGAATGAGAGGGATTGAGTGGAAGGAAAGAAGTGAGAACAAGGTGCTTTGAAGTGCAGCGAGATCAACGGTACCTACTCGATGCCCCTCTTAATACATCAATCTACCCCGCCCTCTCTAGTGTCAAAGTATGTCACATGTTGATACAAGAAGCGACATGATAGACCTCCCCTTGGTCTTTAGATGGCGATAGACGCGCCTGATTGTACCATTGTCTGTCTTTGAGTAGCCATACATCTTCATAGATATACGCAATCCGGCTTCTCTACCCCGAATAATCTATGGAATACGATCAATGTGACAAACTTCAAGCCGCTCAGGATACCATCCGATTGTCGGTTCTATCGGAGATTTGATCGTCTGATAAGATGTCCTGATCTCGGCGTAGCTTAATCTCGAGTCTCTCCGGCTCTTCGCGACTGCGACTTGTTTACTTTGGCACCTTCCACTTTCTTCGTACCGAGCGAAATTTGGATCAGTTGACGTTGTCGGCACGGCTATGGAAATAAATCCCCTGTCTCAACACGTTCAAGTGTAAGCGATTGCCACTGTACCGAACCTATTCAACTTCGCGGCTTTGGACGCGCCGAGGAAAACATACACCACAATGCCATATGATCTACCGACCGTGCCTAGGCCTACTCCGTTCCAGAAATGGCTTCTGCTCGCATCTATAAGTCTTTTGAGACGATTTCGCAACCTCTCCGGTAGTGTGCTAATGCTGACGAGCGATTTGTGCGTTAAATTCGGTAACCGCCTCGATCTTGCCGAAGCACAAACCATGCTTTTCGTCACAAAGTACACTAGTATACCAGTGCCGAAGGTGTATTTTGCTTTCACCGAAAAAGAATGCACATACATATTGATGGAGAGAATCCATGGTCAAATGGCTGCAAGAGGCTGGGTGAACAGGTCAGATGCCTCAAAACTTAACATCCATAACAATCTGAGGAAGTTGGTTCTTGAGATGCGCAGTCTGTCTCCGCAGAGTAACGCCATATGCAGCATCAGCGGAGGATCTCTATATGATCTGAGAATACCGCAGACGACCAGCCGATTTGGGCCCTCCAAGAGCACTCAGGAATTCCACGACTTCCTACGCAACCACATACAAGCACACAGCAACCATGGTGAAAGCTTCTTGAAGCTCATAGGCTTGCATGCACAGCTCTGGGGTGCTCCTGTCTTCACACATGGCGATTTGAGCAGTCTGAACATTCTTGTACGTGGCGACGACGTAGTCGGTATCATCGATTGGGAGACAGCAGGTTGGTATCCACCGTACTGGGAGCATACTACCGCTTGTCAGGTCAATCCGCAGAACTTATTCTGGAAAGACGAAATCGACAAGTTCCTGGAACCAATGCCGGATGCACTTGAGATGGAGCAATTACGACAACGATACTTTGGAGATCTATCTTGAGGGCATTCAATTCTACTCGATTGTCTCCTTTCCTTGAATCAAGTCGAAGGTCGGCACTCGCGTGATGTCGTATTTAGCAGCGCTGTCAAATCGACGTTGGTCTCTCTTCTTCTGACAGTATGACATAGCTGCATTGCGAACAGCTTCCCACTGGACAACGCCCGTACCCAAGATATCGGCTGACATTTCAAGCTGCGAAAGCGCTTCTTTAACCCAGGAAACACAGTTCCAGTCTTGCTGGCCTTGTTTGACGGGCACCTGACGCAGCAGTTGAGCCAACTTATCTGTATTTTCGATCTTGGCTATGAGAACTCGAACCAAGATCATCTGAGTTGGCATCAAGGACGTGCGCACTTCCTCGAAAGCCCACACAGAGTCTGCCTCCGCCGTCGCATGGTTTCGAGCGTGATATCGGGCACCTCTACCTTCGTTCTTGTCGCTCTTAGGTCCCACCAAGAAGGCCCACTGGTAACTGTAACGTTATTAGTTGTTGGGTATTCAAGCACCATCTCTGCTTACGTACGTGTCTTCTTTGCCAGCCATCTTTGCAGACCCTCCTCGAGCATAAAGGGCCACATATAACCGGTCTTTGTTCGATGGCATGGCGGATTTGGCGATCCTTTGTGAGGAAATGTAGTACAAGAAAATTGGAGTACTGTTGCTACCTCAAACACAGGATCAATTCTGATCAGAGGCCTTTTATCGATCTGAGAAGACTCGTGTCTCGTCTTTATAATAGGGCCTCACATTGTGCTGTACCGAGAATACGTGCGCAAGTCTTCTTAGTCCATTCAATGCTTTGGATACAATCGTCAGGCTTCCTCGCTCCAGCTCTGGGTGGTGCTGGAGCAGAGACGCTCAAGAAGATGGGCGCTGGTGATCCGGAGATCGTCGGACCTTTCATCATGAGTGTTTTGCAGGGTGCTAGAGATGCCGATGTTGGCAAGGTCATCACCAAAGATGGCATCCAGGAATGGTAGTGCCAGATGAAAGTAGGGGTAAGGAGATCAGACTCATACCGTAAGCGATGTGACAAAGATATGGATTCGAATCGGCAGTATCACAAGAGCTATTCAACTAGTCCAATCATGCAAGCCGGATGTTTTGGTGCTGCAAGGTGCAGATGCGGGTGGCCATGGTGGTGAAAAGGGCGCAGGCATCATTTCTGTGATTCCTGAGACTTTACAAGCACTGCAGAATGTGGAAATACACGATGTTTCTATCGTCGCGGCAGGCGGTATAGCAGATGGCTCTGGCGTTGCTGCAGCTTTGACACTAGGCGCCGATGGCATAGTCATGGGCACCAGATTCCTTGCCGCTGAAGAAACAACAGTCCACCCAGCCTATCGAACTGCAGTTCTCGAGACCGAAGATGGAGGACAGACGACTGTGCGAGCGAAACTGTTTGATGAGCTAGCTGGCCCGAACATCTGGTCGAGAAACTTTGATGGCAGAGCTCTGATTGCACAAAGCTATAGAGATCATATGGAGGGTATCCCAATCGATGACATTCGCAAGTCGCATGCTGAGGCGAAGCAATCTTCTCATCTTGGGTTTGATCAAGAGAATAGAAGGGCTGCAATTTGGGCAGGTACGGGAGTTGGGCTCGTACGCGAGAAGGCACCTGCCGCGGAGATCGTCACAGAAGTGCGCGAATCTGCAAGGGCGGCATTGAAAAGAACTGTCTCACTGTTGGCTAAATTCTAAAACGTAATGGGTCATGATTTGATGATATCTTTTCTACTGCCGGTACGATAAAGACGCAAATATATCGAAGTCATGCCGCAGTGGGAGTCTTCCGAGACTTTTCATGTGATATTCCATACTTAGATGTTGCCAATGACACCTTTGGCGAACTGAGCAGCAGGAGTGGCGTCCTGGATGGAGTAGGACAAGTGAGCAGCAGAGATGACAAAGGCACCGTTGCAGACAGCATCCAAGATGTTGCAGTAGACCTTGGTACGGCCAGAGTCAATGTTTCTGAATGGGCTTCTCTGGAGCGGGTCGCCGAAAGTAAGAGTAACCTGTAACAACTCGTAAGCAAATGATCCAAATGGGTTGAGAAAGGGCGAGGACGTACAGCAACCTGGCCATTCTGGAGGTTGATCAGAGCACCGTGAACCTGCTCAGCACCCTGAGAGTAACCAGCAAGGATGACCTTGGTGTCAGGACATTTGCCCAGAACCTGCTGTGTCAAGCTAGCCATGGTACGAGCACCCTGAGCAGTTCCAGGGCTGAGGGCACCACTGATAGCACCAGCGACATCTGCAGGGTATGTGACGCCCTGTGTAGCAACATTGTTCTGTCCAAAGGCAGACTCCAGAGCTTTCTCGAGAGCTGGGCCAACAGTGGAGCCCATGTTGCCAATCTCGGTAGTACCACGAGCGAAGATGTAGGTTACAGGCTTGCAGACACCATTGATGACATCGTTCTTGGTAGAACTACCCAAGCCGCTGCCGAAGCTAGGGAAGCCGCCGAATTGGGGAGCAGCGAGAGGTGCTGCGAGGGCGCTGGTGGCAGCAAGGCAGGTGATGAAGAAGGACTTCATGTTGGTAAGAGATGCCTGTGGATATGGTAGAAGCGAAAGACAAATCGAGCGGTTGGTTTTGAAGAACGAAGGTCTTGTGCGGATCCAAGTACTAGTTTGATGACGAACCAGCTGTCATACAGGAAGGGTGTCGGTGTTTATGTAGCAAGTCTTTGTACGCAAGGCCATCAAGACCGAGGCATTTTTTTGCTATGGACTATACCGTTAGAATGCCATGGCGGGCCGGTGGTAGGATCGTGTATGGGCCAAGACGACCATTACCTCCATCGACAGAATATAAACTCGGCAAGAGTAGTTCTGCTGATCCATAACAGCTAGGTGCATGGTCCAAGAGTTTTGGCTTTGACGCTTGAGCTTGGCCGGTGGGAATGTAATCGAGACGGGGAGAGAAGCATGACACTAGAATGTCATGGCAGGGCGCACTGTAAATTGTCGTCGTGAGAAGTACCTGTAAATATCAGCAAGACGATCAGGGCGACCTTGTGATGATTTGTGTATGCCAGATCTCGCGTTCGCTGCAAGGCGATCATCATGTCTATCGACCTTATCCACGGGTGTGAGACAACTGTAGTTCATGCAGACAAGTCCTTCCCTTGTGATGCTGTAGCGTTGCGAAGCCATGCATGCCTGAAACGTGGAGACTGGATGGTGACTGTCCAGTAGCCAAGTGCACGACGATTCGGCTCGTACGGCTAGTCAGCTAGAACTATGATAGCCGACGAGAGCTTTAGGATGCTGATGCATTGAATTGTTAATCATCCTGGCCATCGATCTTGTCTTGCGGCCGTGTGTGTTGTGGGGTCCCAGTGGATCTCGCGTGCACCGGGCTCTATATTAAACGAAGACTAGAAGGGGCAACCACGAAGGTCCACTAGTTGCTTGGTAAAAAGACATGTCAAAGTCCGCGCGGCTTGGCCTTCTCAGCTCTCCAAGTATAAGCGCAACTTGTCTCTATACAGTAGGAGGGAAGAAGGCTTGCATCGACTTCCCAAGTCTTATCGTCGTGTTTCGAAACGCTGGCGGACCAGAATTCTCAGAGCCTCGGCTTGAAGACGCGATACGATGAAGCCTCTTTTCATATTCTGCTTCCTACAGCACCAAGCCTGGTAGGAACGATACGAGCTGTTCTTCCGATCGACATTAGGGTAAGTATGAACGGACCTAAAGTTGATGGATGGAGGTGGCTGGGAAGGAACAGCCCTCGGAGCCTCGGCAAACTCTGCGAGTCACAACTTCTAACATCAATGACCCTCGACACCATCTTCAGGGCTTGAGAAACAAAGGCTGTTGACATGATTCACAAACAGCGACAAGTCGGCACGACGCACTTGAATTGAAGCTATGCTCGAGAATTGCTTACTGTCGATCATCAGAGCCCTGACAGCTCAAACATCGACATCGTCGTGACAGCTCGGCAACGGGGCCACTTCGACCAAATGAACATATTGACAACTTGCATGAGTAATTCATATGCAAGAGTGATCTAGACATTGACAGCGGTCCCACCTTGCGTATTACCTTTTGACAACTCTAAAGTATTGTAATAACGACAACGACACACCGCCGCTATATCATGCTTCGAGGGAATCCTAACAGGCTAAACTCGACGCAATCACATCAAAGGAGCAAAGAAAGAGAATATTCAAACAAAAACAACTCGTGAAAGTTTGTGCTCATTACAACCAAACCCAAGCCTCACTAATCTAGCCACTCCAGAACTTTTTCCGCTCACTTTTGCCTGACCCATTTTGTTTTGTCTAAAGCCAAAAGAGCAAGAGAAAGGTTCGCCTCCCAACCACCATGCTTACTCGTCTCGAGGCGAGAGAGATGCAAACAGATAAGATGATACTACAGCCCAACCCAACCCATGCCACTCCTTCCAATCCAATCAAAGAAGCAAGAGGAACCAAAGTCAAAAGAAGTAGAACCACACCGAAAAGAGGAAAGAGTACAGAAATAAAATGAACCCGACATGCCGAGGAGAAACCCGATAGAACAGCCGAGAAAAAACCAGAGTAGGGAAAGAGGTCGTGAAAGGTGTCGTAAAAGAGGTTGTCGTAAAGAGATGCAAGACGATGATGCTGTCGTGGGTTTTCTGATATTGTTGTGTCGTTCGTCGTGTGTCATTACTATTGTCGTTGAGTGAGAAAAAAAAACAAAAAGAGAAAGCCACAGGTATCGTGCAAAAAACCAAAAGTCCGTCAACCGAAAAAAAATATGAGGAAATAGGAAGAGACCAACACCACAAGGAGGAAGAAAGGAAACCTCAAAGCAGTCAGGAACTAAGACTGGAGTCGAAGAAGTGAAGAGATCACTTCTTCCCCTTGCCCTGCTTAGCCCTACACATCCCACAACCTCCTGCTCCCACAGTCTCAGGACAAGGTACAACGGGACACCCATCCTCCTCCCAAAGGATGTGAACACCAAAGTCCTTGCCAGCCTCTCCGTTCAGGAACTTGAGCACCACATCCTGCTGCTGAGGCGTATCTCTCGCTCTAACCAACTTGAGCATTTGCTCAGGTGAGATGGGCCAATTGCGACCCTTGGACTTCTTGTTAGCCGTCTTGTTGCGCTCGCGGACGAGAGCGTCGTGGATCACAAGATAAGCCTTGACATGAGTCCAATGGTGGGAGCGAGAGTTGTCGTGGCGATTCTGCCTGCCGTTGTTTGCCTTGCCAACTGAGCAGCGGGATTTGGGCTCGTTGGGGTCAAGACGATGATCGCAGATGTAGCAAGAGAAATGTAGTTCCTTGGAGTGACTGTTTTCGTGTCTCTTACAATGCTCAGAGCGGGCAAAGCTTTGTTCGCATGTGGGGAATTTACATTTGTGTTTCTTGGAATTTGCGTCGTTTTTTAAGTTCTGTCTGCCTTCCTTGCCGGTGTAGAAGAATTCTTCGGACTTCTCGTCGGTCAAGAACGTGATGGAGGACTTGGCCGAATTGGACAGAGGAACGCTTTTGCAGATCGCGCGGCGCTTGTCGGCTTTGCTCATCTTGCGGCCTTTCTTGGAGAGGCTGGAGCGAGAAGTGCTGCCATAGAAAGAAGAAGCAGGAGAGGTTTCATTCTTGACGTAAGATGATTCGAACGAGAACTCAAGAGTGGTAGGGGTCACAGGAGAGAACTCTGGAGGAGAAGAAGAGTGCAGGGTGTTGCTGTCATGCACAGGGGTCTGGAGGCCGCCCCAACCGGATACGCTCAGGCTGTAGTCAATCATCTCTGGTTGATGAACCGCCTGGCTGGGTGTAATGAATGTCGGTAGGTGTTCATGATGAGAGGAGTCGACGTCTGTCATGAACGATGCTGTTGGGTCTTGGGAAGGCAGCATGAACAGAGAGTTGGGATCGGGGGCGTAGTCGACCTGAGAATAATGGCTCATCGAGCTGTTCCAGTCCTGATCAGTGGACAACAACGTCGAGCTGTCCTGATAGAAAGACGTGTCCACTTCTGGCTTCTGGGTGAAGGTCATTGACGAGGTCCATGTTGGTGAGTTACATGCTGTCGTATAGTGTTGTTGACCTTGAGCGAAGTCCACGGGGCTTGGAGGATATTGCTGATGAAGAACAATCTTCAACTTCTCCGACGGGGTCACGTTGTAGATGTCTTGGCCAGTAAAATGCACAGGGGTGTTGGGATGATACGAAAGAGGATCATGATGAAAGCTCATGTCGTAAGAACTACGACGAGCACTGTTGGCTGACTCTGGTGGGGAGATCAGAGCTGTCTGTCCGTGAAACGTGTTTGTGTCGATGGAGAGGTTTGTAAGACGCCGATGTGCCATGTCGAACGAAGCTGGACCCATGATGATCAGTATAGTTGTGATGAATTCCTGAACCGAAACCCGTTGAATTGTGGCTTGTAGATTATAGAAAGGAGACAAGAGGGTGAAGAGAAGGGATGAAAGCACGTTGCTTCTCCCCTCATTATATCTGTTTCGAACTTACCTCCATACAGTTTCTGATCCCTCATGATGGTTGGCCGATTCACTTGGCTTGTGTGACGTGTGGGTCTTTGATTCAGTGGCCTGGGTTCTGTTAGGCTCGAGCCTCCTCGGATGTTGGGCACGGCTAGGCTAATTTCCAGGTAGGGTGGCCTCTGGAGTGGAATGCGGCTGCAAGGGACGCGACAACCTGAAGAGGAATGAACCCAGGTATAGTGATCGAACGAACGTACACCCTCAGAGTAATGGGAAGGTAAGCAAATGAGAGGGGCAAAGCACACAATATTGGTTTGTACCTGTATCAGCCTTGCAGTAAAGTTTCTGAGTTCAAGAGGTGCTTATAGAAAGAAGGAATATGCAGCGTTGATTCCTGTAGGGACTCTTTATGTAAAGGCTCCTGAAGCCATACCTCCCCCACCGACAGTTGGCTTCAAACAACTCAGCTCAGGCAGGGAAACATCAGATCAGAATCGGCTGGACAAGACGCAGACCGTCCCCACCAGGCGCTACTAGAGAGTCCCAGAAAAAAAGCCGCTTAGCAGGAATGATCCTCAGATCTCCAAGAGACTACCAGGCTTGCCAGAAAGCTGTTGTTGAGTGTGTGATCTGGAGGTGGGTGACACCAATGACATGCACAGCGACCCTGCGCACAGATCAGGGACCGAGCTCTCAAAATCTGGTAGAGGAATTGCTTGGACGAAAGACTCCTGGTACTGTTATGGAGGTCGTCTCGAGCTGCTGCCATAGAGCACCGTGATCAGTGCAGGGGCTACTTAGGCGCGATCGACGGGGACACAGAACTTGTCTGGCATTGTCCGGATTGAGCAGGCGCGGATGCTGGCTGAGTTGTTTCTGATATGGTTCCAACAGCCAGATTCCTGTTGTTCCCGTGTATCAAGACTATTCTCGAGACAGACGGGTTCTAGCATGTGTCAATGTATGAAGCCCTATTTCAACAACGAAAGGAAATTTCACATCCAGAACATCCATCTGATGGACTATTGTATCCAGACGTATCAACTGATGAGAAAACAAATGTTCTCTCGTCACTTATGGTCCGTCATGGGGTCTGTCGTCCAGCCGCACAAGTGGTCCGTGAGGTCTTGTGTTACACGAAGTTGACAAGGATCCGGGCTCTCCAGCCGGGTGCAATCGCGCCACCACAAAAATGACATTCATCAGACGCCGCGGCCTGCAGGTCTGTTGCGCAGGTTTGATGTGCAAAGCATTCCATCAATACCGTCGATTTTGGAGGGAATTTTGACCCGAATTGTTTATCGACAACTCGAGGGGTATGTACATGATGACAGACGGGTACCAACACCGTAAACGCGCGCGTCAGCATTAATAGACGCGGGTAAATGTCTCAAGAATGAAGGAATGATGCAAGCCACAACGATATTCTTCTTGTCAAGAACAAGCTGAACAACCATAGGTCGCACCTACTTGCAGTGGCTGGTGCGGGCGAGCAAAAGCGAGTGATATAGACACGAAATGGCTTGTCTTCGGCATCAGGAACCCATCCAGTCAATTGACTAGGCAGGTACGCCCACACTGCCGCAACACCACCCTCAAGTAGGATGATGGCTGAGGATGCCGATTGCTTGCTTGCCAATGTCCGAGTTGCAGGAACCAGAAGAGCACGACAGGGCCGATACGATACATCTGCAGGTCCCATTATCTAGAGACGTTGAGTGAATTGCAGATGCATAACGTTACAGCGGCTGCACGTCAAGTCAGAGGAGACATTGCGGAGATTTAGAGGGTGCTTGTAGGTATAGATGAAGCTATTGCTCTTCCCCTCAAGTGCGGTGAGTAAGCTGTGTTGTTTCAGATGCTGCAATGAGCTGCAAGTCCGGTACTTTAGCCTGATCCTCCAGGAAGGTGCCTAGATCTCAGTCAACGCTGTCAAGATTGGGAAGGGAAAGTGCGCATCCCCCAGGAATGGGTGATGTTGCTGCAGTGCGGCTCCCGGTATCCGTGTGACGTGCATTCCAATGAACGAGGGGCAATGTAACAATGACATGGGTGAAAGAGGCTGGCATGATGGCGGTGTCGTTGTCTCGATGATGGGCAAGCTAGAGACACGGTGTCCACGGCAAAGTGGGTGGCTACCCTTCATGTTCCCGTCACGCCGTGCTGCCAGTCAAGGCCTTGTTGGCCGGATACGGGCATGACGGTCTCTGTACGCAACGACAAGCCCTCCAGACGAATTACACGGCAGCACACCACTTTGAAGCCAAGACAGTATGATAGAAGGCAGGATACATAGATGCCAATGCAAGTGATTGTATTCCCCTCACAGCTTGGAGCGGCCGAGTATACTACCACCGTCAATGACGATGTGGGCGCCATTCAGATGACTGGCTGCCCTTGAACAGAGATATACAACGGTACCAGCAATGTCTTCAGGTTTACCTAATCTCTTGTTGGGGTTCGCATCGGCCAGAGCCTGTGTACCACCAGTCAGAGCCATCAAGCCATTGGCCATTTTTGTTGGGAAGAAGCCAGGCGCAATGCTGTTGCAGAGGATGCCTCGGGGACCTAGCTCGACAGCCAGGTTGCGAGTAAGATGAAGAGCTGCGGCCTTGGAGGCACTGTATCCTGGGGTTGCATTGTCCCCCAACGAACCAATCCCTATGCCGGCAACAGACGCTGTGACGAGCACACGAGAGGGGTCTTTCAATGAAGCATTCTTCTCGAGCAGCGGGGCGAACCTGAACAGACGTGTTAGTCGACAGCCAAGATGCGAAGCTTGCCGGAGTGCTTACTTCTGAATGCAGTAGAAGACACTGTTGACGTTGAGGTCCATGACCTTGGCAAAGGCCTCGGCCGGATGCTTGTCGAACGGAGCACCCCAGGTTGCGCCTGCATTGGCAAACAAGATATCCACATGATCCGTGTGCTTTCCAACTTCTGCTGCTAGACGCTCAACCTCGGAGACCTTTGAGATGTCGGCGGGAACGGAGATGGCCTTGCCCTTGATGCCAGGCAGCTTGTTGAGGGCATCGCATGCTTCCTCACAAGCCTTGGCCTTGCGGGATGAGATGAAGACCTTGGAGCATCCGGCTTGGAGGAGACTATATGCATGTGACTCGGTCAGACAATCGATCCACTACAGGTGTAACACATGGCTACCCACCCCGATGCAGCGTGGAGACCAAGACCTCGAGATCCGCCAGTCACGACAGCCACCTTTTGGTTCAGGGAGAAGATGGACGAGAAGTCCTCGAGCTTGACATCTGCTTCGGCCGACATTTTGGCTTGATATTATGGTACTGATGGTAATGATGAGAGAGTCTTGGAGGTGCAAATATATGGACTGCATCACAGTACGGAGTAGCCGCGGATGCGGAGCAGAATGTGGAGACAGACCTACCGAGGCATCTGATCAAAGTCTTGGCATCACTCTTCGCTGAGGGAAGCACCCTGTTTCTTGCGTGTACTCATCCTCGAGCAGTCACGCTGAGTCTTATCAAGACATTCTATATCCGGATCGTGACAGAACAACTCAACCTCACATGATACATAATTCCAACTCAAGATAGCTTGTTCCGTCGGGGTGAGAGGAAGTAGCACCGATCGATGTTCGTGTTTACGAAGCCTGCGACTCACAAAGTCTCACGCTTCTGGCCGAGCAATCGTTCAAATTAGACACGATTCGTATGAGCTTTCATCTATGTACAAGTCTCTCCAAGCCAAGAGAGAACAAGAGCTCTCGAGCCATCCAGGCATCGTTCCCGAATACACCCACTTTTGTGCCCAGTCTAAAGAACCAAAACCACTCACGGGGTATCAAGCCTCCGTCCACCGGCTGCTGTGACAGCTTTCTTCCAAAGTAACCATGACTTCGTCCTATCATGTCAACCCCCCCAAATTACAAAGCAAATAAACGCCCCTGAAATGCGAAAGAAATCTTTTCGTCGTTCGATCGTTGCAGCACACCCACTCATGCAGCCTGCTCCAAGAAGACGGCCACAAAAGAAGCGAATGGAGCTCGCGACTTTTTCCTCAGACTGACACACAAGTCATCACCTGCCTGTCTTGTTGAAGCTGAGACGCTCGTGTGAAACCTTTGCTTTTCCATTTTGCCGCGGTGCACCCTCATCATCGCTGTCGGCCAGATCGCCGAGGCTGAAACCGCCATTGGTCGCCTCCACATCGTAGTTGTGCATCAACGCTTCTCGATCGTGATCACCGGATCTTCTGCCAGCAAAAGACAGATTGAGGCTGTTCGAACGGCGGTGTTGAGCTTCGGAGCTGCGGCGAGCTTGCATGGAGCGACGGGTGAGGGGTCCAGACATGGGATCGGTAGGGATGCCGTCCAGATCAAAGCGGCTGCCATTTCCGTTCAGCTGCATGTGACTGTGACCTTCGGGGTCTTCGCGCGAGAGGTTGAGAAGATAAACACCAGTGAAGATTGTGAGGAAACCGCACAGAAGCGAAATCGTGTTGACAGCGTCGCTGGTGTTGAAGCCTCGGAAGAGGATGAAGGATGCGATAAGAGTGCAGGTGGTGAAGGTGACGTAGTACAGCGGGTTGACACTGGAATGGTTAGCACAGGGTCGGATGGTAGATACAGGAGATCAGCATACATGTTGGTGTTGAATTGACTCAGGGCCTTGTTGAAGTAGTTCATCTGCGTCAGGATGCAGACCACTGTGACAAGAATAAAGACATAGGTGCTGGGGTGAGTGAACTGGTTGTACCCGGCAAAGGTCAGCTTGACGGCAATACCGACACCCTTGACGGCCATGATGGAAACGGATCCGACAGTGCTGCAGATGGAGATATAGATCAGCGGGTTCTTGCGTCCATAACGTGGGGCCACGCGGTAGATCATGACAGTCGAGAAGACAATGACCAGCAACACGTAGAAGAGGAAGCCTGCTTTGCGTCAGTCGCTTCTTCCAGCGCCTAGTCCTTGTTGCCGCATCAACTCACCAGGCTGAACAGCGTAGTTCAAAATCTCGTCAATCGTCTGCACCTCTTTATCCGGAGGGGCGTGTAGCACAATGACGACGGATCCGATCAGACAAATAGCACACCCCAGCTTGCCCAGCGTACCCAGGTTCTCGCCGAGGAAATACGATCCCAGTACCGCTCTGTATGCGCCTTGTCAGCGTGCTTGTCCATGTGTATAGATGGTCCCATCTCTTTACTGACCCAATCAAGACACTGAGGGCTCCTAGCGGCGTTACAAGAATCGGTGGTGCGAAGGCGTATGCTGCAAAGTTGGCCACTTCGCCGATAACCACTGCACGGTGTGAGCAAGTTTCCAGATGTGCAGAAGACAGTTGTAGGCGTACTTGTGATGATGCCGGACCACCACACAGGACTCTTGAGATATGCGAAGCCGTCTCCCTCAAAGCCATGTTGTTGACTGGCTTGCATCAAGCCCTTTTTCGTGATGACAAAACTCGTTCCTTGTACAATTTAGCCGTGGGGTTCGCAGGGCTCGAGGATGGGCGCATTACCTATCGCAAGTGTTGAGGCGACGGCTAAGGCCAGTCCGATGTATCTGGAGGAGCAATGTCAGCGACATGACGGTGGTGGCTAGGCGCAGGAAATCGCACTTGTCTTCGACCATGGCTGGTCTGTTGTGTGTGTGCTCGACTCGACGACGACTTGTTGGGTGGGATGATGGAGAAAGCGGGTTGCGACAAAAAACCAAGTGCAGGCGTTCGCGTCGGATCGGGGTCGAGACAGCTTTGTGCCCACTCTGGTTGTACTGGACTCGTCGAAAGGGGAGATATCTAGAGCTGATGGGAGGCTGTTGGCGACTAAAAAGTCAAAGGGGTTGAAGCTCGCAATGGCGTTGGCCAACCTGTCCCTTTGAACCGTTGGAACTGCCACACTGAGCAGTTGTCACTTTCCCCGATCCCTTGGACACGAACGAGACGAGGCGTGACATAGGTATCGTCCCTCAAACCCCGAGTCCATTGTGACCCGCCGCATCTCTGTCTGAATATGAAACTGCTACAAAGAACTCATCCAATTCTGTGTTTAGTTACGCTATTGCTCAATGCCATCGCTTATTGCCATTCGTCCCCTGCCTCTGATGCCCAAGACAAAGAGTACCTACCATTCGGTCGTTCCTGCCAAGTCGCATGCGCCTTCTCCATTGCGTTTGCGACTTCCGCGCGCGAACCTCTCCTCGGCTTTCCGAGAACGCGTAACAGTGCCTATTTTCGTCTGACTGTATCCACTCACGATCGATTCACGAACACTGCCATTATCATCATATACGCTGTCGCCCGTGTGGTACTCTTTGGCATTTCGTTGTTGCATGTCATACCGCTGCCCGTCATGACTCATGCGCCCCTTCTGCGACAGTTTTTGTCTCGTGTCGAAATTGGTGTTACAGCTGTGAAGCCCATGCAATTTTCTTGTCCTTCGAAATTCGCTCATGCTGACTCCATGCTCAGCGAAACGTGCCAGCCCAGATCCCACTGATGCTATATCATCCACCAGTCTTCCATTGGACATGAGTGATTCTCCTTTGCCTCTGACCCAGACCCCATCTCAGTCATATATCATTATCTTCAGCAAACCCCCAGATGCGAGCCATTACACCGTTCCAGCCCCAGAAATGCTAACAAGATACATTATGGGACGATATTCTCAAAGATTGAGGGGTACAAACTTCTGACGACGTCCCTTACCACGGGCTGCAGGAGCAGCAACTTCCGGCTGAGAGTGGGCAGGCTCTTGTGCAAGTGCCTGGGGTGCTGCTTGAGCCACCTGAACTGGCTGCACAGGAGTTCGCACTGGTGAACGAAGCTTCTGTCCAGCAGCGGCGTTGACCAGACCGCCTGCAAGCGTCGGGAATTGCTGACCATATGCCTGAACCTTGTTGACGGTTGGTGGTGGAGCCGTCGAGGCAGGTCCTTGCTCTTCGGCTTCAGTCAATTCGTCAAAAAGGCCGCCTTCAGGCTCATCTCTGCGACCAACAGCAAGAATGATGCGCCATGCACGACGGAACTCATCTCTGATAGCCACAATGCCATTGTGCGTGACAGTTCGCGCAACATTGTGTGTAGTCTCGAAAGGATCCTCGATGGCAAAGAGATAGCGGTGGCGCACTTCCTTACTCTCGTTGTGTTCGGTCTTTGCACCCGTCCAGCCCTTTTGGTCCTTGGATAGTAGGCCGCCCTGGGTTCGCAAGCTGAGCACATCACGCGTCCAGAAGAAACCGCCTGAATTAACGGCGTAGTACCTGAAAAAGCCAACGAGCAAGCTGCCGAGGGACTCCTTGTTCTGGGTGACAACACCTTGGCTGGCACGAGTTTCGATTATGTCTTCCCTATCGAAAAAGCAAACTTCGTGACCATCGATCATAGTGGGCGGTACACCATCAGCCTCGGCCTCGTGTTGTAGATTGGGTAGAACAGGCGGACGTGCGACATTGATGAGGTAATGCAGGACCATCAGCACATAACCATACGATGACAAGGTGCCTGAGTAGGAAGAGTTGATCTTTCTTCGCTTAGCCCACGACTTGATGAACAGCACCATGGGCCGGACTCTGGGATCGCACTTTGAGTAGCATCGCAACATCTGGGTGTTGTGAATACCTAGAGGGTTGAAGAAATTGATATCGCATTGTATGCCGACACCATCACTAGGGAAGTCTAGAGGACCAGCGGCCTTCTCGCGACGCCAACTTCTGTCGTTTCGTTGACGATTCGCCTGTTTGTCTTGTGACTGCTCCTGGTGAGGCTGTTGTGTGTTTTCTGATTTTGAAGTGACCGAAGGTTGACCCGAGGGTGCTTGCTGATCGATGTGTAGAGCTTGAGTCGACTCGACAAGTGACGCGACACCGTCTGCTGGTGGTTCTTCTTGAGAGACCACACCATCCTGCACGGAAGACTGAGCGCCCTCGCTCGGAGACTCAGGCTGAGAGGGCAGAGCTCGAGTATCAGTAGTGCCTTTCTTGGAGTTTGTTTCATCGGCGGACGGCTTGGAAGTGGAATACTTCTCGTCTTCAGGCAGGTTGTCCCACTTCTCGCGAGATTCCCGGAGAGCGTCCAAGAGTTCCGGTGTTGGTTGTTCACAGATTTTGATGATTGGCACACGCGTACGGGTAAGTAAGCGAGCGCCAATACCGTGTTCGAGTAGCTGCTTTTCAAGAACTCGGGCGAGGCCGTTCTCATGCGGAGAAAAATGCTGGCTCAAGTCATGCTCAGAGGAGGTGACGATGGCCAAATCCATATCCGAACCAGCAGTGGCAAAGCCGGAACTGAGACTGCCAAAACTAGCGAGCTCTACAGAAGGCAAAGGGTTCTCTAGATCCGGAGATTGGAGATTTTCAAAGATTTGTTGCAACTTGATACGGAAGGCATCCTTCATTGCGATCTCAGAATTTAGCATCTGCGTCTTTGAGATCTCCTGAGTAGCCAGCGAGTCCAAGAAGGAGGCCTGGCGTTCATAGTAAGTCGTGCCAGTCTGCTGAGGTCGAGAATGAGGTTGGTACAATTGACGCTGTTGCTGTTGCTGTTGGTGTTGATGGTGGTTCTGGTTTTGATGAATGTGATGTCCCTGATGCTGGGGGTAAGATTGATGAGAGCGTGGGCCTTGAGATGGAGGTCTGTCATATGCGTTTGGGTCCATGGGACGGGGGTTATAGTTGCGATGAGGACCATTAGCACGGAAGTTGTTGTTATTGTGTGTCTGGGCAGGTGTGTAGCGAGGCGGCTGCGAGACTGGAGCAGTGACATGATGCTGTTGGAGGAATTGAGAGAAGTCCTGCTGACGGTCGATTGGTATGTTGTTAGAGCACTGCGGCTGAGCACGCGTCGTGCGCGGCGGCACATGGAAACCAGGAGGAAGTCTCGAAGGATAACCATGAGACATGTTCGAAGGCTGAGGTAGACGACGAGGGCTGTTATGCTGCTGGGGAGGATTGTGATTCATTATCATGCTTCGAAGCTGATCCTCAAGCCTTTGCGAAGCATAGTCGCTGCCTTGGTCCATGTTAGGCAGGTGCGAGAGCGTGTGATGGAACGGTAAATTGATCCGGAAGCATCAGAATTATTCCTCGCAAGCACGACGGAGACAATCGAGAAGAGACTGTCGATCTTAGATGTTCAACAGTGCGAGCGACGGATGTCTGGTGGGTGATATCAGCTGAAGCAGGCGCCAACTTGTGAAAGTCGGCCGAAAGTGACGGCGCGAAGATGGAAGATGTGGGGATTTTGATGCCAAGGCGGCGCTTGGACGATGACATGGACAGAAGACTCTCTCGACATGCAATGCTCGTCGCTGCATACATGCCACACTCGACAATCCGCATTCCTCACCCCGTCCTCATCCACCTCGGTCGCCGTCGCACCCACCGTCGTCTCGATCTGCGCTCTGTCCATCACGCACTAGCGCCACCATCACCACATCACCATTCGATGCAGACGTAGAACTGCCCTGACAAGCCGAACAAAGCCTCCGCCTACTCGGACGACACGATGAGTGCTCTTCCGTCAGGCGTGAGCCCTGCCTCGCGACAGCCTTCGACTACTCCCAACAACGGTCAAGGTGCCATCCGTCGCAGAAAGCCTACTGGCCCCTTCGCGCCCAAGCCTTCTCGCAACCAAGCAAAGCGTCCTCCGGCTCCTCCACCGCAAAAGCTTACTGGTGCCACCAAACCTCTGGCTGCCACTGCTGTCCAGTCACAACCCGAACCTGAAGACGATCCCTCCACCTACAATGAGATTCCCCTCAAGGCCACCAAGAAGGCTCTTCTTGAAGGCCTCCGCTTCCACGCCATCAAGTTCATTTCCAACAACGTCGTCAACCCATATGACAAGGAACAGTTCGAGCGCCCTGTCAAACTTCATCGTCGTTTCCCGCAGGATACCCCCAACATGCCTGTTGATGCCAATCCAGAAGACGACAAAGAGCGCGAGAAGGAGGCGATACGCAAGGCGGAGAAGGCCGCGGAAAGAGAAGCCACCCAGGCCCAGATCGCCCCGACCGACAAGGCAGCAGCGGCAAAAAAGCGCCAACCATTCAAGAAGAAGACCGAGGACGTCTACTATCCTACAGATACACCCGAAGCCCAGAAGCGTGCCAGATTGCGCTATGAAGAAGGCCGTCCCTGGCATCTGGAAGACTTTGAAAACAAGAATATCTGGATCGGTACATACGAAGAGCCTCTGTCCGAATCAAACGTAATGTTTGTCTTTGACAATGGCAGCTTCAGAATGGTTCCCATCGAGAAATGGTACCGCTTCAACCCAACGGGCCGCGTTCCGCTGCTATCCCTGGTCGAGGCCGAGGCTTTCATGGAGAAGAGAGAAAAGAACCCCAGATGGTTCATGGACAATGAGCACGGTCGCGAGAAGAAGCGTGCCGAGCTTGCAAGACAAGAACGTCTGACCAGAGGCAGAGTGGGTACCCGAGGTGAAAACCGCGTCAAGGACGAAGACGACGATGACAACGAGAATGTGGACGTTGCCGATGACGTTGACGAGCTGGACTTTGAAGCCGAGGACGAATTCCAAGACGACGACGAGGGCAAATTGTTCGGAGATGACGAAGAAGAGGCCAAAGAAGCCGCATCGAAGATCAAAAAGGAGCGACACGAAGCCAACATCTTTGCTGGCACGGGTGTCAAAGATGAGAAGGATTGGTACGAAGAGGAGCAGCTCGAGAAGAAAAAGGAGCGCGAAGAGAAGAAAAAGGCAAAGAAACTGCGTAAGAAGCTGGTCAAGATTGAGAAAAACTACGAGTATGATGACGACGAAAGTGACAATCCATACTCGGAAGAGGTACGTTCGGCTATTATCGCTACTCACCAGAACAGATCTAAACCCCGTGCTAGGAAGAATCAGACGACTCGGACATTGAGCGCCAACGTGAAGAAGACGAACGCAAGAAGGAAGAAGAGCTCAAGGCGAATGGAGACAAGCAGGCCTCCCAGATGTCGACCAATGCCAACACTCCATCGGGCCGTGCTGAGAAGCATGGTGGTCTCCAGCCAAAACCCTCCATGTCGAGCCTCAAGCGTCCCGGCTCACCCAACTTGTCAGAGACCAGTGGCAGTGAGTCAATCAACCACAAGCGCATGAAGAAACAGCACCGCCACAACATGTCGGGAGCTGCGTCGCCCATGGGACGTCTCGCCGGCTCAGGCAGTGATACAGAGACTGAAAGACGTTCTCGTCCCATGACCCTGAACCCTCGATCTGCCCCCGGATCGCCCGGCAACGCGACCCCTATCGGTTCACGCGCCGGCAGTCCCGTACCTATGCCGACCGCCGATGAGATCAGAGCCGCTGTTCCCCCTACTGGCATAAGCATTCCGGATTTGATCGCAAGGTTCAGAGAGCAGGTGCCCAGGACCAAGGACGGCAACAGGGCCTTTATTCAATTGGTGTTGAGTGTGGCCAGAGTCAAGCCCGACGACCGTAGTCTCGTTTGTCTTAGATGAACACAACAAGTCGTGAGCGTAGCCACAAACAGACCCTTAATGCTTGTCAAGAACAAGATCCCAAATTGAGATTGGAAGGCTTGCAGTCTGATAACTTTGGTTTCTTTGCATACCTGCCCCCTTTCTTCTCTCTAGATAGCGGCTTACAATGGTATAAGCAAAGCACTGACACCTCGTAACCTGATACTTCTAATTACGTATATCTACGATTATGGCTAGATGGGATAGCCGGCTCTATCGCGCGGGCTGGATGAAAGTGGACCCTGCCCCCGTATGATCGTCAGGGTAAAATGGTGCACATCTACCCACGAACACAAAATTATACTTTGTTCCCCGTCAGTGGCTGGCTGGTTCAGCTGACGGGTCATGGTGCAGGCAGACGGTTAGCGAGTACGCGGGATTGTTGAGAGTCATGTAAGGAGAGGCAGCAGGATTGTAAGGAGTCGTCGAGCTGAAAAATGTTGGTGGGGAGGCGGGCGTGTACAGTTACAGCGTTGTGGGACAAGAGGGCCTCGAAGGCTTTGGAAGGACGGAGAAAGACGACGCAACTCGCGACGAGTCGAACGCCGATCGACATGGCTGATGGCACAAGAATGTACAAGGTTCACGAGCACGGCTCCGTTGGCGGGAATAGAGTGGGATAGATATTATGATTTGGTGTAAAGTTGGTGAAATGGTAGACGAGGCAGCGGTCGAGACGCGGTTACATAAGACGTGAGATGAGAGTATGGCAGTGTCAGACGTAGATGAGGGCAGGGCGAGCTATTGATTGATGATTTCGGTTGGAGTGGAGTGAGCTGAGAGAGAGGCTGAGCCCCGTACAAGCCAAATGCGGGAGGTGGAAGGAGCGACGACGCAGGGGTTGGACGCGAAAGCGGGTCCGAGCGTGGGCAGTTATAAAGAGATGCCAGGTGTCCAGTTCTCGGCTTGCTTTGTGAGATCGTGCCTTTCGTTGTCCGTCAGAGTGTGACTCGGAGCGGCAATCTCGTCATTTTTCAGGCAACCGCGCAAGCAGAGGCCAGCTTTCACTTTCCACAGATGTAGGCAGTCGCTTTTCGACTCTACTACATCATGGCCGACGGAGTCCTATCCCCGCCAACCCTCCTGGCAGCAACCACTCCAGATCCACTCAACATGAACACTCCGGACTTTTCCCTCACGCCGTCCACGGTGGCCACCACCAACCTCGCTACCCCCAACTCCATCCAACACGTCCCTCAATCATCCGCAGCCAAGCCTGCAAAGAAACGCAAGTCATGGGGTCAGGCACTCCCTGAACCAAAGACCAACCTGCCGCCCCGTAAGCGGGCCAAGACGGCCGACGAGAAGGAGCAGCGTCGCATCGAACGCATCAAGCGCAACCGCGCCGCTGCGCACAACTCTCGGGAACGCAAGCGCCAGGAAGCCGAACGTCTCGAGGTCGAGAACCACGCCCTCAAACAGCAGATCAACGCCCTGCACCAACAACTCGCCCAAAAGGACGTCACCCTTGACAAGTGCAAGGACATGATCCCTGGTGGTCTCCCCGAACTCACACAAGAAGAACTGGCCAATATCAAGGTGCCCGAAGAAAGGTGCATACCATCGTCCGACTCTGCCTACTCATCGTCATGATATCTAACCTCGTGTGCAGCATCGTATCACCTTCGTCATCATACGACACGATCGACCCTCGTGCATCTCTTGCACCTTCATCCATCAACGAAGACTACATGACGCCATCGGTCAAGATGGAGCCCATGTCGCCGGCTTCTCAGATGCACCTCCCCCCTTCGGCTGTCCACAGGACAAGCATCTCGCTCGACCCGACACAACATTCTGCTGCAATGTTGTGCGACCTGCAGTGTCGGTCGAGCGAGACACACAGCCCTTCAAGGTGGAGTCAGATTATAATCTATTTGATGCATCTGAACATCATGACCTTTTACAAGAGTCTCATGGTAGCTTCGTGGACCTTATGGCCGACTCGTATGGCCACGATGATGAAGCAGGTCTCAGCCACTTTGACAACCTCATCGAATTCGATGACGTGCACTCGAACTACACGACGAACGCAGGGACGGCTGACGGCGGCGACGACGTCTTCAACCTCTCCAACTACGGCCTCAAGGACGCTTTTCTTGCTCCTGAGCTTACTCTCGCATCGGCTCCCAACCTCTGCGACTTCAGCGCAACTTTTTGCGACGGGTCCTAAGGTTTCGGGTGTTAGCGCTCTCCAAGCGCTGCCTACTTCCGAGAGCGAGAGCAAGCAGGAAAAGGAAGTGTTTGAGAGAGACTTTTTGGAGATGGTGAGGCAAGTGGCGGCTAACGGATATTCAAGGCGTTCTGGGAGTAAGGGAGGCACATTAGGGTCATGGTCTGAAGAGCGAAAGGACTCTGGCGGGATTGAATGACTTGTTTTGATAACTATTCTTCTGACGCATGACGACCAAAAACAAAAGCACAAAGGTGTGTGTGGGAGCTTGATGCGACCAGCACAGTCTTCTTTCTCTTTACAGATGGGTAAACATGGCATGGCGAGCGAAGGGTCACAGGAAGCGTGTACTTTTAGAATCGAAATGCATGATACAAACACTGTATCGACTTGTTCAAGCAAACCATCTTCCCTGGCACAGACGACGGTGAGTTCTTGTCTTCGGTGACTGCAATCGGAGGAGTATGTCGCAAGGAACAGCCGACTGGGTGAAGGTCTGAGTGAGTACAACCTGTCAGTCGGATGAAGTGGACGAGATTGAGATGGCCAGAGTCTTGGCGCATGTGTACGGGGGAGACAGCGGGGACCGGGAGATTGTTGGCCGTCATGACCATCTCGACAGCCTCCGTCTTCCACGAGTCGCGACGACTGGACATGTTCTTCTGGCTCGAGGCCGACAATTGATCCATGTGAACGGCTCTCTGGACTCGCCCAATCCCCACGACAACTACGACGCTGTGCATACCCCATCTCTCCTGGGCCGGGAACCTCCAACACCGAACCCCGTCCTTCCTGGATCGGCACTTTACAACACTCGACACCGTTCCAGACACGTGCTTGAATAGAGACCCACGCTCACCATGTCGTCGTCAGGTAGCGGCCTGTTCAATCGCGGTGGTGGAAGCGGCAACCAAAACACCATGCGCGGCTTGGTGTCCTTCATTGCCGACCTGCGAAACGCCCGTGCCAGAGAACTCGAGGAGAAGCGCATCAATAAAGAGCTGGCAAACATTCGCTCAAAGTTCAAGCAGGGCGGTCTGAGCGGTTACGACAAGAAGAAGTATGTCTGCAAGCTGCTGTACATCTACATCCTGGGCTGGAACGTCGACTTTGGCCATCTCGAGGCCGTCAATCTCGTCTCGGCCACAAAGTACTCGGAAAAGCAGATTGGTTACCTGGCCGTCACTCTGTTCCTGCACGAAGAACACGAGTTGCTGCATCTGGTCGTCAACAGCATTCGCAAGGACTTGGCCGATATCAACGAACTCAACAACTGCTTGGCTCTGCACGCCATTGCCAATGTTGGAGGAAAAGAGATGGGTGAAGCCTTGGCCTTTGACGTCCACAGACTGCTCATTTCTCCGTAAGCTCACTCAACTATCTCTCCGAGCCATACACCTACTGACGTGCCACACAGCACATCTAAACCTTTTGTCAAGAAGAAGGCCGCTTTGACTCTGCTCCGTCTCTACCGTAAGGCACCCAGCATTGTGCAAGCCGAGTGGGCTGAGCGCATCATCTCTATCATGGATGACACAGACATGGGTGTTGCTCTTTCCGTCACCTCGCTTGTCATGAAGCTTGCCCAGGACGATCCTGATCAGTACAAGGGCAGTTATGTCAAGGCTGCTCAACGTCTGCAAAAGCTTGTTGTCGAACACGAATGCGCCGGCGACTACTATTACTACAAGGTCCCATGTCCCTGGATGCAGGTCAAGCTTCTTCGTTTGATGCAATACTTCCCTCCCTCGGACGACTCACATGTACGTGCTTTGATTCGCGAGTCTCTACAAAAGATCATGGACAATGCTATGGAGGCTCCCAAGAACGTCCAACAAAACAATGCCCAGAATGCTGTTCTTTTTGAAGCTATCAATCTCACAATTCATCTCGACACCGAGCAGGAATTGATGATGCAAATCTCGTCACGACTGGGAAAGTTCATCCAGTCCAGAGAAACGAATGTGCGTTACCTTGGTCTGGAAGCCATGACACATCTGGCTGCACGTTCCGAGAACCTCGATCCTATCAAAAAGCACCAGAGCATCATTGTGGGGTCTTTGCGCGATCGCGATATCAGTGTGAGAAGGCAAGGTCTGGATTTGCTGTACAGCATGTGCGACACAACAAATGCTAAGCCCATTGTTGGTGAGCTCTTGAAGTACCTGCAGACCGCCGATTACGCCATTCGCGAAGAGATGGTTCTCAAGATTGCCATCTTGACAGAAAAGTATGCTACTGACATTCAGTGGTATGTCGACATTTCGCTGCGACTTATTGCCATGGCTGGTGACCATGTCAGCGACGAGGTCTGGCAGAGAATCATCATGATTGTTACCAACAACGATGAGCTCCAAGTTTATGCCGCGTCCAACATTTTAGAATACCTCCGAGCAGAGCAATGTCACGAGATGCTTGTCAAGATTGGCAGTTATCTGCTTGGCGAGTTCGGCCATTTGATTGCCGATAGCCCCAAGTGCAGTCCTATCGAGCAGTTCATGGCATTGCAGTCGAAATTCAACGGCAGCTCCTCGAGTACGCGCGCCATGATGCTATCTGCATTCATCAAGTTTGTCAATTTGTTCCCAGAGATCAAGCCGCAGCTCTTGCAGGCATTCAAGACGTATAGCCATACGCTGGACTCTGAGCTCCAGCAACGTGCATGCGAGTATCTGACTCTGGCCACGATGCCAACGGATGATTTGCTTCGAACAGTCATGGATGAGATGCCGCCCTTCCCTGAGCGTGCTTCTGCATTGCTCTCCAGATTACACTCCAGACAGCACAATACAACCGACAAACGCACATGGATCGCCGGCGGCAAAGACGCCAACAAGGACCTCAAGGAGCGAAACAACACCCTCAAACGCACCTTCAGCGCCGGAAACACGCTCGACACAACCTCCACAGCACAATCTCCCGTCAAAGCCAACGGCACCAAAACGCCAGCCGACGAACTCGCAGGTCTAGACTGGGGCACTTCTGAATCCAAAACGCCCAACTTCGCCAGCGCAGACCACTTATCTCCAGGCTGGGAGAGGGGTCACGCACGCATGCTCATGGTACCCGAAGGCATTCTTTACGAAGACTCGCAGATTCAAGTGGGCGTGCGCTCAGAGTACCGCGGCGAGCTGGGCTGCATAATAATGTACTTTACCAACAAATCATCATTTGCCATCAACTCGTTCACAACGACGCTCAACAACCCTTCGCCGGACAACATCAAGATTGACGTCAAGAGTTTGCCTGAGACTACTGTGCAGCCGTCCACGCAAACACAAGCGATGATCATGTTGGAATGCCGCAGCGTGTTTACCTCGGCACCCACCATACGCATTTCCTGGCTCGCTGGCGCTTTGCAAGCATTGACTCTGCAACTACCTCTTGCCATTCACAAATACCTGGAACCTGCTTCACTATCAGCCGACGACTTTTTCAAGCGCTGGAAACAGATTGGTGGGCCTGGTCCCCGCGAAGCCCAGCGCATATTCTCGGGCAAGGATGTTGCTCCCGTACCTACAAGACGCATCTTGGAAGGATTCAAGTGGGGTGTGCTCGATGAGGTGGACCCGAACAAGAAGAACTTTGTGGCGGCGAGTGTGTTGCACACGAGCCAGGCTGGAAAAATTGGATGTTTGGTGAGGTTGGAGCCGAACACTAATAATGGGGTAAGTTCTGCCAGTCCTTGTCGATGACGATTGCAGAGAAGGGTGATTGCTGACTTGTGGAAACTACAGATGTATCGGCTTACCATCAGAGCTACTGATGAGTCTGTACCGCAGATTCTCATGGAGGCCATGGAGAAGAGATTGGCTTTGGGAGAGGCGCCTTTCTACCCACCATAGGATGGTTGAGTATTTGGTGCAGAAGCAAGAGAGGGGCTTTGAAATGTCCAACTTTATATCCCAAAACGCATTTGCTTCCCTTTCTATGTCAGGCAGATGACCATATCTTTTCCTCACTTCCCGTTATCAAAATTCTCGATATTTTTGGGCCGGTGCATTTTTGGTACTTTTGAGCGTATCAAGTAAAAGCAAAACCCATTTATATCATTAAAGGTACAATCGTCACTACGAACTTCCCTACGACGCGTTGCCGGTGTCTATGTGTAGCTTCTCCTTTTCCTTTTCCTTCTCCTCGAAAGGATGCTCGATGAAGACGGAAACCCTGCCTGGGTGAATTGCCGAAGCATCAGAACCTAGTCGATGTTGGAGAGAACCGCCCCCAGGTGAGTCACTGTGTCGATTCGCTTCGGGTCCACGACCAGGGAAGAATGACGATACAGGACTATCAACGGGTGAGTCGAGAGGCGAGATGTCGTTCTTGTTCGTCTCCGACTCCAATGGTTGATCGAAGGTGATGCGGCGTGGCTCGGCATTCAAAAAGTCTTCAGAGTCTCTGCGTCTTTTGCCGCCACGGACAAGTTCGTACCAGGCCACGAGCGTGCTCCAGCGCATGAGCAGGGCAAACGTGTTGAGGCCAGTCAACTGCGAGAAAAAAAACATGTCAGTGTCAAAATCAACGAAGAGAAAGATGGAGCAAGACTTACAGCACAAATGATCAAACACGCAGAGACGGCAGCCTCTGTGATCCCGAGCTGCTTGGCCAACGGTAAGCATTTGTTCTTGTCTTGTGTGATGACAAGACAGGCAGCCCAGCCTGCGATTTCCTTTGCGCGGAAACCGCGAGCCTTGTCTCTTGCCAGCGACGTGTTGAGTGCCACAAAGACACCCGAGAGCATAGCAACAACCGCAGTAGCTCCCATACACAGGAGGATATTACGCCATTGCAGAATGAAGACTCTGCGTACTCGAACCCATGCCTGTTGGCGAGTTGCTTTCCAGGGTCTGTCCCAGGTGCTCGTCGCTGCACTGGTAGGGAGCTCGCTCGAGTTGCCTGTGGCACGCGTCGGCGACGATGGAGTGGTCTTCCATAGGTTCATCAGATAGATGTAGAGACAGTAGAAGCTGGTCGCTATCTGCAGGACGAACGCCAGACTGGCAAAAGCGATCATCCAGCCAAAGTAGGTCGTGAAGGTGTGCTTGTCGTTGGGAAGGCAGACAATCGCCAAGCGGTACGAAACACCGGTGCATTTCATGCAGACCACGGTAAGGATCGTAGGAATACCCCAGCAGACGACTTGAGAGGCTATGAGGAACAACTGTGTATCCGATCTGTTCCAGCATACTCTTAGATGTGTCCATAGCGAGCGCGACAGAACCCAGCAAACGGACGCCATGCCTCCCCATAGGAGTAGGGCTCCAGAAAAGGCGCATGACAAGTCCGAATACATATCATTTGGTGTGATAGCATCGTAGCACATGGAAGGCTTGGACCCCAATGGAATGATGATGGCCAACTACATTTACTGTTAGCCTTTGGACGATCGGCATTGAACACCGACTGAGAACCTACCTGTAGAAGCACATTGGATACAATGAGGCCTACGCTGAGATAGTGACGATGACTCTTCTCAGGGGCCAAGATTGCGTAGGTCAAAAGTAGGAATACACTGCTAATCAGACTGACAACACTGAGCCACTCGGCCGCTAGCTCGTGCGTCGGGAACTCTTGAAGAAACAACATTGTCAGCTTGGTTATGAAGAACCTTCTGATGGAATATACTCACCATCAGAGTATACTAGTTCGGTCAATGGACAAGGCAAGCAGCAGTCATCACTACAGAAACGACCTCCTATGTCTGAACGTGCGTCAGCGTAAATCCCTGTGGTCAGTTTTCACTCCTAGACATACATCCACCTCCAGAGGTATAATTTTGTCGACTGAGGAACGGCAAAGGGCATGTGGTTCCTGAAAATGACATGTTGCCCGCCATTCTTAGCGGGTTTTGCGACGCAGTGAAGATGTTCGAATTGATTGTGGCGTTGGAGGCAAAGGAAGAGTATGGTGTAGTCAGGAGTTTCGCTTTATCGAAGAGAACAAAGACCCGAAACCGGCGATCTGGTCGATTAGCTCGTCACCAAAATGGGGATGACTGCGACATCTTTGTACGAAAGCGCTGGTAAGGCTGGCCTGGGCTGGACTCGGAAGGAATGTAGCAACGCGGAATGCACGCCCTGCCACCCATATCACTATTCATGAACCATGTGGAGAAGTCGAGAAGCCATGAATAAAAACAGAACGTTTGAACACCTTTGACCTAATTTTGGGTATCCCTTGTCAACTAATTTTGCCTTCGCCATGCTGGTCGGGGTATAACGCCTGCGCTCCGGAAACTCCTTGGAAATACACATCCTCATTATACCATGCATTCATGCAATGCAACGCCTCAAACAGGAAAGCCATTGAATCCAATGCGCAACTTACCGCGCGCGCCGTCAGTGTGTTCGTCGTGCCACTTGGATTTCCATGCGAGCTCGGCGCTCTTTGCTTCTTCAAAGGCTGCTCGGCACTCCTCCGGGAGCTCATCCAAAACGTCTTGTGGGATTGTCGAGAGGCCGTTGGTTGAAAGGTCATCAGCATCACCATCCGGACCAGGGACACCCAAGTTTGCTCTGGGTGCACTTTCAAAGTGGGTGTCGGTGACGAGATAGTTTCTCGCGATGATATCGGGAAGAGGTTGGAAGATGGCAGGTTCTCCATTGGTAGAGTGGTTCTCACTGCCCGATACAGCAGGCTCCCACTTGATGTGGGTCGGCTGCATGATCTTGGGGTAGAACATGAGGTTGGTGTTGATGTCATAGACGCCATTGAGGTTGGAGCGACGTGCAGCGGTAAGACTGGAATTGAAGCGACTGGACTTGGTTAGCGGAAGTTGGAGGTATATGGGGAAGAGGCGCGATATTACCTTGCCTCTCTGGCGTGCTCAAACTGCCAGTTCCCGGTGGTGATGTTAGTCTTTCTCTTTCCTGGAGCAGGCTTGCCTGGCTGAAGAGGAACGCTAGGAGCGTTGTTGTGGTAGACCTGACTGGCTCCGTGCCAAGCAACATACTGGTTCTTGTTGTATGCTTCGCCGGGAGCAGGAAGACGGTCGTGAGGGTCGGCTAGTTCACCTTCAATGTCACCTCTCTCCTTGGCAGCCTGGACTTGGTAGTCGTCAATGATCTTGCGGCCTCCGACGACGATACGCGCACCGAACTCGCGGAAAACAGAGCGGGCAGTAACCACTCCGATTGCGCGACCCTTGTACGAGTGTGGGATGATGTCGCGCGAGATCAAGTCTTTCTTTTCCTCCTCGCCGATGATGATCTTGTATAGCTGCAGGTGCTTTGTAAAGAAGAGGTAGCTGTCGCGGAAACCGGTACAGCGAGCGGGTTCGGTGGACAACATGTAAAGCCTGTCGCCGCGGCCTAGGATGGTGAAGACGCGCACACGGTAGTCGCGTCCGCCTTGCAAATGGCCGTCTTTGTTGACCTTGGTCTCTCCTTGAGGGTCCTCTGGGAGCGCGATCTCGTCGTCGACAACGTCCATCATGTTTCCTTCCTTGTCGATGGGCACTCGTGTGGCATGTGAAGGCCCTCCTTTTGGTCTGCCTCTGAAACCACCGCGCGGTCCTCCAATACCTGACGGACGTCCTCTCTTTCTGCGTGGGGTGCCAGACTCTGATGCGTTTCCAGTGCCAGGTTCCGGGGTGTCCCAATCTGGGCGGGGACGGGTTGGAGGACGGCCTCTGCCGCGTTTGCGAGGAATCGTCTGGACAACTGGCGGACTGCTGCGGTCTCGGCCGTCTTGGTCGTCGTCTACGTCCTGTTCGCCATCATCATCGTCGGCGCCGGCTTGCTCGACATGGTCGTCGTCTTGATCGTCTTCGTCTTGAACAATTGGGTCTGGCATGTCTTCATCTGATACATCGACTTTGACAGCAGGAGTCGAATTTCCTAAGCCATGGTCAGTAAGGATGCGCGCAAATACGACGATGAGCTGTACGTACTCGCTGACAAACGCAGCCTTGGGCCGCCGTCTCTGCCCTTTCCTCGTGGCATGGCTTGGACGTGGACAATGTTGATGATGCTCGCGCGTCTGCGCTGCCTCTCGCGCTCTCAGAGACCCTCGATTGCAGCTTCCCTCGGCGAGTCGGCGTCTCGGTAAATCCCGTTCCGACAGTGCTTGATCTTCTATCTATTGACCATCTAGACAACTACCTGTCGCATCAAACATCGACCTGTCGAGATGCATCTAGTGGTAATCGAAGAGTTTCGCTTGGTCACACATGGTTAGAAGGTATACATGCTAGGGAACGTAGGATACACAGTAGGATACACAGCCAATGTTGCTAACCATGACGCCATCTGCTCGTGGTCCCTTCTTTCTACTTAGATAGCATACAGTCAAAGCTGGCTCGAGTTGCCTGGGAATAAGCCTGTAGATTGCATGTTGCGCATCTGAATGAATATAACCATCATGCATGTATTTGCTGCAGTCATCCCCTTGCTTGACGAGTAATGGCTAAATCACATCTGCTTCGGGACATCTTTGAGCCAAGCGTTTTGATCTGCAGACAGTCGCCGAGGGCCAGGGCGACTTTGGGGGGCAGATGATCCATGATTTATGATCCAGACAAGCCGCACATGATGAGGCTGTAAGATGCGGCGAGGCTTGCACCGATAGTGCTTTTCCTGTCGCTCGCTTGGATTCTGGGTCTCTTCAGCTCTGCGACATTATTGCACAACACGTATCAGGAATCAGGATAGACTGCCAGGAAGAAGAAACACCAGCTCGAGTCCTGACGAGCGTTGGACTGAAGTTTCCCCGCTAACGCCATCAATGACATGGCTCGCCCAGACGCTGCTTCATTTCTTGCGCCGGCCTTCAGCATCGTTTCATCCTCTGAATATTCTCCTCATCAATCTTTACTCGCACGCTCTGAATCGTCATCAATCCTGGCTGTAAATCGCAGCAGCAATCTTAATCCGTCGGGCCCCTCTGACAGGATTCAGCAACCCGACCGACCAAAACGAAAGCACTCGCCATCTTTCTCGTCCAGCAAGCAGGATTCGCTGAGGAGACCACGTCCTCCGCCCTTGTCATCGAAGTCTAGCAGTCTGATCCCGACCGTCTTCATCGAGCCTGCTCCTGCCGACCCTTGGTCAACGAGATCATTGACCATGTCTTCACCTGCGTCCAACACCCATCCTCAACAGTCCCCCGCTGCGGATTTGTTGCGTCAGGCAATGATGCAAAAGTAAGCTTGCTCCGCTTCTTTTCCTCGTGCTTTTGATATTTTTGCCCTCGTCCTCCTCGGCCATTTCGGCCGTCTCCGCTGCATATCTGTTCGTTGCAGTGCTGCCATACTGCAGCCTTCCGAGCACTCGCTACAGTGTCGAATGACCAAGAGCTGCTTCTAGAAGCTCTGGCTTGATGCGGAGAATGATTGATGACTTCTTCTCCCGCTGCCATGTGCTGCTGCTGCTGCTGCTGCGTCGGCCAGCGCGGCCAGCAAAAAAAGCTGTCGTCATTCGGGCCGAAACTTCCACGGCGAATCGCAGATACGCAGTTTAGATCCAACAAAACACTGCGACACTCTCCGACCGTGATTGTTTTGGTCGACGAATCTCTTGCTTGCCCTCCTTGTCAATTTCACACATCCTCAAAAGTGTTTGCTGCGTTTCAGAAACTTCGCCATGGCCGACGCTAATCTTCTCCGTCCCACTAGTACTCGAGCACCGGACGAAGATTCCGATCATGTTGGCTCGGGCGCATCAACACCTCCCGGTGGTGTCTCAACGCCCGTGCCAGATCTGATGGATAAACGTCAACCCGGTTTGGCCCATGCCTACTTTGCCCAGGTTTGTCATTCTTTTCGTGCTCCTTTCACATCACCCACACATCCTGCCTGCCCCTCGTCTCTGTCCCGCAGCGTCACCCATGGCTCGAGTCTGAACATGGACCCCTCCTCTACTGCCTCCGCCGGCGCCCCTCCACCCACCGCACCCAATTCGCCCAAGCACTCTTCTGTCAGCAGTCAAGGCCCCCCGCTGCTCCCCCACGAACAGCCCGACGCCGCCCTGCCCTCGTATCCTACTCCGCCTCTGTCGTCGGCCTCCTCTCTTCACGGCCCGCAGGTTGATGAAGAAGGGTCCACAGATGTGCGGACGCCGACTGAGAAAAATACTCCGGCAGGACCAGCGCGGCTTCGTAGTTCGACACTGCCCTCAAACACCGTAGACACTGTCGTTTCCAGGCCTCATGTTTCAGCACATATTTCTAGCCCGGCTGCTCACCCCACCGACGTTCCTGATTCTTTAAATGCTTCCCTTGCCTCATCGTCCGAGCTTGAGCCATTGGACAGCGAGAAAAGAGAGCTAACACAAGACACAAAGAGTACTCCTCCTCGGACCCCACGAGCTTTATCACGCAACGAGACGGCCGCCGTTGTCGATGACGCCCCCGCTCCCACAGCTCCACAGATCTCGAAGATCGAGAAGAGCAGCCGATCCAGCTCCAACCAATCTAGTAGCCAACCTACTGTCGGTACAACCAAAGGCCAGCTGTCTGTCAACATTGTACAGGGAAGAGGTCTCAAGCCTAGTACCGCCCCCTATGTCGTCTGCATTTATCAACTGAACGAAGACATCTCTGGTGGCGCCGAGGTGGATGCTGTGGATACCAAGACACAAGAACAAGACAGCAACCAGAACGAAAACCTGGCCAAGGGAGTTGCTATGAGAAGAATGGGCAGTGACTCGGGGAAAGCAATGAGCATTCCCGGACTCGGCAGCCGCCAGACCAGCCAGACAGACATCTCCAAGCTCAAGGACTCCGCTTCGGACAAGCTCGTTACCGAGCCGTTGTGGAACCACGAGGCTGTATTGTATGTTGCCAAACATGGCCATCTTCATATCTCAGGCTAACAATGCTGCAGCGACGTCGTTGGTGATCAATCAGAGCTCGATATCTCTGTGTACGACAAGAAGAACCAAGAAGCCTTTATCGGGCACGTCCGGTTCAGCCCCAACCTTGAGAACTACGACACACCCCACGAGGCTTGGTTTAAACTGAAGCCTAGAGAAGGCGAATCCGACAATGTTCCCGGCGAGATCCAGCTCAGACTCAGCTTCCAGAAGACCGACAAAAAGACCTACGGCCCAGAGGACTTTGAAATCCTGAGACTTATTGGCAAAGGCACTTTCGGACAAGTCTTCCAGGTTCGCAAGAAGGATACACAGAGAATTTATGCCATGAAGGTGCTCTCGAAAAAGGTCATCATCCAGAAGAAGGAGATTGCACACACCATTGGCGAGCGTAACATTCTCGTGCGCACCGCCACCGCCGAGTCACCGTTTATTGTTGGTCTGAAGTTCTCTTTCCAAACTCCTGCCGACCTCTACCTGGTCACCGACTACATGTCGGGAGGAGAACTCTTCTGGCATCTCCAGAGAGAGGGACGCTTCCACGAAGGTCGTGCCAAGTTCTACATTGCTGAGCTCATTCTGGCTCTGAGGCACCTCCACCAGCACGACATTGTTTACCGCGATCTGAAGCCCGAGAATATTCTGCTGGACGCCAACGGCCACATCGCACTTTGCGACTTCGGTCTGTCCAAGGCCAACCTTTCCAAAGGAGACACAACAAACACTTTCTGCGGCACCACGGAATACCTTGCACCTGAAGTCCTACTGGACGAGCAAGGTTATACCAAGATGGTCGACTTCTGGTCGCTGGGTGTTTTGGTCTTTGAGATGTGCTGTGGCTGGTCGCCCTTCTATGCCGAGGACACTCAGCAGATGTACAAGAACATTGCTTTCGGCAAAGTTCGCTTCCCCAGAGACGCTCTGTCAACAGAAGGACGCAACTTTGTTAAGGGACTGCTGAACCGTAACCCGAACCATCGTCTTGGAGCCAAGGCGGATGCTGATGAGCTCATGGCTCACGCCTTCTTCGCTGATGTCGATTGGGATGCTCTTGGTCGCAAAGCGCTTGTTCCACCTTTCAAGCCCAAGCTCAAGGGCGAGTTGGACGTGAGCAACTTCGATCCGGAATTCACAAACGCCCTATCGAGTGGCAACTCGTCGTCTCTTAACGCTCGTGCGGCAGCTCTGGCCAGCGGAGTCAACCCAGCTAGCACACCTCTCAGTCCTACACTGCAGACGGCCTTCAAGGGCTTCACGTTTGTTGACGAGAGCACCCTCGACAAACAATTTGGCAACGACGCTAACCACGTGCAGCAAGCACAACAAGAGTCGCAAGAGGACAGCGATGAGTTGAGGAAGACCTCGAGTAAGGGTGAGCGCATGAGTGGCGTGGTCTCCTCGTCAAATGAACCACAGGGTATTTTCAACGACGGCATGGACGTGTAAAGTCCATCGCGTTAAGCCGCAACAATATTCAAGACCCCTCGAAATTTATCACTGGGGAACGCATTCATCCTCGATCCTCTTTTCGTGTCGACATAGTTTTGGGACATCTTTCTGACGGTGTTTTTATGTTGGTTGGTTGTACGGAACACGAATCAAACAGGTGGTGACGGGCCTCTTTTGGCTTTTGGGCTTTTTCCCCTCCTTTTTCTCAGTGCAGGCGGGTTCGAGGAGTGATGCTCCTGACCAAAGTACATTGCAACCAGCTCGGTGTGGAAATCGCATGCTTTAGTTGCATTGGGAGGAGTTATGAAGAGAACGTTTGTATATATCGGCAAGAGTTTTATTACTATCTGCCTCAATCACAATGATGTGTATCAAATGATGTTCACTCATATTTCTGTGATCCTATGGATTGGGCATCTGTCTGGTCTTCTGGTAAAATGTTCATTCTACTCAAGGTGACAATAGGTGGTTGGCGAGGTTTCACATCCAGGCCAGGGTTACCGCCTTGGTTGCGCAGAAGACCCTGCTCTGAAAATGTCGCTACATCTGACTCCGTGTCAGTCGCGTTGATGACTCTATAGATGCTAACTAAGTCTTCAGATACATCTTTAGATATTCTAGGACAATCTCAAGGGTACTTCGATCATATTGGAAGATGTGATGCTAATTTGTTGTGATCATGGTCGTACCTGGGAAGCTTTGGCGTAACCATAACGCGCTTGACCGAGATACACCATGTCAAGAGGTACAGGTGAGCAATGAATAATTTGCTGGAAACATATTACTGTAGCCCAGGATATCAGACATGATATGTGTGTAGCTAGTCAACAAACATTGATACTACGAGAGGTGTACTGCGGTTGGGATGGTGACGATAGTGGTGTGATGTCGGTGGAGTTGATCTCGAGCTTGCCAACGTCTTGTCTGGCCAGAATCGCAACACTGGTGTCAACACAGCACACACATGACAGAAGAGAGCAGCAACCGAGAGTGCATATAGTGAGATGGCATTCAAAGAACTCGAGGACCAAGTGGGTATGCAAATAGAGCGGCCATAGGTTGTTCCCAGGAACCAAAGAACCGGGCAGCAGCTGCTCTTAGCGCCGATCAGTTCTACCGCGGCAACCAAGCATGACGTTAGAGTCGTACCTGCCTCTCCACACCTGCACCTGCTTCCGTCGCCAGCGCGACCTCTCTGACCAACCTCACTTCCCGACATTCGCAAACCACACGAACGCGTCGCTTGCTCATCTCATTGTACTTTTACGGAATCGCTTGACTTACGCGATCGCATTGGTATTCTACACGAAGCTTTCTGCTGTCATCAATTCTTCCGACACATCTCACACTCTTGCTTGCACCATCGTGCACCCCTCCACATCACAAATATGAGCGACAAAGAAATCAAGGAAGGAGACCAGGGTAAGTCACTCATCCATACCCTTGCGTGTTCGGACCTCGTGTAGCTTCCGGTATGGCGATCGAGTGACGCGAGATTGTCTACGCGACGCTGCCTGTCTCAGCGACGTGTCGAATCGTACTGGCGCGTCAAGACGTAGATGCATCGTCCGTGTCCAAACGAATGCTGACTGAAAGTTGCTAGTCTCATGGCAATGGTCTGGCAGCCGTCCTGGAGGCACCGTCTCTGATGTTGCCAAGGAAGGCGAGCTCTCAATCGAGACCAAGAACGGCAACACTGTCAAGAAAAATGCCGACCCCGAAGATCCTGCTGTCAAGATATCTCGCTCGGGCAACGACGTCGTGAAGAGAGCTCATGAGCTGGACGTCGAGGAAGCGGGCGACAAGCACAAGGAAGACAAGGGTGCTGAGAAGACCGTGACCAAGGATGACAAGAAGGACGATGAGACCAAGGAGAAGGATGGTGAGGAGGAGAAGGATGACAAGGACGGCGAGAAGGAAGAGGCCAAGGAGGACAAGGAAGAGGATAAGAAGAAGAAGAAGTCGAGCAAAGGCGAGTCGAAGAAGGCGGATGGAAAAGCAAAGGCGGGCGACAAGCGCGAAGCCGAGGATGACAAGCAAGAGGACGAGGAGCCCTCGAAGAAGCAGCAGAAGACCGAGGATGCTGGCGAGGAGAACGGCGACAAGAAGAAGCGTGGACGACCTGCCAAGAATGGCAACGAGGCATCATCATCGTCGTCCAAGTCCAAGCCCAAGAAGGAGCCAAAGAAGGCAGCAACCGAGTCGGGAGAGCCCAGACGCTCGGGCAGACTCAACTCTACTTAGCTGAGGGTAGATGAACGAGAGAAAGAGAGAGGTCGAGGATCGAAGGGGATCGAGATTGGTCGGTAGTTTCTTGTATGAGGAAGGATTGTTATTGCACATATCATTTAGGAGTGCCGACCCTTGCGTGAATGTCGCTCAGAATGGCTTCCTTCTTCTGCCTCATGTGAGTTTTGCGGTGCTCCCAATAAAAGTAAGTAATGATGGGAGCAGTGACGACCAAGCCGCCGAGTAGAGATAGATAGAAGAGGCCACTGTAGCCATCCTGCATCTTGGGCATAGGTTGCTGCTGAGGAGTGGCAATGGCTTGTGGCGAGGCAACAGGTCTAGGCTGAGTGGTGGGTGCAGCAACAGGAACGGCAGAAGCAGGAGCTGGCTGGGCAGGTCGAGAGGTAGAAGGCGAAGAGGATGGCGACAAGTTTGGCTGGTCGGCCATGGAGCGGCGAGCAGCCGTGGCCTGCCTAGCCAGAGGAGAGAGACGCGGCAGGACTCGAGCACGAGAAGCCAGCATGTTGGAGAGACTAGTCTAGAGAGTTGCAGGAACGGACGACCAAGTGTACGCGTGGATGACAAAGTCGAGGACAAAAAGTTGAGCAATTCCCCAATTCCATCATTATCGAAGCACGGACCGACGTCTTGGAGAGGGTAGGGTGTAGCAGACTTCGCATGGATGCGCCTGCCTGCTCTACTCTGCTCTTCCGTGCCTGCCTGCCTGCTCTGTTCTGCGCCTACGTTTGCCCGCCTCTGCGCCTGCCTGATCCTCGACCAAACGACAACGCACCGCACCGAGCGACTCAACATGGGCTACAGTTCGGCATCCGAAGGCGAGATTGTCCAAGACAAGGCAATTAGATCGCGACCTCCCCCAGCCAGTGACCACGCCATTGACCGCAGAAGCAGACCTCGATCGCCGCCGTCGAGGGACACCCAGAGACCTCGCAACCACCACTACACCCACCAAGACTCTCACAAGCGTCCCTACCCTCGCCGCCATCATCACCAACAGAACGATCGCTACTCTCGCGACCATCAACATCCCTCTCAGTCCCGCCACAACGGAGAGCCTCCAGAGAAGCGCCATCGTCCCAACAAGAGCCCTGAACCTGCTCGTCACCCCTTGGATCACAATCCGCCTGCTCCTGTCATGCCCGACGTGCCCGAGCCCCCTCCAGTCGACGAAGCCACGCTGATCCAAGAGCGCCGCAAACGCCGTGAAGCCTTGCGCGCAAAGCATCGTGCCCAACCACAGCCTCTGCTCCAACAAGCCTTGCACATTGCTGCTGCCTCGGAATCCGACTCTGTCGTAGCCTCGCCCGCTGCCTCGGTACCTTCATCTCCCGCCTCTCCTGCATCTCCCGCTTCCTTCTCCATCACAAACGACCAAGATCTTGCCAACCCTGTCAATGCTGACCCTGATTCTCCCGCTGCTGCCAACGCTCCTTCAGCTGCCGATTACGATCCGACCATGGACATGCAAGAAGACAGAATCACCGCTCGTCTCTCTGCCGCCGCTCACCATGAGACAAAGGTCACAGACGGCGTATCTGATGCCGCTCAGACTGCCACAGTACGGCCTAATCAGCCCAAGGAACTGGACATGTTCGCAGATGATGACAACGATGATATGTTCGCTCCCGAGCCTACCACTGGTCCCAAGAAGGAAGATGGCACACAGGCCGTGCGCGTTCCCGAGGCAAAGCAACTGGATCGCAGTCTGCTCGACGATTGGGACGATCCCGAAGGCTACTACCGCATCATCCTTGGAGAGCTCCTTGACGATCGCTATCATGTCCAGACTAATCTAGGAAAAGGCGTCTTCTCTGCCGTTGTACGTGCTATTGACACCACCACCAACCGCACTGTTGCCATCAAAATCATCCGTACGCAGGAATCCATGTAAGTTCCTTCTCCATATCCCGAATCCCGCACAGAAACAACTGACATGCTTCTAGGTACAAAGCTGGCATGAAGGAGATTGAGATTTTGCAAACACTCGCCGAAGCAGACCCTGAGGACAAGAAGCACATCATTCGTCTCGAGCGCCACTTTGAACACAAAGGCCATCTCTGCATGGTCTTCGAGAACCTGAGTATCAATCTCCGCGAGGTTCTGAAAAAATTCGGCCGTGACATAGGCATCAACATCATAGCCGTGCGTCAGTACGCTCTGCAGATGTTCCTTGGTCTCACACTACTGAAGAAATGTGAGATTCTGCACGCTGACTTGAAGCCTGACAACGTCTTGGTCAACGAGAGGCGCAATCAGCTCAAGATTGCTGATCTGGGCTCCGCCATGTCTGCTGACGAGAACGATGTTACTGATGCCCTCGTATCCCGCTTTTACCGTGCTCCGGAGATCATGCTCGGAATCAAGCACGACTATGCCATCGATATGTGGAGTATTGGTTGCACGCTTTTCGAGCTGTACACCGGCAAAATTTGCTTCACTGGCTCGACAAACAACCAGATGCTGAAAGCTATCTTGGAATGTCGCGGCAAGATCCCAAACCGAATGCTCAAGAGATCCGAGTTTTGGTCACAGCATTTCGAGCCTGATGGCACTTTCTTGAGCCAGGAAATCGACAATGTCACCCGTCGAGAAGTAGTACGTCGCATGAATATCACCAGGACCGTACCTGCCAAAGAGCTCAAGGCACGACTATTCGCAAGCTCCAAAGGATTGAGCCCTGCTGATGCTAAAGAGTTGAATCTCTTTGCCGACCTCCTGGATAAGTGTCTTGCTGTCGATCCCGTGAGAAGGATCACACCTACGGATGCGCTCAAACACCCATTCATCTCCCGGCCGGGACCCGTTCCTCCTCACAACATTAGATAAAACGACTGGTGTATATCAGCGTTGCCGCTGTACATGGAACAGACAGGACGAGAAGTAAAATTTGTCGATCCTCGATATTGTTTTGACCGCAATCCTACAAAGGCACCTCTTTACAAACATAAATGTTACGTGAGATCAGCATCCCGAACGCTTACATTGCCAAGATATTGCTGTCTTGAGGTCAGCAACGACAGCAGTATTTCCAAGCTACCGAGCCTCTCACCGCATCACTCATTTTGTTTATCACCGCTCTACGTGTAGGGACAGCTGATTCTACTTCACTAACTTTGAACAAGCTGACTACCATTATCCGGCACGGCTGCATAAATGGACAGCAATCTATTGTTTGAGAGTAGACATATAAACGAGGAGTCAGCACGGCCAAGTCGGGTTCAGACGAGAAACCCGTCTCAATTGTGTCTCAGCGGGACCTGCTTCAGTGTTTTGATGTCCTTACGGCACCGACACCCGAGCTGTTGATAATTAGTTAAAGTTCAGACAGTAACGTGGAAATGAAGTAGAACAACAATATAAAACAGGACAGAGTGTTTGTTTCCGGCCGTATTGCACATTTGTACTCGTGTTCGACCGATCTTCTGGAAAAGCCGTTCGATACATTGCCCTTGTGCCGCACGTGTCTCCGAGACACCTATACCGCCTCAGGTCGTAGGTGTGATGAAGCGATGAAACAACGTTGTTGGCCAATAAACAATCCTTCGCTATTGTCTGTACAACTCGAGTGGGTCCAGAGTAAGCTGTCAAAGACAAACCCCAAGAGCGCACTGATGGTTCGTTCAACGGCCGTTTGGATTTGGTATAGGGAGTGTTGTCCGTTTCGATGCGGCTCAAACAAGCTCTTGTGGCAGGATGGTAACCGAGGAGAGCAATAAGATTGGAGACATGAAGCTCCCAATGTCTTTGATCATGCTTGCTGATCCTCTGCTTTCGGAATGTTCATGGTATGCTGTACGCGAGCGTTTCATCAGGTGTACGACACTGTTCAATAGAAGAAGAGAATGTGTTCGGATGTCGACTCCTTTACCTCCAGACACTGTCTTGAGGACACGTATCCTGTGGAGCGAGCTTTCACGGGAGGAGGCTGTTTGACCAAGACGTTGGCAGCAACGCCGAGGAGTGGCAGGAGGAAGAGGGCCTCTTCACGAAGCTGAGCGGGCTTGCACAGCAGGTATCTGCGTGGGCGCTGGGAAGTGGAGAGCTCATACCCGTTCCCTGCATCTCCTTAGACGGGTGGGCGTGTCATCTGTATGCAAGATCGTTGCAAGGGGTGCTGCGTCCCATGTAGAATGTGACAACGGTCGCAATCGATAGCGTCATTTGCCTCTGTCCACGGCACTTGTCGGTTCCCTAGCGACGAACGACGGACTCTTGTAGGCACTGCCGTTGAAGAGGAACAACGGGAAGAAGGTGGATTGGTTGATCTGGGAGGGCGGATGGGAGCAGACGTTACTATCGCGATAGCTGAAACGCTTCGACACGGAGTAGGGCAACATCCGAGGACAAGCACAAGCGGAGAGGCCACGCTGATGGTAGAGAAACAATAGAGACATGAAACGGGATGTTTGGGATATATTCGACTGTTGCAGTGTTTTGGATGGAAGAGATGATTATGGATCCCATATCAGCCGTTGAGCACGAGGACAGTTCGACGTATTGGTGTTTGATAGGCTGTCTCTGATGTATGTCGGCGTTCCAATATCATGACCACAGGTTCATTGCGCCGACTGTTGGAATGAGATGATCTTCTACAATTACAACCGATTCATTGAAATGAGCATGAGATAAGGAAAGAGAAGAGGAAGAGGGAGTGGGCAAGACTGAACGCGGCTGCTGCATGTAACGACCGAAACCACTGCTCAGCAGAGACTGCTGCTGAGCTTACATCCATCACAAGCCATCGAGCGTCGTTGATCGACTTCAAAGCCACCGCAACAAAGAGAAAGTCGGTATGCTCATCCTCCTGTGGGCTGACCGCTGGCAAGCGGTATGCGCAAGCGCCTTGCTAACGTCGAGACACATTTGATTGGACAGGTGGACACTGCGGGTTTGAATCTTCAAACCGTTTCTCGACCTGTCTTGTTAGCGTAACGGACGATGGAAAAAGGGGTTGAGAGATGCGCATCGTGCACAAGGGAGCGGTGTAAGCGTTGGCATGCTCGAACAACTCAAAAAAGCTGTGGACGTGAGAAAGCTGGGCGGCCGACCAGCGGACAGACAAAACTACGCTCGAGGTGGCTAGCGCCAAACGTTCGACACTCGAGTTTCAAGACTTCCAAGATTAAGATTGCCATGGGTTTCCGCGATACAATTTGCGAAGCCGTGCCAACCGCTGCGCCCATACGATAGTGATCGTGAGATGCATGCATAGTGCGGTGTCTTATGTTTTGGTTTTCGAGGTACCGAAGATGCACCTGCAAAAGGACAGCTCGCTCCAGAGCACTGGACGAAGATTGTCGTTAGATATGCAGCAAACCCAAGATGACGTGCGTTCTTGTCAGATGGGATGGGATGTGCAGCTGCTCCGTGTTGGCTCCAGGAGCAAGCGCCCTCCCACGCTATCACAGTCACAGAACGAGCGAGCAGATGTGTGCTTATCGTGCGGCGCATTGATATGCTCGCAGCAGTACCAGGAGCAGTCGCTACCGCAGTCACAGTCGCATGTGTCGTCGGTTGTCGCGGATGACCTTCAAGGATGCAATACGGGCGGGTACCGCAACTACTGACTACTACGCATTCACGACGCGTACAGATAGGCAGGGGACTTGCTGCAAGTAGACTGGCTCCATCGTAAAAGTGGAGGATAGGGTGCTTGCATTTCTCTGCACCGTCCACATCTTCTTTTTCTTCATTCTGCGCTGTTGAGTCATTCGTATGCGGTCGAGCGTGTCTAGATTCTCCTAGAAGCGCCTTGCCAACCAACCAGCCCTTGACCTTTCGGTCCACCTCAACATCTCCCTTGTACCATGACGTTCTACCAGACACACATGCATGCAACCCGCGGGCTGGTTAGGGGGCTGACAATCGATCCTGCGCAGCAAGGGAGGGCCAGAGACCAACAGCTGCTGCCTTACTCGTGTGGCAGACAGAGTCTTCGTACAGTACACCTGTTTCGTAACAGTGGTTTTCTCATGGCTGCCTGGTCTGCTCACGTTCGATCTTGGCTCTTAGAGGCGCAAGGCTGATCGTACACGTAACTTCACAGGAATCCATCCTTTCCTGATACGGCTGCCCTGGGAAATTCCAGCAAATGAGAATGAACGCTTCCAATCAAAGGATCTGCTTTTTTTTCTTCTCTCCCTCTTGCTTGGGCGCCACGGCGCTTGACTCTTGTGTCGAGAAAACTGGGAGGACCAATTTCCGTGCACCAATCGGTAGCTTCGGTCCACTCGAAACTTGCAACCTGTCACCAAGATTCCAATCGGCGGCTCGCGGCTCCTGGCTTCTAAACACGAACCCAAGGAAAGCAGGACCAAGCGTCAAGCCTCTTCGCGGCCCAAATCTTCGAGAATGGCAAATCTTGGAAGGATGATCGACAATGGCCATGTGTTATACCACGCACTACCACTCACACTATCTCTTTTCCAAGCGAATAGGCGTAGATGGTCCTGCCACACCCGGTGGCCACGAGACTTTAGCATCAAAGAAAATTGCAAGCAAGGTCAAGGTGGTTGCAAAGAGAAAGTTGTACGCCACATTCCCATAGCCAGAATTCATGATCGGCCAAGAGATGCGCAAGTTTTGCAAGACGACACGCAGCTTTGAGTAGCTGCAACAACGCTGTAACTCCTATCCGTCCCGCGCCTGCAAAGAACAAACCATTCGCACAGCAATGTAAATCATTCTGAGACGGAGTCATGGCTTGGTCATTCCTCGTCTCTGCACAGCAATCAGACGTGTATTACCGGAGGCTGGGCGGCAAATCAGCGCTGACCACAGAGCGAAACGAAGCTGCAGCCTGCATGGCGGTGTCAGGGAAGATCCCAGCAGTAGATCTGACGGCCGCATCGAACCGTGTGTCGTATGCGCGAGGGATGTTGCTGCTTGCTCCCTTGGTGCTGGTGCTTCTGCTGCCGCACAGGAGTGACATGACGACCACTCTTTGTCCATCCTTGCCACCCAGCCGTCGGACCAACAAAGCACAAGGTCGCATGCGGCAAGGTGGCCAAGTGCCACCTCGGCCATCTCCACCCAAGTTGCAAGCTTTCCCGAGACGCCTTTGCTTTTGGCGCGCTTGTGCATGCCCTCTGTGGACCCACCATTCCAACGACTCAGAAATAGGCACACGTTGCGCCTCACAGCTAGTGGCCGGTGAACTAGTGTGCAAGCGCGGGCGTGAGTGACAGGCTTCGAGCGCCGCTAACGATCACCCAGGATGCTTCGCGTCAGGGACGGAGCTGTGTGGCCCCGCCAGAAAAAGGCCATCGAACACTCTATGCCACACAAAGTATGTCTTTGCTTCCAAGCTACTTTTAACTAGACTCTGCCGGGACTGTTTGTTCGTCATATCACCCGCCTGAGCCACCTTCTCCCGTCCATACATACATACACCCTCCTGTTCGTCGTACACTCCACGAGTAGTACTACTATTCATCTACTCCGACCAACTTTTTTCTTTTTGTCGAGCACATCCATTCATTCATAAACCTTTCCTCTGCCACTCTTCAACAACATCAGAAGTTCTTCTGGAGGCTGTCAGTCTTTGGCTTTTATACCAACCACCTATCCGGACCACCTAGGGAGTTTGTTTGGTATATGCTTGTTTGAGCATCATACACTTGGATCAACCAAAGAACGACATTAGCATCTCACAGCTTCCACTTTAACATGATTCCCACACCTCCTCCTTCTCCCAGGTCGTGTGGTGCTTGCCCTCCTGAGGACCGCCTAGGCCAAGTTCTTGCCGGATGCATTCAGTTGACCGAAGTCCTTGGTGTCGGTGCCTACGGAGTTGTCTACCGGGCGTTCGATATGCGCACGGGAGTTCAGTATGCCGTAAAGGCATTGAACAAGATTGGCCTTGAACCCAGGCAAAGGACCTTCCAGGAGAGAGAGATTCAGCTGCACCACCAAGTTAGTCAACATCCCAATGTAGTCTCTCTGGTCAAGGTATTGGATTCCGTCGATTGCACTTTCGTTGTCATGGAATTCTGCCCCGAAGGCGATCTCTTTTCAAGAATCACCGAGCAAGGTTTCTACATTGGCCAGGATGCCTTGGCCAAGAATGCTTTCCTTCAGATTCTTGAGGCTGTTGAGTTTTGCCATTCCGTTGGTATTTACCACAGGGATCTCAAGCCCGAGAACATCCTGGTCTCCTCGGATGGTATCACTTTGAAGCTTGCCGACTTTGGTCTTGCCACCCAGGACTACTACACTTCGGACTTTGGCTGTGGATCCACCTTCTACATGTCTCCCGAGTGCCAGCAATCCAACTCGCGCCCCAATGCCTGCTACGCCTCTGCGGCCAACGATGTGTGGTCGCTTGGTGTCATCCTGGTCAACTTGACATGTGGCCGTAACCCCTGGAAGCGGGCTTCCATGGACGATTCTACTTTCCGTGCCTACATGAAGGATCGCAGCTTTCTCAAATCCATTCTCCCCCTTTCGGACGATCTCGATCACATTCTGAGTAGAGTGTTTGATTTGAACCCTGCCCAAAGGATGACACTCCATGAACTGAAGCAGGCTATTCTCCATTGCCCAAAGCTGATCAGCGAGCCCGCTGCTTCCATGCCCATCCCCTCGCCAACCTACAATGCTGCGGATGCCGCAAGAGACGCCGCCTTCCTCGCATCTGATCACCTTATGGAACCGATCCCTCACATGTCTCAATCGCCTGCGTCCAACCTTCAGTACTCTCAAGTTCCACCGGCCGTGTCACACTTCGAGCAACTCCCCGCTTCCAGAAGCCCACCCATGCCTTCTCCAGAGCCTCAGAAGGCCAACGGTCCCTTCGCCTTCTTCACCAATGGTCAATGCACCCCTCACGCATACATCGCACCATGGTACAGCCAGTTCATGGCAACGCTTCCAAAGCACGCTTCTATTTTCCCGACGCGTGTTTTCTAAAATCATTCGCCTTCTTCGCTTCACCTGACTATATTCGCCATTTTCGACATTTCACATACCAAAAAGCATCATTACGAGACCACGCCGCAGATTACGCCAACACATTATGACTTGCTTTCGACACCCGCACGACATTGGCTGTCTTTGTTTTCTCTGCGATGATACGATCAACGTTTTCTTTCATCTTCTCAAACATACTTTGTAAATACACCGTTCGTGGCGCTGCCTAGACTTCTGGAGGCATTCCATTTCCGCACTTATATACCCATGGCCGATGGAGGACTTGCATCACAACTGGCGTTTTGTTTCATTAGGCTCGAGAGATTATCTTACCACAAGCCACCAAGCTGTGCTCACTGTACAAAATAACATATCTTCTTGTCGATACCTTACTTTACCATCTCACTTCTTCATATGTGACTATCCTCTACGAAACTAAATCTTGTGCAGCAAGACGATATGTAGTTCGGATGCATTCACCATCCCAATCCACCTTGGTGCATCGACGAGAAGTGCGCAAAGCAACACAACGACATGCAATCACACGTCTGCAGCCACCCAGCCAATTAGCGCCACGATGTACGGTACGTTCTCATGCATCGCTGACTGCGCCTCGTGTTGTACACAGTTTGACACGTAGAAGATGATGCACGGTTTTGGTAGCTCTCGCTTGCTTGTAATTGTTTCCTAGAAGATTGATCAAAGTCTACAAGTGTTCGCGAGAGTGATGGCCGCGATTGGATGATCTGAATCGTGCGTTCGCATCGAAAGAGGTCACGTACCTCGAAAATTTGGTTGGCCAGTTGAAGCCCCATACCTAAAGGCAAGATGTACCGCTTTATGCACGCATGCCATGGCCCATGGCCGAAGGTTGCGTGGTGGCTGGTTAAGCGCTGCTAGTTCCTCCATAGATTATGTACATCCTCGAAAGCTGCTCTGCCGCTCTGCGATTCTGGTGGATACTTTATTTTCTCTTTGATTTTTTTGTGCCAATAGTCGAATCCATCTTGCTCGTGGCTTCCTTGTCTCTTTCGGCGTGATTGTCGAGCCGGCACATGCGCACTCAGATTCTGCCACAATCTTCCGATCGCAAAGTGCACTCATCCCGCAGTCCACATCATCTCGCTTCTAGGACGTGCATAGTTACTACCATCTAAACCGAGAGTGCTTTCTTATTGTAGAAGCGAAGAAGCGAAGCAGTCTGTAGATGCCGTTGAGATGGATCTACCAAGAGACAACAAGAATTCTGTTCCCACCCCTATGTTGTCAAAGGCATGGCGTGTTCAATTCCGCTGGGGGTACTATGCAGTACTAGAACCTGCAGCAAGTTTTCGACCAAAGGTCAAACCTGGCATCGGACGCAATACCGTAGAGTCGAGGACCTGCGGATCGAGATCCATGTCGGAGAGAGTTCCAGTTGACTTTTGGAACCAACCCTTTACCGCGGTACTGGTCCCGATGTCCGCTGTAGTTGCAGAACTGTGTCACGGTGCAGATGCCCCCAATGCGTGAAACGAAGACCCTGTCGCTGCGACAGACCGAAACAGTGTGTTTCGCAAGGCCATACAACTCAAAATCTGATCCTGTCAGAGAAGCTTTCGAGCTTCATGGTAGTGCATTGCGACACCTTTGATCGTTCATCGCAGGAGATTCAGCTCCATAAAGCGGCACGTAACCAAAGCTATGTTGAAACTGGGCAGGATGCTATTGTACCCAGCCCTTGAGGATTTTAGTAATTATCACGCTTCTTCTACGAAAGCCTAGAGCGACATTTTCGCTATCAAAATGCACGATCATTTCCAAGCCGAGGACTTGACCAAAGAGAGCCCAGAACTTGTCACCTCTCAATAAATACCGTCCTGTATGTCGAAACCATTGTGCATTTGTATAGCTACATGCGTTACGACTTTGTGCACATAGGGAGGACGCAAGGGATAAACACAGTATTCTCAGAACTGCGTCAACAGACACTCATGTAAATTTGCGCACCTTTGGAACGGAAGTAATGGCAAATAAGGTGGTTGAATCTGGAAGTCGGCACCGGTCCTAAGCAACGCGTCCCTTTGTGATGATTGTAGGGCACGGAAAAGCTAGGGAAAGCGCAACCAACGGTGGTCATCTTGACATGTCGTGTCGGGTCAACATCAGCTTGTAGTCGCAACACAAGATTTCGCTCGTTGCTGTCAGACAGATGGCGCCTGTGCAAGCAAATCGCAACAATCGCTTTACAGGCGATCGACAACCACTCCGTAGCAATGATGACCTGCAACTCATTCAATCAAGAGTCCAAGGACCGATCACCTTCTTGAATCCTACCCAGGCAAGCTTCGAACACGCGATACACAAATCGACCACTGGAGATCTCCTTCCAAACACCACGACGCCTCTGAGCACGACAAACTCGGTCCCGCCAACCGAAGTTCCCAAATCACCCGCCGCCAATTTTGAGTACAAATGGACAGCTCGAGACAATCGCAAAGGTCGACACACCCTCGTTATAAAGAGCCCTTCAGTGGAACAACCAGAAGCGAACGTCGCTACCCCTCGAAGCACGACTCATTGGCAATCCATCATACATACAGTATGGCTGATGATAACGTTCTACCCTGTGTGGGACATATCCTGGTGCGTGGCTTACGTCTTTACCCTAGGAAGTGTTCTATGGGTAGTCAATTCTTTCTTCGTCTTTTTACCTCTGATGCGGCCCTCATCAACATTCCATAACGAGGCTCTCGTCGGTGGTGGCGTCACCGCCTTCATCGGAGCAACCGTCTTCGTGGTCGGAAGTATGCTTTTGATGTTGGAAGCCGTCAATGAAAATCGAGAGGGCTGCTTTGGGTACGCAGTAGAATCAGCGTTTGAGGGATACGTTGGTAAAGTCGAGAAGGGCAGAGGAAGTGGTTTGAAGATTGTGGCTAGGAACGATATGTGCACGCATCACCACCGCAACAAGGCAAACCTGGTGGGCAAGCCACACCGTACACCGCACAACACACCGTCCGGCCGCGACTCGAACAAGCAACACCCAGTCAAGACGAATTCATGGATATGGTGTCCTTCTTGGATCGAGCTCAAGACTCACTACTTCCATGAGCTCGGTTTCATCGCTAGTTTGAGCCAACTGATAGCGGCCACAATTTTCTGGATATCCGGCTTCACAGCCCTACCCGGAATCATGAACAAATTGTCTCCAGGGTTGAGCGACGGTGTATTTTGGACGCCACAAGTTATTGGTGGTAGTGGTTTCATCTTGTCAGGATGGTTGTTCATGATCGAGTCCCAAAAGCATTGGTGGCAGCCTGCACCGAAAGTCTTGGGATGGCACATTGGATTTTGGAACCTTATAGGTGGCTTCGGGTCAGTCCTGCGTTTCCCGCCTTGTTCTGATGCCCATGCTGACTGTTTCAGTTTCACGTTATGTCCCGCTTTTGGTTTCGATGCCAGCAGTTGGGCGCAATATCAGGCATCGTGTTCGACCTTTTGGGGATCCTGGGCCTTCCTGATCGGAAGTCTGATTCAGCTGTACGAGTCTCTCGAGAAGACACCCGTGAGATATGAAGGCTCTGCCTGAGGGCCGACTAGCAAGCCTCGCCCAAGCGAGCAGACATTGGAGACAGATAACTCAATCGCCTCCAATCTCGTGCATCAGCGCTGGACTCCAGTATTCTTTTTCGTCGGCCTGTGCATCTAACCATACGAGAGAGTCGGCAACAAGATCGTCAATGACAGCAACTGCTCTTGCACGCTCCCAACCTAGATTAAGTTGAAGCATAGAGACAGTCACGTAACCTAGCACTTGTATTGCCTCCAGAACAGTGGACTGATCAGTATTGAGCTCCTTCGGTACCGAGCGGATCATCTGCTTGGAGCCAATCTTCATGACAGTGAAGCCAGAGCCGAGAGGTTCCAGTGACTTGACAGCGCGGAGGATATCATCACTAGATATAGAATCAGTACTGGACACTTGGTATAGCGCATGTCTACATACTCGGACACCTCAAGTCCTCCACCAATGCCTCTTCCTTTCTCAACACGTTTTCGCACCTGAGGCACTTCGATCATGCCACCGTTCTCTGACCGAGTTTCGCGGCAAACTTCGACAACTCTGACAGCAAGTTCAAAGTAGAAGTCGTTGACACTGCCACCAAGCATCTGCGACCAAAAACTTCCGCCTTCATTCTTACCACTTTTGAGAGTCTTGTGATTGGAGCTGGCAAGTGGGTCGACTCCGATGGCATTGCACATGCGGGCAAATTCAGCCCTGAACGTTGGATTAGAGCGGATTTCAGCGCCATGAGTAAGGGAGAACGAATGGAGAGCGGCCTGAAAGACTGAGAGCTGGTTTGCTAAGGAGTCGGCATGGGCTGAGCGTAGAGCAGCGCCGTGAGAGGCATAATGATCTGAAGTGAGAGCGTTTCGCGAGAAGGCGGATAGACCGACTCCCTTTCTGATGTTCGCCATGATTGAGCGGAATACAGTATCTGAAAAGCTAACTGTGCCACGAACTAAGCGATTGCAGAGGAGTGGTTGCACGTCGAGTGTGGTCGGCGGTAGACGACGAGTAAACGCCAAGGAAATCTGGTCGTGGCCACCCATGGCGCTAATGCGGGAAGACCCGTCGACGCACGAAAAGTCCTTCTGAGCAAATCCAGAGAGCAAATTCTTTCCTCAGCAGCGACCTGACAACCGACCTCGCCATCCAACAACCAGTCAAGATGCCTTCCCAAACCGTCAAGACGTATGTGAATTGATTGCTCTGCTCTGCGCGGAGAAATGCAGACACAGTCGGTTCACTCGCTGGAGCGCTGCGAAACCCAGCGCCACCTCGATACTTTTGAAAGCCGACCGTAGTCCTCTGGTCGTCAAGCGTCTCTGCACGTCTGCCGCCTTAGAATGTACGGTCGAGGTCTTTGGTCGCAACCCATTGCGAATCGGTCTCCCATGGCCCCATCGATCCGTCGAGTTCACACCCAGTAGAGAATGCCGCTGTGCTGCAGTTCTCCGCTAAGAGGCTTCCCCTCTACACAACCTTGTGTTCTGACTTTCTCCCGACAGCTCGGTCCCCACCAAGCAGGACATCGTTCCTGAGACTCTTCTCAAGAAGAGAAAGTCCCAGGAGAAGGAGCGCGAGGCCCGCACCGCTGACCTCCAGAAGAAGCGCGCTGTAAGTCACACCGCCGCCGCCACCACCCAAGAACAGGATGTTGTCTACATGATGCATAACAACCACACCTCGACTAGACCTTCGGGTCGGTGTTGTCGAAATTAACCATCTTTCGGGTCTGATCGACACACATCCTGTTCATCGGCAACCACACAACAAGTTCGACCTTTACTGACCAAAGCTCAGGCCAACAAGGAGAAGCGCCAGGTCATCTTCAAGCGCGCCGAGTCCTACATCAAGGAGTACCGCGATGCAGAGCGCGAGAAGATCCGCCTGCAGCGTGTCGCCAAGCAGGAGGGTTCTTTCTACGTCCCTGCCCAGGCCAAGCTCGCCTTCGTCGTCCGCATCAAGGGTATCAACAAGATTGACCCCAAGAAGCGCAAGACCCTCCAGCTCCTCCGTCTTCTCCAGATCAACAACGGTGTCTTCATCCGCCTGACCAAGGCCACCATTGAGATGCTCAAGATCGTCGAGCCCTTCGTCGCCTGGGGTTACCCCAACCTCAAGACCGTCCGTGAGCTCGTCTACAAGCGTGGTTACGGTAAGGTCAACAAGCAGCGCATCGCTCTTTCCGACAACGCCATTGTCGAGGAGAACCTTGGCCAGTACGGCGTCGTCTGCATGGAGGATCTGATCCACGAGATCTTCACCGTCGGCCCCAACTTCAAGCAGGTTTCCAACTTCCTCTGGCCCTTCAAGCTCTCCAACCCTCTCGGTGGCTTCCACAAGCGCAAGGTATGTTCAACATGACTCTTTTTCCTCTCTTTAACATCAAACTAACTTCCTTCTCGTTTCTTCATTTTATTGAGGGAGGTGATTTGGGCAATCGCGAAGAGGCTATCTCTACCCTCGTTGCTCGCATGAACTAGATGTGACACATTGTGTCCGCAAAAACAAGGCTTCGCTTGTCGACAAAACTGGTTGATTTTTGGGTGGAGCATGGCGCAAACGGAAAGGCATTGTAATCAATTTATGACATCCCACGGGCTTTGCATCACAGGTAGAATGCAGCCCATGGCAAAAGCTCTCAAAACGTTCAATGTCTTTTCCCACCACATTATTCTGATTCTTCTGTTGTGTGCATTGGTTGTGATGTGAATTCGGTTTATTCAGTCTATCTAGCCTTTTGAAAACCACTCCAAAAATCTAATTTTCCCTGAGAGCCTTCTGATTGGGGCATTCCTCTACCAGTAGGCCACGAGATGTGATGGAACGTTGAAGGGTTCCTCGAAGATATTCTCGGTGCCTTCGTAAGATCGTGTTGTGAAGCCGACCTGGAAGATGAAGTCATCGTTGGCTTCATCATGAAGAATGGGCTTGATTTCAGTCCAGTCGCTGTTCATCAGATCGGCCGACTGGGGGAAGGTGCCGTCTTCCTCCTTCCGCTTGTACTTCAGTGAAACCCTCGCAAGATCGAAGCGGAAGATGTGACAGCGTAGCTGTCGACGAATTTGGTCTCTCAGACACTGCAGCGAATCGTATAATCGAGGGTCGATCAGAAAGTCTTGTGGAAGAGTGCTCAACTCCTCAACTCCATCCGCCGCAGCCAGTTCAAAATGCTCCTCCACAGCATCCCTGCTGTCAGGGTTGTCGGCACGAGGATAATAGCAAAGACTGAAGGTCTTTTTCGAGAGACTATCAGCGCGGAGCATAGCCTGTGCCTCTGTAGATTTAGGATCTGCAGTCTTCGGCTTGGGCCTCATCCAGCCCGGTATCATATCAGGTGGGACTGTGGTACCTTTGATGTCTCCATTTGCAGGGAAGCGGTTCTCAAAGGCCTTGCTGGACAATTGCTGGCAGTACTTGAAGTACTTTGTGAGCATCCAGCACCTGTTGTACGCCTCAAGCTTCTGTTCACCGTCTAGTGGGCCCAGGGTAGGACCATAACACTTCGACGGCGAGAGAAAAGGCACATTCGAACGATCAGGAAAGGCTTCCTTGTAACCGGCCAATACAGTTCTTTGTCTTGCCTTATTCTCCTTGCTGTCGAGAGTACACATGAGAGCAAAGTCCTCGATCATCTTCGACAGTATAGCAGCAAGACGTCTACCGGCCAGGATCCTCTGTCGTGCATTGTCGCCTGTGAGAGGGAATGCGGCGGCCGCATCGGATATGTTCTTGTACGATTCGAGATCGTCGTTGAGGATTTTGAAAGCGACACGGGCGCTGGTGTACTTGGGGAGCTTCTATATCTGTAGAACCGCGGAGAGTACTGGCCAGCAGAGCACAATACAGCGAACGTCTTCGGTATTCGAGTAACCCAGATACGCGGCTGTCTTGCTTTCAACTTCGTGGCAAGCAATAAAGCTTGATGGATCATTGGAGTCGCCAGGATATTCCAGCGCAGCTTCAGCCTCTTGGCTGACCTGTTCGCGATGTGTCAGTAAGAAAACTCGGATACCTTCGAGAGTCTAAACTCACGCTTGTGTCTAGCTTGATACGCTTTCTCGGGGCCATGGTGAACAGATATGAGTCTTCTCAAAGAAGTTTTTTGGGCAGTGTTGGACACGTAAGAGTTTCGGTATGCAGGTGAAGGACTTGAGTGCAGGGTTGGAAGATGATGGAAAGGATCCGCGAGGTTGGAAGTGGTGATGTGATGGAGATAGAGATACGAAGATGCGAACGAAGTTTTGTAGAGATCTGACGAAGGCTGTGACGGCGTCCAAGTGAGGCTTTGAGCAATTTCAAATTTGTTATGGTAGGGGTGAAGGAGAGAAACAGAAGAAAATGGTCCAACGGAGAATCCAATAGGGTGTGAAATGCAAAGAACAATCTCAATTCTGAATATAATAATCATGAATGGAAGCCCGAATAGTCAGGGCGGCTCTCTGTGAGCCTGTTCCTGGAATCACAACCTACTCATGCAATTGAATGTGCGATTATAGTTTCATACCCGGCTAGAGTGAGCCTAAGCGGTACTAAACGTTTGGTAATAGGGTATTGTGCTTCGGAGTGCATATTAAAGTGGTAATTGAAGCATTCTCTTTAAGCACAACCGGTTCTCACTATGTGCAGTAGGAGGCTGTAAGGCGTGTAGCTGTAAAGATGCACAGTAGTCTCCCATCGAAAGATGACATTACATACGTCGGATCTCTTTGGGTACGTCTCAATCTCACTGTGCATTTTTATAGTGAGAACCGCGGTCTTGACCTCCAAGCGGGAGCGTGGTAGGTAGAACGTGGGTTTGTCACACGAGTTGGGTGAGAATCTCTATAAACGCACGTGATATCATCACATCTTATCAGGCTCCGCTTATCGCGCTCGATGATATCAGTACATCTCACCAGCTTTCAGTCCATTAATCAATATGGATAGAACCTTCAGCCCAGATATTGGAGATGTTTTTCGCCTTATGCTCCGGGCGAGAGCGTCAGACAGTGTCGACACCCTAAGCAACCTGGACGATAGCAACGAACGCCGACGAAAGGCTATTGAAAGCATACTGTTTTCCCGACGATTCATCATAATCTATAACATCGTACTTCTGGGACTATTGGCATGTTTCACGGCTTGGTATTGGGGCTGCAGAATCAGTAGACTTCGACGACGTAGACGTGCATCTACACATTCGCCATCTACTCAGCCTGCTACCTCAAACCTGGTTCGCAAAGCTAACAATGGAGGCGAAACAACACCACTTCTCGATCAAGGAAGACCCAAGGTTAACCGTCCTGCGATGGTCTTGGCGGATGCTCAAATCCGGGCTTGGTGGATGTATCAGCCGTCCAACATACCATACATCCACAAAGTTCTTCCTTCGAATGCCACCGCTGTGGGCGTCCTGCTCCTGCTTGGTATCAACTTGTTCTTCCTACTGTACAAAGCCGAGCTTTCGATAGCCAATGCGTTCGTCTTCGCCGACAGAGCTGGCCTACTGTTTGTAGCCAACTTACCCTTGCTATACCTCCTTGCAGCGAAGAATCAGCCAATCAAGATACTTACTAATGCGTCGTATGAGAGCCTGAACATCTTCCATCGCCGACTAGGTGAATGGATGTGTTTGCTTGCAGTCTTACACGCTGGTAGCATGGTCTTGGTGTGGTATATCACACTTTCAAGCCGACTCAGCTTTTCAAGGTTCCTTGCCCTACCCATCATTTGGCTTGGGCTCCTCGCTTTCATCTCCTATGAGACGCTATATCTATCCTCGCTTGGCTCATTCAGGCAACGGTGGTACGAATTGTTCCTCGGGCTCCATATCGTTCTCCAAACCGCGGCGCTCGCTTTCCTGTGGTTCCATCACCACAATAGCCAGCCTTATGTGCTGGCAGCCTTGTTCATCTTCGCCATCGATCGCTTCGTCTTCAGGTTGATACTCAAGTCTAGGACACTCAAAGCTGATCTGTCCATCTTGGAAGACGGAGAGACAGTGATGTTAAGTTCGAATTGGCAATTGACCAACTCTTCCTGGTGGAAATCGTGGGGCATCAATGATGGTTGGAAGCCCACCGAGCACGTCTTCCTCACCGTACCGGCCCTGTCTCACAAACACTTCGTTCAAGCACATCCTTTTACCATCGCTTCTGCTGCCCCGACTAGTGCCGACTCGCATGCCTGGCTCAACTTCCTGATACGAGCTCAGGACGGCTTCTCACGAGATCTCCTTCGCTACGCAAAGTTCCACAGCTCTGTAAACATCCGCGTCGATGGGCCCTATGGATCTTCGCACGCTCTGGAAGTACTCAACGACAACGATGTTGCCGTTGTAGTGGCCGGTGGCTCAGGCATCGCAGTAGCATTCCCTCTCGTCTGGAGTCTGCTTAACGCATCGACACAAGCTCCTGAGCCAGAGAGCAATAGATATGCAAAGCCTCGTGTATCCCTGATATGGGTGATTCACGACCAAGAGCATATCAGCTGGATTCCTCAAGACCGACTTGATGAGCTACGTGACCTTGGCTGCAAGGTCATCGTTCCTCCGCCCACACGCAAAGCGGGCAGGCCCGATCTGCCAGACCTTCTTGAGACAGCTGTGAATGCATGGAATGACGAGGTCCAAGACCCTACCGTCGGTGTAGTCGTGGCTGGACCCGACACTATGAACAGGACCTGCAGAAATGTATGCGCGAGCCTGGTGAGTAGAGGTGCTCGGCTGGAGGTTTCGGTAGAGAAATTTGGTTGGTGACCCAGCATTTACGACGGGGACACCTAGTTTGTAGATAACTCTATATAATCCCGACGCAAGAAAGATAATACGTCGCCGTCAGGTATGTGAAACGGCACCTATCTGCTTATGAACCGGAAGTCTTTCGTTCTCGTTGTGCCTTGCAGAAGGCCGTGTGTCTCTTCCTCGTAAATGCCAATCTCTAGCTCGATATGGCTAGTGCTTGCTCTGTTTACCGTGATCACATCGTGTACAAAGTTGTGCAATTGTGCTTGTGGGCCGATGGGCAGGGTTACTGGGCTGACATGGCGGGTCTCCGCGAGACCACTTTGCATTCTGATAGCTATACGCTTTGCAGACTTTTACACACAAGAAGGTGGCATCTAAGCGCATTATACGAGCGCAGATATGCAATATGTCAATCTGCAAGAAGGTGGGTGGTTGACATGCCGTACGCTGGCGAAGCGTGTGGAGAAATGGTCGGCATCAAGAGCCGAGCAAACAGCGGCCACGGCGACCGCTTCGTGGTTCAAATCTTCAACTCGAATATCCACATGAGAGCATGGCTACACGAGTCGAATATGCTCATCTCACAAGATGGTGCAAGTCAGGAGCTACTGGTCTTAGTGCAGTTAGAAAAGACTACATTCCCAGAGGCGTACGGTCGTTCTCTAGTACACGTATCTTTGCTCAGGACGCTGAGCAAGCACCGACTCATGGATTCTCGAATGGCCAGAACCTTGGGAGCATCACACTGAAGAAGAACGGTGTCTATCTGGAGAATAAATTGCGTATTGTAAGCGTCATACACCAAAGATTTATGATTTTTTCGTTTTTAATCCAGCAGACGCCTTTTGCAGAACTCGACGTCAAAGAGCGTCCAGGTAGTGAATCTCTACGCTGGGATGGAGAGAGACTGTATTTTGAAAATTCAGAAGGCGAAGATCGTACCTATGTGTAAGTTGAAAGACATTCAAGCACTATCATGCATTAGTACTAACTATGTTCTTCAAGATCAAATTTATGGCTGAGGTCAGGACGACAGCAACTCAATGGTTAGGGATTAAGTTGACAAAGAACAGAGACCAGTGTCCTTGTCACGAGTGTGTTCACCCTGTCACCCGACAGAGGCAGCTTGATACTTTCTCGGTGTGTATATTCCCTTTGGATAGGCATTGTAGCAACGACTGATGAGACTACAGCTCGATCCCGGTGTCAAGCCCGCCAAATTGAACATCCAGACCAAGGAGAAACAAACGATACAGATCGCGTGTGAGTGCGTAAGAATGTTCATGTGAGCGTATGTCTAACGATCAGCAGGGCAAGATGGGCATCAGAGCGAATACCCGTTGAAAGTGCTCCGCAAAGGTAGACCAACTCATACTAGTGTGCAAAGAAGAGGTCTCGTCGAGTAAGTGTTGCAACACGCATCGATCAGACACAGGAAACTCACGAGTCCCAGGCAAATCATGTTTGACAAAACGATCGCGGCCAAGCCGCCCACGGTTGACTACAAGAGCATTGTGGAGGCAGACGGCATCGCAGAATGGACCCGTCAGATTGTACGTATGTCAGTATCGATGAGTCCTCAATAGCTGACTTGAAAGAACGTACACGGTTTGTCATTTGTCAAGGATTGCCCAATTGATCCCGAGGCGACCAAAAGGCTGCTGGAGAAGATTGGGCCAATCCGGGAAACTCACTATGGTGAGAACATATGTGTTCGTAAGGCGAAATTGTAGCTGACATGAACAGGTGGTTTCTACGACTTCACGTCGAACATGGCAAGTAAGGATACTGCTTACACATCGTTGGCACTCGAAGCGCATACCGACACGACATACTTTTCCGAACCAGCAGGACTTCAGATGTTCCATATGCTCTCCCATACTGGTGGATCCGGTGGTGAATCGCTGCTAGTCGACGGGTTTGCAGCAGCAAGACAGCTTTACGGCGAAGACCAAGAGGCATACAAGGTGCTCAGTACAGTAGGCATCTGGGCACATGCAAGCGGAAACGAGGATGTCAGCATCCAGCCGTACGTGTGCTTCCCCGTGCTTTCTCACGATCCGGTGCTGGGTCACTTGGTGCAGGTGAGATGGAACAACGCAGACAGAGCAGCGATTGAAGCACCTAGCGACATGATAGACAAGTGGTACGAAGCTGCCAGGTAAGAGTTGGATCTGATCAGCTGAACGGCAGTTTTTGCTAACGACGATGGACAGGAAATTCAATCGCATCCTGAACGACCCACAGAACCAGTATTGGACACAACTCGAGCCAGGAATGCCTTTGAGTAAGTGGCTGAGGGTTATTTGAGACGATGGTGTAACTAATGCGGACGGATAGTCTTTGACAACTGGCGAGTGTTGCATGGAAGAAGCGTATTCACAGGCAAGCGACGGATGGCCGGAGGATACAGTGAGTAAAAGCAGACAGCAGATTGGCGAACCATGCTAACTTAGGCAGTCAACCGTGATGACTTCATTTCCAGGTTCAAATTGACAGGATCGAGCAGAGATGAAGTCCTTGAAGCGACCGTGACAGGATGAATGCTCAGTGGTTTGTTTTGAGTGGACCGTGTTGTAAATATACAGCTCCGTACCCAAGCTTGAGGATGCAGAGATGCGGGCGGATATTAGCTATTGTCATGATTGAAAACTACGAGACAATGGAACAGCCAAGGTGCAAGATGCAGACGAGACGGTGCATACAGACAGTGATGTAAAAGGTGATATGAGACCAAAAGTGAGGTGAGTAAAGCTAAAGGCATGGGTGATCGGGGCGGCAAAAGCCGAGCTATGTCATTGTAGTGGAAGCTCAAGGCGTTTCGGACTTACAGACTTGAGTATTACAACACGCCCTTCACCTCATCTCGCATCCTTGTGCCATCACCATACGCATCCGCTCCATCTCACTTTCACAACAGTCAGACACTAGCTGCAATCATGTCGACGCTCGAAGACCTGGACGCTCTGGAGCACCAGGATAAGAAGGAAGGCGAGGACCAAGATCCCAAGAAACCCAACCAGGGCGGCGATGCCGACATGAAGGATGCCGACGGCGACAACAAGGACGCCGAAGAAGAGGAGGAAGAGGTGCTCGACGCAGACATCCTCAACTCAAGCACACGAGACATTGTCACAAGGCGGCGACTGCTCGAGAACGACACGCGCATCATGCGCTCAGAGTTCCAGCGCCTCACACACGAGAAGCAAGCCATGCTCGAGAAGATCAAGGACAATGTCGACAAGATTGATAACAACCGGTGCGCCGCCCCCTGCTGCCTGCTTTCATCTGCTCCCTGCTGACACGGCTCATTCAGTCAACTCCCATACCTTGTCGGAAACGTGGTCGAGATCCTCGATCTGGATGTAGAAGAAGACGCTGCCGAAGAGGGTGCTAACGTCGATCTGGATGCCACACGCGTAGGAAAGTCGGCCGTCATCAAGACATCAACTCGCCAGACAATCTTCCTGCCCCTGATCGGTCTGGTCGACCACGAGAAGCTCAAGCCTGGTGACCTCATTGGTGTCAACAAGGATTCGTACCTCATTCTCGACACACTCCCCGCCGAGTACGACAGCAGAGTCAAGGCCATGGAGGTCGACGAGAAGCCCACCGAAAAGTACACCGACGTTGGTGGTTTGGACAAGCAGATTGAAGAGCTGGTCGAGGCTGTCGTCTGGCCCATGAAGGAGGCTGAGCGCTTCAAGAAGATTGGAATCAAGGCCCCCAAAGGTACACATTCGCTCCATCGCTCCGACAAAAATCCCAACTGACCTTCCTCTGCAGGTGCCCTCATGTACGGCCCTCCCGGTACCGGAAAGACCCTGCTCGCTCGTGCCTGCGCCGCCCAAACAGAAGCCACCTTCCTCAAGCTCGCCGGTCCTCAGCTCGTTCAGATGTTCATTGGTGACGGTGCCAAGTTGGTGCGCGACTGCTTCGCGCTGGCCAAGGAGAAGGCCCCCTCGATCATCTTCATCGACGAGCTCGACGCCGTCGGTACCAAACGTTTCGACAGTGACAAGAGTGGTGACCGTGAAGTCCAACGCACCATGCTTGAGTTGTTGAACCAGCTCGACGGTTTCGCCAGCGATGACAGAATCAAGGTTCTTGCCGCGACAAACAGAGTCGATGTTCTCGATCCTGCTCTGCTTCGTTCTGGTCGTCTTGACCGCAAGATCGAGTTCCCCTTGCCCAACGAGGAGTCTCGCGCTCAGATTCTTCGCATCCACAGCAGAAAGATGACTGTCGACGAGGGCGTCAACTGGCCCGAGTTGGCAAGAAGCACCGACGAGTTTGGTGGCGCCATGCTCAAGGCGGTCTGTGTCGAGGCTGGAATGATCGCACTACGTTCAGGTCAATCCAAGATCGTCCACGAACATTACGTCGATGCGATTGCCGAGGTCCAATCCAAGAAGAAGGAATCGTATGTTTTGCTCATCTCTGACTATATTTCGACACCTGCTAATCCCATCCCAGAATCTCAATCTATGCCTAAACGACTCGTCTTTTGTTGCATTGGCGGGGTTGGAGGCGCTTTCAGTGAACATCACATATCCGGGTTTGTAATTATAGCCTCAGCTAGACACGATTCATCATGGACTCTTTTGATACGATTTCTTGTTGTCATGATTCTGATTGCTACTGTGTTTGACTCCACACTAAAGCTTGCTCTTCTGTCCTGCAATCTTCATCTTTGCTCGGCCATTGCTTAAGCACACTTTACCGCCCTTTACGCTGGTTACAAACCTCACCTCCTCCCAGCCTTCTCCATCAATATTACCCGTTCGCCAGATCTGTGTGATGAGAGTGTCACCGGCTTTGACAGGACTCGCGAATCTCGCAGCAAACTCCTTGATGTTGGCTGGGTCTGAGTTTCCAAGAAGCTTCAAGAGTCCATGGGCTGTAGTGTTCCAACTGAACAAGCCGTGGAGGATAGCACCACCTACGTTATGTTAGCATATGTAATCGTTTCTCATCATTGGGTTTTTTGGTCCAGCTTACCGAAGCCCATTTGCTGGCCGGGCTCTGGAGTGGCATGCAGAGGGTTGTAATCACCACAGAGTCTGTGTGACATTAGTGACGAGGCAGCCAATCTTGGATCATCTTCGCCTTACCGATACAGATGTGCCGACTCTGCGTTAGTCTGATATATGTACTCCGCATCAGGCTTCTTGCCTTCTGGTGGAGGGTAGTTTACTGTCTTTGGCCCTATTCTGTTGTCAGCATAATTTCTCATTACACCTGTCCTCGTGCTTATATCTTACCCTTGGGTCCATCCCAGCCTCCCTGACCAACAAAGAATGACATTCCTACAGCCCTACTGTAAACCTCACCAGTAGCCTTGTCTACAATCAAGTTCTCGGTTTCGACTACTGAGCCAGGCTTGCCCTTGTCGTATACACCCAGAACCTTCGCTCTCATCTCAAAGTCACGACCTTCACTGGTCGGTGGCAGAGGCTTCAGGAAAGTGATGGCTTGCTCTCCATGAACGACCTTGCGACTGTCGAACTTTGGTACATCTGGAATGGCGGCACGTTTGGAGTTCTGCGAAGCATAGAAGTCGATGATCTCCGCCGATGTGCCTTTGAATGGCAAGATGATCGAGTAAGTGGGAAAGGTGCTAAACTTTGGGTGGAATTCCTGTCCAGCATATCAGTACTATCCACGGATCAATCAGTTGAGACTAGGTCATACATACATATAAGAAGTGAAGCTCATCTTTAGCGTCACATCCAATGGCATTTGCGAAAAGCAAGACATCTCGCTTGTACCATGATACTGGCACTGATGGATACTCGAATCCGACACCTGGACCACTCATAATTTCTGCGGAATTGGCTCTTGAACGATTGGTATACGGTTCAGGATGTTTGTTGCATCGAGAGTTCTTTTGGTTTGATATACAGCAACCCGAGGGCATGCAAGAGCGGGGAAATGGTCTTGAACCGAGGCGCTTCACCAGTTTGGCGAGCTATTGATCGTTCGAGATAAGTGACTACTAAGAAAACACATGACTACCCCAATGATCAATGGGATGTGTACTTTTTTTTTTACTGAGAATTATGATATCGGTAGAGTGCTCTGGGGTCCTGTCGCAAACAAAAAGCAGGAACGTGGGCCAAAAGAAATCGACTCCGCTGAGACTTGAACTCAGAATCGTTGGCATCTTCTGACCGGAAGCCAACGCCTGTTGCAGTTAGCTCATCTGGACGTACGTTTTCTGGAGATGTCTCAAAAGGATTCACACACCTTAACCATTAGGCCACGAAGCCAAAACATTTTATCGTACGCTGTCTGTGCAATATATAATACTCGTTATCTCGACTAACTACCGACAACTATTTTATATGCACGAGAACTACCATCCGGCCATGTATGTCGTTTTCAACAATCAAGTCATGATTACACTACATTCGGGTCAGACAGTTTTGGTGCATCTGTGTGTCCAAGACAAGCACACATATGCTGCAGACCCATCAAAACCCCCGCGCCGGGCCGGGTCCACGAACAATGGCCACATATGATACCCGAGATACCTAATACTGTTGTATTTGCTGCCGAAGAGTGAACATACGAATAAGTATTTGGGCTGGTTTGACACATTGGAAGTGTTCGTTGGACCCCAAGGGACAAGTGCGAACACACGTAGGGCTACAGGGCTCATGAAGGCTGTCAGAAATCCAAAATAGATAGCGTGACGGAGGAGGCCGGGCGGCGATGAGGAAGTTTTGAGGAGCCGAGAGCAGCCGAGACGATTCGCTTGTAGGGAGCGATGGGTCACCAGGCACTAGAAGCATGTAGTGGCTGGGGTACTTTGACTGAGTACAGCAGGGGATTCCGTGGACAGACAAATAGGGGATCAAGAGGTTGGGTGTGTGATGATGGGCGGAGAACCGTGTGCGCTGGACAGAGGAGGAGTCATGGACACGCACGAGCAGACGAAGGACAAGGGCGCAAGCGAAGCAAGACAGTGGATACCCGACGGGGGTGGTGGTGGTGGTGGTCCAGGTAATGGAGCGTGGTCATGACGTGTGGCAGAGCAGGCTTGGCGCGGCCACGGCCACGGCAAAATTGGAACTTGGAAGGCTCGCTCGCTGGGGTCAAACGCGCGACCAAGGGACGAGTGAGTCGCAGCCTTCTTCTCTTTGTCCTTCTTCAACCACCATCTCGCACCCCTTCCCCCCCTCCCCCTCTCGAGGAGCGCGTTTGCACCCAGGAAACCTCTCGTTTCCCTGACGGAAGACCCCTGGCCACGCACGCTCCAGCATTCTGTGCATACGCGGATCGCCTTGACGGCTGCAGCCTTCACTCGATCGCCAGTCACTCGCCCTTGACGACTTTGCACTCACGCCTGCCTATCGTGCTTCGACCTATTCACTTAGTGTCCAGCCCGCCTGTCGCATACCTCGCCACTGACTCCGTCGCCCTCGCTGCCGCCTAACACCTACGCCCTCTGTACTGCCTGGTCTACTCGAATATCCCTATCCGACTACCTTGCACATCCTCGTCGGTCGCCATCGCCTGTTACGCCCGTCTTGCGCCTGTTGTCCTTCCTATCGCGCATGCAACTGAGCCTCTACTAAAGCGTCGGCCCAGAGCGCTCTGCGCTTCGCCATCGGCGCGAAGTCATCGGTTCGCACCAACCGACTGTGCGAAGCCTCGTCTCTCACTAACACGCTGCAGGGTGTGAAGCCACACTCGATCCCAACTCATCCACAAATCATGCCGTCCTTCTACCCCCGTCAACTCCCGCCCACCCCGCCCGAGTTCATCCCTTCCAGCTGCCAGCCCATGCAGTACCCTCAAGACTCGTACCGCTCCTGCGACCCCCGTCAGGATGCTGCCTACGACTACCCAAGAGGATACCAGCAGCCTGCCTTCCAGCGCAACCCGATCCTTCCTCCCATCAACAGCTACTACGATTCTGCCGCCGCCCCCATCCTGCCTCCTTTGAGACTTCAGGAGCGCCTGGCCATCGAGGATGACTACCGCCTTCGCCTGCAGCAGGAACAACGTACTCAAGCCGCTCAACAACAGCAACAACAACAGCAGCAGCAGCAACAGGCACAGCAATCCACACAGAAGGAAGACAAGGCAACCGGCGGAGTATCGGCCAAGCTCGACTACGAGATGGAACGCATGACCAACTTTGTGGCCGAGTCGGCGTCGGGAATGTATGCTCTCCATCTGTCCCCAATCTGCCTTGCAGATATTGACATCTGTCGAAGCATCCAGCCTAGTGTTCCAATCCAGCCCTCGTTCCGCAAATGGGTCTCGCAAGTCCTGTCGGCCACTAGACTACCCTCGGCAACCATTCTTCTCAGTCTGCACTACTTGACCGTTCGCCTGCGAGACTATCCTCCCAGGACCACCTCTTCGTCCGAGAACCACATTTACCGCCTGCTCGCCGTAGCTCTGATCCTAGGCAGTAAGTTCCTCGACGACAACACTTTCATCAACCGCTCGTGGTCCGATGTCACTGGCATCAAGGTGTCTGAGCTGAACAACCTCGAGATGGAATGGCTTGCCCTCATCTCCTTCGACCTGCACTGTGATCCTACTGACCCGGCTGGTCTGGCTACCTGGTTGCGTGCTTGGAACGACTACGACGCCCAGGCCATCAGCCGTTCGCGCATTACTCGTCTGTCTCCGCTAAGCACAAACGTCCAGCGCCAGTCACCCCGCGCCTCGCGTTCTCCTTTCCAGCCACAGTACAAGGGCAGCTTCGCCGACTTCACACCTCAGTCATCGAGACCTTCCTCTACTTACTCCGGCACTCCTTATACCTCGGCGGATCCGTGGAACCCTATCGAGCGTGCAAATTCGGTCGAGGCTTTCTACAACACTCAGCACCGTTACCCGACATTAGATGAGCTCGATCACTCGAACAGCCTTGCTGCTCTGGAGCAGGCTCGAAGATCCACTGCCTACGCTGGTTGTGCCTTGCCGCTACCACCTGCCTTGACTTCGTCTTATTATTCTCCTTGGAACCAACCTACCTGGGGAGGTTCTCATCCTCCCGGCTGCAACTGTATGACATGTGCCCGCCAGTACATGCCTTTTATGGGTGCTTCCGGTTACCCAGCCCAGACTGTCGTCGGTTAGTTGATTGTATCTCACGATTACCGAATTTCGCATCATAGTCCCTAAACGACCTGTCTGATACTGGCATTCTTGCATTACCTTTCTGGTTCGACACTTGTTCGAAAAGTTATCTGCTTTTTGCCGCGTCTTCAGCGTACCCCGGACCACCAAAAAAGTTTTTCACCACACGCCTACATCGCCTACAAAAAAATCATTTCTTCGTTCAGCGTATCTTTTCAACTGTTCATATTTCCTTCTTGTCTGTCGGGCCTGGCACAGACAGCACAGCTTTCCCTATCAACAGCGCAACTTCAATGTGCGCAGCTAGATTTCCTTTCCTTTTTCTTTTGACGGGGCTCTTTTTACAACTCTAGACTATCTCTAGGTTTGGGGTCGCGGACTTGGTATACGTTTTTCTTCGCATGGCGTCTAGGCTGCGGCTTTTATCGCTTCGGCGGCGAGCGGTTCTTCTGATAGTGTTGCACATTCATCGCCTTCACTGTCATCTTCCTTCTTGTTTCTTGCTCTCCTACGTTTGCAAGAGATTGGCCGAGCAGGGACGGACGCTTTGTGCGATCAGCATAGCATCGCTACTCTCGTTGTCTTGCTTGACCTTTTTGTTCTGTCGAGTTTTCTTTGGCTCGCTTGATGTCTATTGCTGGGATGCTCATTCTTTTTTGCCTATCTCCTCAAATACACAAAAAAAATACTCTGGTTGGGGCTCCTGCCTTGCCAGAAACTTTGGCCGTCATTCTTCTCATCATCTTCGTGAACTTTTTATTATTGAACAAACCAAAACCGAGAATGAGCCACCACACACACCTCTCCCAACCATCGGGTATCTTGCGCTCGCTCTGATAAGATACCATCCAACCCAACTGATGAGCGATTCGTGGCCAACAGCCCACCCTGTATTAACAGATCATACCTGTGCCGCCTGCTTCGACAGTTGTTTCGACCAAAGTCTGGTGTACTTACCATTGAGAGCGTAAAGCTGCTCGTGCGTGCCCCTTTCCACAATCTGACCATCCTGTACTACGAGGATGAGGTCTGCATCCTGGATCGTCGACAGTCGGTGAGCCACGACAAATGTCGTTCTTCCCGTAGCCAGTCTTTTGAAAGCCTTTTGAATTGCGGCCTCCGTTTCGGCATCGACCATGCTTGTTGCTTCGTCCAACAGCACAATATGCGGGTCGCGCAGTATTGCCCGGGCTATGGCGATGCGTTGAAGCTCACCACCGCTCAGTTTCACACCCCGCTCGCCGACTGTGGATTGATAACCATCGGGAAATGAGATGATGCGATCGTGAACTGCTGCTGCGCGGCAAGCCTCTTTAACATCCTCGTCGGTTGCTTCCAGTCGAGCATATCGGACGTTCTCCATGATGCTGGTGTTAAACAAAGACGGGTCTTGTGGCACCACTCCAAAAGCTGCACGAAGACTGTTTAGGGTGACATTCCTGATGTCTTGTCCGTCAATCTTGATGCTGCCGTTTGACACATCGTAGTACCGGAAGAGTAGTTTGAGGATCGTCGATTTTCCACCTCCTGTCTCACCAACAAGTGCAATGGTCTTGCCAGCTTCCGCAATAAAGGAGATATTGTCAAGAGAGGCTTTGCGTGTATCATACGAGAACCCGACCCTATCGAAGTCGACTCTGCCCTCAGTAAAGCGCAGAGGTTCTGCTTCAGGGCGATCAACAACACTCGGTTGGGTACGCAAGAGTTCCAAGAGTCGCTCCGAGTCGATGAGCATCTGGGACAGCTGTCTGACAGAAAACGTGACACTGGTAAGTGGTGCTTCAATAGTACGCCAATAAGTCACCAGAGTGATGAAGTTGCCCACCGGCGCTGCACCGCGAGACACGCGATATGCAGCAAGCAAAGCAGCAGAGAGTTGTCCAAGCAGTAGAACAAGATTCTGAGCGGCATATCCTGCAAAGTGCGCCATGTAGTAACGACCTCTTGCGACGTTATGCTCATCGACTGCCTTGGAGTATTGGGCACATTCATGGTCGGTCATGTTGAAATGTGCAACCGTCTGCCAGTTCCCGATACTTTCGTTTTGAACCTTGGACTCGTTACGCTGGGCCTGATTGTATCGTCTACGACGTTGCACAGCCCAAGATGTCGATTTGGTTCCGATACATGTATAGCCAACCCCGACCAAAATCATGATCAAAGTAATGCTTGCGTCGAAAAGGAGGGTAACGTAAACCATGGCGATGATGAGATCGAAAATCATCGGACCCACATCGAGAAACATGAAATCGCAGAGACGATACAGGTGCTGACCTTGCCCGATGGCTGCCATCAGCTCCCCTGAATGCTTGTTGCTGTGAAAATCCATGGATAGATTCATGATGTGACCGAACGCTGTCGTTCCAATCTTTCGATAGGCGTACTGCTCAATCGGGAGCTGACAGAATTGAGTGATAGCATGAAGACCAGCATAGGAACCGAGCCACACGTAAAGCATCCACAGTCCAATCTCCTTGAAAGGGATTTCGCCTGAGTATTATTAGCTACATCTTGCTTCAACCATATGTCCTCTTACCGGTCTCATGTACTGAAGAGAGCTTGTCGGTGATTATGCCCAGCTGTCTTGGAACCAGGAGATTTAAAGCTCTGTCAGCAAGTATCACAACAACCAAGATGGCAAGACAAATCTTTGCAGATCGATCTTCTGAGGGCAATGCAAGCTTTGCAAGCAGCTTGAAATCCTTCAGATATGCCATCCAGCTTCCAGACTCTTGCAAGCGCTTTTTGTGCTTCTCTTTCAGCTCTTTCGTCTGATCAGAGCATTCACCTTCATCTTGAGCAGGAAGCAAATCATCGTCTTCATCTGCGGAGTCAGCTGAAGAGCAGTCCTCGTGTGTTCTGCCATGAGAACCGAGCAGCGGCCGATGTTCTTCGTCTGCCCGGAGTCGGGCTAGCTTGAAGCAAGTAACACTTCCAGCGAGGACAGACAGGCACACAATACGACAGATTTGTAGAATAGCACCAAACTCCAAGTAGAACTTGCCTGATCCAGACAGACCCTTGACCAGAAGAACACAAGTTTCGAGCAAAGCACCTATGATCCAAGCTGCGAGATAAGGATACCAGATATGTTTTGACTTCCCTAGCAGATTAATTGTCATGGTTCCCCAGATCAATATCGATCCTCCAACGTAAACCTGGTTGAACGAATTAGATTGCAGGTTTGGTCCCATTCTCATCGAGTGCTCACTTGGATGTCTTGCGTCACATCTTGCTGCTCCGGTTCTTGGAATTGCTGCAAGGCGTACTCCAGAGCTTGCACAATCTTGAGGGTGTCAGTCGAGTTGAGAGAAGGACGCAGGGTTACGTACAAATAGCAGCGAAACGGTTGCCGATAGTACTACAGACACAATCTGCCTAGTTTTGGCTGAACCACGAGAACATCTGGATGGTTTCTGGAGTGCACAGAATGCAATGAGCCGCGCAATGCTGTAGGTTGTGCCGATCGCGATGGGTGTGATCCAGTGTAGAACTTGAACGGCCAACGAGCGTGAAGACATTTGGCGTTCGTGAACCCCTCGCTTAGATCCAGTCAATATGATATGCCGCTTCCAATGCCAGTACCCGATATGTGTGCAGGATGTTCTCTGTCAACCGGAGTCAGTTGACAGGCATGAAGCGAAGATCAGATACGGGCCAGAGGTGGCTATTTATTGCAAGAGATGCTCTTTCCGGCCAGGAGCAGCACTAGTCAGACAAAGAGGTAGGCAAGACAATTCCTGGGTCCCAGGTGCCGGCTCAGTCTTTAAGTCATACAGACGACGGCTCCAAGCGATGTGCAATCTGGAGAGGTGGCCTGTCCATGCGTGTCTTGTCTCTGCAACAAAGCGTTTACCTTAGCAGGACATGCAAGTAGCTCGGAAGTCAACCCATATGTTTCTTGAGTCTCTCATCAACCTGGACCGGTCGTGGCCAACCAAACAAATTGAGGGCTGCGCGCCCCTCCGACAGCGCATGAAGATACTCCAATCAGAACCACTGGGGCACCTGATTATTGGAAATGCTTACCAGCTTTCGGACTCTCACCGCACTGTTGGACACACCGCTCATGGCCGCTTAGGTTGATTGGTGAGCGCGTCCCGCACCAAGGGGGCGTCTCTGTCCCGACTAGATACATACCATGGCTCCGGTATCGACGTGCTTCCGGACTCCGCAGACAACCAAGTCGCGTCTCAGCATTCCGAGTGTCCATGCACGTTAGTGGGTAAAGACACGATCAAACACGAGTATGCTTTGTTGGCCATCAATAAAGCTCTTGCCAGATCAGTCGATACCGACCCTGCCACGGTGCGTAGATCTCAATGATAGTGACCTGATTTCTGGGTCGAATTGACAAAGTAACAACACGAATACGGACGTATACACAAAGCTTCAGCATGGGATAGTCTTGTGTTTGTTTTTCTTGAGTCATCAAATCCTGGGCAAACTTTGTCAGAAACAAGAAAATATCAATTGGCTTGGAAAAACATTCAGAACCACTCGGAATTGCAACCATTGTCGTTTCTAGATCACTCAAAAGGTCAAGCAGAAGTACAAGCCTTGAAGCACTTCGTCCTGCATATGAGTGAATTTTGGCAGGACAAAAGCATCGTCCACAAAGACAGAGTGATGACAATATTGTCAGCATAATGCTCTGAAACATTTATTAGTACCTTTGCAATATGGTTATGCCCAGACAGAACCAGGACTTGTTTCACGTGATAAGAAAGCAAACATCCTACCCATGTGCAAAGACATGCCACGCGAATAGCTAACAAATGTACAATGGCACAATGCCTTTAGTATGAGGAAAGCATCCATGTTGTCATCTCTCCTCCCACTGTGGCACTATGAGAAAGCTATAGAAATGCACAGTACTTTCAGTCAAATTAAGATATTCACCGAGAGTCATGATGCTGTCGTCTCTCCTTGGACTCTATTACCATCTAACAGCTATAGGAATGCACAGCGCTTGACGTGCATATGAGGCACCCGAAGAAAGCCCTCAATGTGTCGTATCTCAGTGAATACTGTCGTTTATTCGCGACTACTGTGCATTTCTATAGCTGCACGCGCGTCATATCTTGAGGAGAGAGAACAAAGTTGAGTTAACATCACGTAAAAGGTAGGTATATGGAGTGAAAAAAGGTTTTATTTTTTTTTACCTATGTTGAGCAATCCAAAACCACCCCAAAAAGCACTATTATTAGCTGTTGCGGCTGTTTTGTCCAATGCTGGAGCCGCAGACAAATCTTTATACCCAAGAACGCCAAAAGAAACCAGTTCTAATCCGTTGTTCTATAGGGTATCATGTAATTGTAAGGCAATGTGAGGAAAGTTTGTGTGTAGCAGCGCGTTTAACGACCCCAGCCCTTGTTTTCTCTGGTGATGAGGGCATACACATTCATCAAACCGTGATAGTACGAGAAGGCGATCATAGCGGGAATGAACACCATGTCCTGGGGGAACTCGAGGAAGTGGGGAATAATCTTGACAATCTTGGTGAAGAATATCCAGCAACCCAGGAGACAAAGAGAATAGGTGCGGTTGAAAGTGTCGTAGTCAGACATGCCGAAGTAGAGGAGGGCGGAAAGCGAACCGTCAATAAGGAAGGCAGGAGTCTGGAACTGGCCGATGTAGATGGCGTAGAGACTCCATGGGTGGGTGTCGTACCAGTAAGTGGTAGTTTGCATAACACGGAAGTTACCTCTCCTAGAAGCAAAGTTAGCATGTTTCTTATGTAAGTGTGATAGGGGAAAAAAACCAATGTCCACGAGCCCAGCGAAGGCACTGGAGGATGAACTTGTAAGGAGTTGTCTCCAGAGTGGTCATAATACGGGCCTTTGGCGAGAAATTCAGAGTGATCTGGAGGCCCTGATCATAGACCCATCTTGTGAGGTTCTTGTCATCATCGTGGTTGAGGGCGTTCATGAAGTAGTCGTAGAATTTGTCGTTCTGAATGAGTGAGGCACGGTAGAAGCTAGTACGACCAGAGAGAGTAGAAACTGCGCCATCGATCAGGTTAGTAGCGCCTGTGTTGAAGTTGCGGCGTTCGAGGTAGCAAATTCCTAGAAAGTTCACAAAACCTGTAGATTCCTTCGCACCAGTCGAGCGACAGACTCTTTGAGAAGGACCGCAAGCGCCAACCTCAGGATTTTCGAAGCAGGCCAACATGGCAGTGATGAAGTCGTCACCAGGCCAGAAGACATCATCGTCAGCGAAGGCAACAATGGAACCAGTCACAGCCTGTTGAAGAGCTGCAACCATCTGTGTTCGCTTGTTCAATTTTTCAACTCCAATTACGAGAACCATGTCCAACTTCTCCTTTTCCTCCGTGGCAGCAGCAGTAACCTCGGCACAAGCGGCATATACCGAAGGGACGAGGTCCTCCCTGGTGACGACGATGATCTGACGAGGGCTGCAGACACGGACGCGTTTGAGACAGGCCATGACCTCGTCCTTGTCAGCAAAGACGGTAGGAACGACGACGGACACGTCGCTCGATGTGAAAGCAGGGTTGTTTCGCACAGGGTAACCCTTCAACGTGCTGTATGCGAGGATGTTCACAATCAAGCGGAGGTAACGAAACACGGCGAGCAAGACGAATGTGAGCAGGAAGGGGTTAGAGAATTTGCCCGAGATGCCGTAGACAGACAAGGCCAGAGCGAAGAAAATGAGAGAATATGTCATCTTGGGGTAATTCTTCAAGAAAGGCTTGGTGTAAGGCCTGATACGGCGGAAGATGGCACTAGGGACTGAAATCAGCAGAGTGTACACAATGTTAAGGATGTTGTAGATCATAAAAATGATCGGGAGAATGTTGAGAAGAAGCATTTTGGTTTTTTTTTTCCAGACGATCCAGTCGTTCTGTAATTGTTTGGTTTATGGATTTTTGTTTGGGGGTTGGGTTGCTGTTTTGTTTTTTGTTTTGGTCTGAAGAGAGGAAAGAGAGTAGATCGCAGGTGCATTAAATACTGGGATCGAAAACAAAGACATACCGTTGTCTGTTTGGACAAAGACTGGCGTTTTGGATGAGTCGAGTTTTCTTTCAGGGGCTGTAGAGAAAATAATGGAGTGCCAGATCGCGCACAAAGGATCGAGGAAGATGTGGAAAGGAGAGGCGCTAAGCATCACAAAGCAACAGTGATACTCGACAAAGAATGAAAAATGATAACAAGACGCGAAAATGCAATGAAGGATGATGGAAGTTTGTGAGCAGGATGTGAAAGAACTGAGGAGATTTGAAGACCAAGCCATGATGTTACCATATCTTCAGGGTCGATTACCGGGATACTGCCTCCTCATGTGCAAAGGTTTGTGACGCGTATAGCTGTACAAGCGCACAGTGATTTCGAGATTAGGGACGCATCCGAAGAGAGCCTGGAGAACACCGTATCCCAATGGATACGATCCATATCTCAAAAACACTGTGCATTTCGATAGCGAGCATTGCGACCTGTAGCTTCGTGGGGAGAGGAGTGTAGGAGACCATGAGCTACGAGATTTAGCACACGGGGAGGTGCTAAGGCCTTTTCCGCCACCAAGCAGTCAAATCAGGGGTTGTCGTCCTCCGGGAAGTAGTATCCCCAGGTGCAAAAGTGTGGAACACATATCGCTATGAAGATGCACAGTACTTTCGAGCAACAAGACAGTGTCCATCGAGATACGATACTCTCTTTGATTATGTCCTCGATTGAGAAACCATTGAGAGCAGTACTTGTCAGACCTCTCCTTGAAAAGGATCCTGCGTTGCGACATAGATTGTGGCATTGACATCGTCTTTTGCCAGACTCCTTTCTCTAAGAACGTATGAACTTTTCGCTCTCTTCAGGCTCATCCTAGACCAAAAAGTGTGAGGCTTTGCAGATCCTTGGCTGTTCGAAATCCTTCCAGTGAAAGCATCAGATGTCATAATTCTGTCCATTTATGGCGTGGACTCGAAACGATAATGTCATAGACAAAAGGGCAGGCGTTGGTTGCTTATGATGTGGAGGAGAGGCACACTGCTGCCAAGGAATGGAAGTTGGAGGAAGTGGGACGTCGAGCACAGACGCACAATACTCGAAGAGCCAAGGTTCATGGGGAAGGCATTCTCCCGGCACCTCGAAGACTGTCTTGGATGGAGAGCTGAAGCATTAGGAGACAGCGATGCAGATCTCAGGCTTTGGCCAGATGTTGAAACACATTGCGAAGCTGTGAGTGAATGTGAAGGAGAGACCACACGTTGCAGGCCGTGTGAAGGTTACCTGAGTGAAATGGAGGAAAGAACAGGTCCAACAGACCCCGGGCTGGTTAATTAGGGCGTGCGATGGTCAGTAACTTATATTCTCCGACGCGGACACCTCTGTTGATTGCTCGTCTGACCCTTTCACAACCCCTTCACTTCAACAGCCATGGCCGGCAACGTTCCCGTCACACAGTCGCTAGACGACATCTATCCCCAGGATGCCCTCGAAAGCCAGCGCAAGAGATGGAGTAACCTGCTGTCGTCGTTCAAGGAAGCATACGGCCGCCCCGCCGAGTTCGTCTCACGCAGTCCCGGTCGCGTCAACCTGATTGGCGAGCACATTGACTACTCGCTGTACGAGGTCATCCCTATGGCTGTCACGGCCGACGTCCTGCTTGCTGTCGCCGTCTCGCCCGCCAACGGCTCGCCCACCGTCCGCATCCAAAACGTCCAGTCGGACAAGTTCGCTACCCGCTCCTTCACCATTGCCCACGACGGGGAAGTCGACATCGACCCTACATCTCACGAATGGACCAACTACTTCAAGTCCGGCCTTCGCGGTGCCACCCAACTGCTCAAGAAGCACGCCGTCGCGGGAATTGGTCAATTGAACATCGACATCCTGGCCGACGGCACTGTTCCCGCTGGAGGTGGTCTGTCTAGCAGTGCCGCCTTTGTCTGTGCCAGCGCTTTGGCCGTCATGAGAGCCCACGGTCAAGAGACGGTTGACAAGAAGGAGCTCGTCGAGCTGGCTGTTGTTTCCGAGAGAGCTGTTGGTGTCAATTCTGGAGGCATGGACCAGGCTGCTTCGGTGTTTTCCCAGAGAGGCTCTGCCCTGTACGTCGCTTTCCAGCCAGAGCTCTCTGCCCGCACCATAGAGTTCCCTCAGACACACACTCCTTTGACCTTTGTCATTGCTCAATCCTTTGTCGCTGCCGACAAACACGTCACCGCTCCCGTCTGCTACAACCTCCGCGTCGTCGAATGCACTCTTGCTGCTCGTGTCCTGGCCAGCATCTGTGGTTTGAAAAACCTGCCCGACGATTCATCCCCGCTAGGCTTCAGTCTGCGCTCCTTTCACGACAGCTACTTCAAGAAGAAGGGTGCCGTCGGAGACGACGTCAAGGACTTTAGATCTCAGCTCGACCAGCTTGTTCACATTGTCGACAATTACCTGCCGCAAGAAGAAGGGTATACTCGTCAGCAGATTTCGGAGCTCATTGGCACTTCGGTCGACGAGCTGGAGAAGAGATACATGACCAAGTTCCCCGTACGCGCCGACAGCTTCAAGCTTAGGCAAAGAGCCTTGCACGTCTTTGGTGAAGCTGTGCGCGTGCTCAAGTTCATGGACCTGCTGCAATCGCCTGCCCCATCTGATGACAAGGAGAGCGAGGAGCTTCTCAAGAGTCTAGGAAACCTACTAAACGATACCCAAGAATCATGCCGCGATATCTACGAATGCTCGTGTCCCGAGCTCGACGAGCTCTGCAAGCTTGCTCGTTCGGCTGGTGCATATGGCAGTAGATTGACGGGCGCTGGTTGGGGTGGCTGTAGTGTCCATCTCGTGCCCCAGGACAAGGTCGAGGCTGTCAAGAAGGCATGGGAGGAAAAGTATTACAACAAGCGATTCCCCGACATGGACGCCGCCAAGTTGCAGGACGCCATTGTCGTCAGTAAGCCTGGCAGTGGAAGCACTCTCTTCCAAGTCGCCGGCAGAGAGAGTCTTTAAGTACTACACGCATGATGCGCATGATGAGCACGAGTTCGATACCACTGCTGCGATTTGCTTTCTAGTGTATATAATTATAGAGGATTTACGCATCTTCGTGATCCGTGTGCTCGCATATCGACGTTGTCGCTGCTGTCTCGATCGCGTCTCACAGCGGAACCTGTGAGCCAGGAAGACCAGGCATGCCGTCCAAGCCGCCAACCTTCTCAAGCAGCTCTCTGAAATCAACACCGTGCTTCTCAAACTCTTGCTGCACCTTTTTGTATGTCTCGACCTGGCGTTCTTGGGTGAAGCCTCCAGGACGACTGCTTTCGTACTGGACGATTTCGATCCAGCGGAAGAACAGGCTCTCCTTGCCCATGACGGTCAGACGGTCCTTGAGCGCGACAATTTTTTTCCTGTTTTCCTCTTCCGAGCCCTCTTCGTCCAACTTGTGTACTGGCCAATACAACCATCCATGATGTTCACTGTACGCAAGTACACTCTTTTCAAAGTCCTCGAGGCTGTTCTTCTTGTCGTCGATCAGACGGTGGGCGTAGACCATGGCACCAAAGTCCAAATCCCAATCTTTGCCCATCATGAGGTATGCTGTCTTTTGGCGCATGAAATTGCGTTCAATGGCCGGCAGGATGCGTGTCGTGAAGAAAGGGCTGTCTCCTCCGGTCTTGACACCTGCCAGAAGCTCCTCGCTGCCCCAGTCACGGCTGATGCGTACAGCAACTTCTTGGTCACGGAAGCCAATCTTGATGCGCCAGTAGCACGGGTTGGCGGGAGCCTCGAGGAAAAAGGTGACGGGCCATGGCAGGATGAAGCGGCCGAGGACAAAGTCGAACATGAACATGGCCACACGTTTCGTCAGGACCCATGCCAGGTGCGACTTGGTCTTGCTAGCCGTATCAATCGTGGCGGGCGAGTCGAGGCCAATGACCGAGGTGAAGATGGCCAGATAGGTAGGGAGGATGGCATAGATACGCCACACCAGTAACGCGGCGATGGCGACATTCAGTAGGACAGGAACGGTGAAGATGCGCTTTTTGAACCCTGCAGGGAACCGGTCGACATGAAGAATGTAGACGTGGTTCTTGTCCAGGCTCTCGACGAAAGGTTCCAGAGCTGTAGGCGCTTTCAGAAACGGCGGCGGCGGTAGTCTTGGGTCTTGCAGGGGCTTGGTGGCCTTTTTGACCGACGTTCGAGCCATGACGGGATGTGCAGTCAATCAATCGACGTCGCAGTGTGCTTGGTGAATGTTATAGCCATCGAGCATGCGACAGCTTACCAAGTTTCAGGAGCCCCACCAAGCTGCAAGGCCCCTTTTGGTCGTCATATCAATCTTCATCACTCTTGCACAACCAGGGACAAACACCAACGAATCGCTCAACGAGGCTACAGACTATCACGAACATAGGCACTGGTAACGTGCAATGTGAAGAGTAGAGTAAGATAAGACGAACGAGTAAGTAGATGATCAAGGCCAATCGTGCCAGAAATTTCAATTCTTTTCCGATAATGCCGCATAATCGCTTAAGTGCGATAGACGAGAGATGGACAGGCCATAGAACAGAAAGAAAAATCTTGTCGTAGAGTACAATGTTCCCCTCCGGAACGGCGAACCTGCCGCTCGTGAATCAAACGCCTTGGTCTAGTGACCGCCGTAGTTTCCACCCCAGCCACCACGTGCTCCGTAGTAAGAGTTTCCAAATCCGCTTCCGTATCCGCCGTATCCGCCCTGCTGCTGCTGCTGCTGCTGCTGCTGCTGCTGTTGTTGCTGCTGCTGGTGGCTCTGTCCGCCGAGGCCGCCGAGTCCATACTGGCTGTTAAAGCCAGGGTATCCGCCAAATCCGGCCTGGTGGCTCTGAGGAGGAGGCAGTGTAGTCGAGGGTGTCTGTCCACCGACGCTGTTGGCGGCCGAGCTGGGTCTGCCGGGTTGACCAAGGCCAGGGGTTGGGCCGCTTGTCTTTGACTCTCCGAAGGGCTTCAGGTCATCGGTCTGACCAGTGCTCTGTTGCTGGCCATAGCCCTGAGACTGGCCTTGGTAACCAGACTGGCTACGACCGAAGGGCTCCGACATGCCACCGAAGCCGCTGCTAAGGTTCGAGGGCTGAGTCGAAGTGCGACCATAGTCGCCAAGCCCGCTGCTGATGCCAGAGTCACGAGACTGGATCGAGGGCTGTGTGCCAAAGCCACCAGCGTTGGCAGGTGAAGCGGCGTGGTCGTAAGACGAGCCATAGCCGTGGGGCTGTCCGTACATGGCGCCCTTGCCTCCGAACGGACTGCCATAGGCAGGCTGTTGGTATCCGAACTGGTTTTGGTAGGCTGCATGGTAGGGGCTCTGGTAGTAGGGGTGGCCATATGGGTATGCAGGGTTGTAGCCAGAGTGGGGCTGCTGATGCATTGCCGCACCGGGAGCAGCAGAAGGAGCCTGGCTGTTGGATGGAGCAGGAGTGTTGTGGCCTGATCCAGGAGCTTCGCCATAGCGAGACTGAGAAGGCAGATGAGATTCATGGTCCTGAGAGTACAAAGACTGAGCGTGACTCACCTGCTGAGGAGCTTGGGAGCCGGAAAAGGCCGAATCACTCGGAGCAGAGCCAAAGCCGCTGGTGGAACGCTGCTGGTTGGCAGTGCTGTCCTGCGACTGCGAAGCCTGCTGGCCATATGAGCCACCGTAGTAGCTCTGGTAAGCGTTTCTCTGCTGGTCGGCAGTGTAGTATTGAGAGTAATCGGAGGGTGCAGAGGAGAAGCCACCAAAAGGCTGGTGCTGTTGAGCCGAGTGCTGGGTAGCGTAGTGGTCATAGGTAGTGGAAGGAGCTTGGTGACTGAAAGGATCGAATGACTTCTGAGACTCAGGCTGCTGCATGCCGTAACGGCTGTACTGGCCGTAGCCTTGGGATTGCGAAGACTCCTGGGGGAGGGATCCGAGAGACGAAGCGTCCTGGTGACCACCGAAGGGTTGCTGAGGAACAGGAGGAAGTCCAGGAGCCTGCTTGGGAGTAGAAACGTTGTCGTGAATTGAAGATTCTTGAGAAAGAGCAGGCTGTCTCGGGGCAGGAGGCAGAGAGGCTCTGGGCTGAGAAGGGGGAGATTGCTGGGGAGGCTGAGTACGTGTCTCTGGCTCCTCTCTCTCCTCGTCTACATCAAGGCTATCGGGTTCACCGTTCAAACCCATGCTGCCAAACTGTACTGCAGCTCTGTCGACTGCGTTGTGGCCGGGCATGACAACAGCCTCTTGCTGCTCGAGCACTCTACGTTGGTAGCTTGAGTTGCGACCAGGTGTGCCAGCTGCTCTGTATGCACTGGCTGCGTAACCACCCATAGGAGGACGGCCGATGGGAGCTTGTTGAGAAGTGACAGGAGTGGCCACACGGGGGTCGATCGAGCCTACGGTGCTGGCGACAGTCTGGGTTGCGGGCTTGTTGGAAGTATCGGGAAGATGCTCAAGGTTGTCCTCGGTCAGAGGAGCGTGTGCGGATGAGAGATCGGCCTCTGAGGTCAAGGTAGAGGGCGCGACATCTGCGATTGAAGACTCGGAAGCAATGGGAGCTGTCTCGGTCTGTTCGATTTGTGTGGGCTGTTCCTCAACGGCTGCTGGTGCGACCTCTGGCTCGAGCTGCTGTGTCGATTCGGGAACGGCCTCCTGGGGAACAACGGACGAGGACTCGATGGGCTCGGGCAATTCTGCAGCAGCAGGTGTGGATTCGACGGCGGCGGCAGGGGCTGCAGCTTGGGTGGGTTGCTTCGGCACGACAGGTACAGGTGGAGGCTTGGGCTTGGCGAACATGCTGGCCCACGTCTTCTTGCCCGAGCTCTCAGAGCTCGCGAGGGTCTTTGCAACATCGGGAACAGTGGTCGGAGTGGTTTCGGCGGTGGCGGCAGCGGTACCCCATGCGCCTTGTTCGGTTACGGCCGGAGTGTCCCAGGCGATTGGAGCGGCGGGTTCGGCAGCGACATTGTCCCAAGCAGGAGACTCTGTGGTAGGGACGGACACGGCGGGGGTGTCTTTGGTGAAAGCGTCGGTCACGGCAGCATGGCCACCGCGAGCGCCTCGGAAGCCTCCACGACCGCGATCGGTGGCGCGACCTCTACCGCCTCTGGAGCTCTCAAAGCCACCTCTTCCACGCGCACCGCGAAGTGGGATGGTGGGCTGCTCTGCGCCGGCGGCGGCCGAAGTGTCCTTGGCCTTGGATCGTGCTCTATCCTTGCCCTTCTTGGGGACTTGGGCGAATTGCGAGACGTTGCCTGTGGGGTAGCGGTGGTTAGCAGGACGGCTTTGGAAAAGATCAAGGGCGACGACGCACCCTGAGTGATTCTATCAATGACAATCTGAACGTCGCCATCGGCCTCTGCAATGGCAAAGACTAGATCGTCGTCGGTCCAGTCCGGGAACATATCGCGCATAAAGCTCAATTGGGTCGAGTAAGTTTTCTTCATGTTGCCCAATTCGCCCTGCTCGTCAAAGGCATCGTCGAATTGCACCGACGACGAGTTGGCAGTCGACGAGGTTTGAGATTGGCGAGGGGGACCTCTTGGATGCGAGGCACGGCCACCTCTGGTAGAGCTTCTGCCCCGTGATGCCACGGGTCTGGAGTCGATGTCCGACATGGTATGGGAGCGACTGTCCTGTGCGGACAGGCAGAAAAGGGTAAGTGGAACGAGACGGGGGCAGTCGAGGGGGCGGGACTGCGGGCGAGTGGTAGGGACAAGGAGCAGTATGGAGATGGGCGCAGGAGAGGTTGGTTTTGACGGGCTTTGGAGGAGTGAGTCTCTTGCTTGTCGACCTTGTGCAAGAGAGTGAAGCTCCGTCATTCCGTCTGTGCGCCGCCGGTCACGTGGAGGCCCTTCACTGGCCATCTGAGACCACTCGGCCTGCAGACATGCTTCGACGTGACATTGAGCGGAAGCGAAGACTCTGAAGGGCAGATGGAGCCATGTTTCATGCGCGCAGTTGCGTCGGGGGGGTTATGGGCAAGGTCATTCAGACACTGCTGCAGGTCCAGCATCCATATGCCTCCTCGATGCTCAGATTCGTCACATAGCTAACAACATATTCCATGGCAATCCAGAAGTAGGTTTATAGAAGTTCAATCGCCATCGAGATACTTTAGACCAAGAGCAAAGCTCGCTACGATTGATGTGTGTAAAAGCGGAAGCTGCTGACGTTCGAAATGCTCTACTGCACCATGTGACAAAGGCAAGCGCGCGGGAGGCAGGGCCTTGGCATGAGGCAGGCGGTTGCGTAGCTTCCTACTTGGGCGCCGTCTCTTTGACGCAGACATCACACATTGCCATACACCACAACATGAAGGCCTCGTCGGTACAGCAGGCCTTCAAGAGCCTGACATCGCGCATCCACCCACAGCTGCCACTGTCCGAACGCGAATCGCAGCGCTTGCTAAACGCCCTCACATCATCCTTCCGCACCCATCTGGAACACCAATACCATGACGCGCCCGCTTCAGCTTCTCCTACCTCGGTCCCTGCCCAGCGTCCTCTGTCGTCCGCTACAGCCACCGACCTTCACTTGGCTTCCATCTTGACCAACCCTCTTCTCTCTAAGCCTGTTCAACAACAACTCAAGGCCAAGGCCAAGCACCCAGTTGCCCTCTTCGAAGATCAGGTCGCCGCTGGACGTGCCAACCTATCTTCTGCCAGACTATGTCTCGAAGCTTTCCGTACCTCTCTTTCTTCGCTGCCTCCTGCCCAAGTCAATGACCATATCACTCGCTATGCTGCTGGCTCCCGTGCTTTGAGATGGCTATGGACTAGTGCCCGGACCCACGACCTTTCCTTCGCCCGAGATGCCCGTTTCTGCAACCAGCTTACCTATTTCCTTATCCGCGAAGGCAAAGACGCTGCTTTGTGGGAGCTGATCGACACACCCGTCGCAATCTCAGCCAACCTCGCCGCCAAAGAAGCAAGTCTACGCAAGGGCTTACTGCTCGTTGCTATTGTCAAGACTCATCTCTCTGCTCCTCATCCGTCTCTCGAGTCTGCCCTCTCTGCTTTCTTCCAAGCCGTAGATGCCTCTCAATCATCTCACGCTTCGGTCTCACACGCCGGTGTCTATCTGACTCAAGCCTTGGTCAAGCTCAAGTCCTTTTCCGACTCCGAAGTTGCTCTGTACGATCAATTCATGCATGCTATCCCCCGCTGGTCCAAGAAGCATCCAGACAGGGCTGTTTACAGGATTGCGAACCTTGCCTTACACCATCCCACCACACCGTCAGCTGATCCCGCTTTGGACTTCATACGCCTCCAGCTCAGGCCTCTTGCTTCTCATCCCTTCCTGAATCCAACTACTGCATTCCAGAAGTCTACGGTCTTTGCTTTCTTCTTCGATACCGTTAAGCTTTTGCAAAAGCAGGAACACTTTGATGATGCACTGTGGGTAATGGAGTTCATGCAGCAAAGGTTCCCTGACGAATTTGCACCACCTCGCGCTTCGTCCTCTGCTGTGTCTCCATCGTCCCAAGCTGGAGAAACGAGAGAATCCACCTTTTCCCACTCAAACTTACCTGAATGGAAGGTTCCTGAACTTGGCTGAGTGCTTAACTGTTACAGCCTGCCGAACATAATCAACAAGCGCGACAGAGCATGTCACCCACAACATATCTGGCGGACTGCAGACAGAACTCAATGACCAAGCCGTGAGGGACGTAGGCTCGCTCCATGGTCGAATTTCGCCTGGAAGCGAATGCGGTCTACCTCTTCGGTCGGCGCATCCGAACCACAACGCTTCTCCAGTGCATACTTAGGCAACAGAGATAGATCCATCAACTGACAACCACACTTCACGGTCCCAATTCGCTATCGAGTACTTCTCGTTGCTGGATCAGATGGTATCTCATGGTCTCGATGGCTGTACTTCACCATACCGCTGCACGTCGATACGTGGGCCAGCTGAAGCATTCGCAATGAACTCCAGTCTGGAGACCGCTTGGGCCGCCAAATATCGACACGACACCATGGAATCACATGTCTTGTATCTCTCCACGGAGTAGTGGAGTGCAAGCTCTTGGAACAAGGGAAAGCTTGAAATTACATGGTGCAAGATGTCAAGGCATCCGTTCATTAGACAACTATGTATGTGTTAAGAATGCAAACTCTTCCGAGTGCATTGCCGCTATCAGGTCAACTGCGTCAATTTGGACGTTGCAACAAGGTCATGAATATGTCGAGAGTCCATGTTATGACTGAGAACATCTTGGAGACTTTTAGTTATGACAGGCGACAGGCCATCGTCTCGGCAATTCAAGACAACTGATAATGGGTGGTCTTCGTCATTATTAAAGACGAAGTACCGACCATGACCCTGTTCTACGTTTCGTTTGCCTTCTCCCGCGATGTAGATATGTGGTTCGACGAGGATGTTCCATTGTGCTAAGAGGGTTACACATGTAGATATTATCAATGAAACCATCTTACTGGAAGGAGCGAGTTATGGTGGTGAAGATGGACTTTGCAATTACTACACACAGTATTCGTAGATTATTGCATGCAAAACATCAGGAAATTTCCCTGAAACACTCGATTCAACAAGATCAGTTACTGCTAACCCCCTCGCCTTCGTTTCAGAGCATGGGAAAGAAACGACCGTCTTGCAAGATTGGCAGCCCTAAACAACGTATGTTATAGCATCCAAGACAATATCAATATCGCATGCACGACTCGTATTGTCGAGCTCGGAGATGCACCGGAATACATCGGGACGATAACACACTGTATCAAACTTCAGTTGTCAACAGCCCGGTGTACGAGAAGCGTGCACGCACGTCTCTGTAAGATCGCAATCGATTCAGATAACTGCAACACTGTCTGCGATCAACGAATCGGCGACTGCATCCTTCGTCGCTATTCCCGCTATTGAGTCGCCACGCTCAGCTCGGCATTAATCTACTTGTCCATCACGCTGTTTCGCGAACTGGCGGGAGTAACCAAGACAAACGTCGCAGCTCGGCAGTACTTCTTTGGTCCATTTCTTCGAGTCTCTTGGAAACGTAATCCCGTGGGAAGCCGTCGTGTTCCACTGTCCGCGGCGATTTCTTTTGATAGTTGAGAGCTAGCTGATCGTCTATCGAAGCTCTCTCGAATCCTTGCGACGTCAGTGTGGATTATGAATCGGGTCTTTTGTGCTAAACAAAGCCTGATCTCGTACCAACTTCCAAGTCACCCGAGTGAATTGAAGAGATTGGCCGATAGATTGCTTAACCAAAGCAGGAAACCTGCAACCGCTGCTGCAGTGAAGCTTGAGACCCAGCACTCCCGACTGATACCGTACAGGGAAGCTCGTCGTATCGCCTCACAACAATTATGGAAATATCACATACAAAATGCAAGGAACAAAACGATGTAGATAGAAATCTCATAGCATTCATAATATATCTCATAAGCTCAAAAGCTTACTGTTGGTATCCATCCGTCTATATTTCAGCGCCGTTCATGCTCCAAGCTGTAAGGAAAAAAAAAAGAACTCCGAAGTCAACACCTCCCGGGTGGACATGATATCAAACAGAAATTCGAAAACGCCAATGTGCTTTTCGTTCCTCTTACTCAATGGCGGAGTAGTCCTGGCTGCCACCGAGAACGGGGTTGACATTGTCAGAGCTCCACTCGAACTTGAAGTCCTGGCCAAGCTCCTTGCGAACGGCAGTCTTGACGGCCTCAAGGACGTTGACGAAGACACCGAAGCTGGCGGGGTTGTTCTCGTCGTTGTCACCACCCTGGAAGACACCAGTGCGGACGAGACAAGTGTTCCAACCATACATGTTACCACCGATGATGTCGGAGGCAGGGTTGTCACCAACCATGTAGATGTTCTCGGGGAGCTTCTCCTCGCCGTGGATCTGTTCCATCCAGCTGGTCATGACCTCGTCGGCGTACTTGTAGGTAGCCAGCTCGGGCTTGCCGTAGACGACACGCTCGAGGTCGACACCGGTGAGGGCCTTGTACATTGCCTCGAGACCAATACGGAAGGCACCCTGAGACATACGAGGGAAGGGGTGCTCGCTGGGGCACAACAAATCACCCTGGGAGAAGTAGATAGGGATACGCTGGCTGACAGGGTCCTTGGCGACGGTGCCGAAACGGCCGTTCTCAGACTTCAAAAGGTCGATGATGATCTGCATGTCTGTGGCGTAGTCGCGAGAGTCAGAGTAGACCATAATGGCGTCGATGTTGATCTTGGAGAAGTCACGAGGGCGAGAGGTGGCACGCTCCTCATCGGTGAAGACACGGAAGGGGGCAATTGAGGGGTCCCAAGCGATGATGTCGTTGGGGACGACGATGTCCTTGAAACCGTATTCCTCAGCAACCTCACGGCACTTGTAGCCCTCACCACCAACGACGAGGACGGTGCTGTAGTACTCAGAAAGAGCTCTCATGGGAGTGTGAGACTGGATGAACTGGTCGACGGCGACAGGGTTGCCGAGAATCTTGGAGAGCTGCTCGCAGCGAGGGATCTCGCGCTTGCCGGATCCGTTGGTGAGGAAGATGTGAGGGATCTTAATGCCGAGCTCGTTGTCACCGTTCAGGATCTCGAGGGCACGCTTACCCTCGGGGATCAGACGGTCACCGTGGACAAGGACACCGTCAATGTCGAAAGCAAAGGCCATGTTCTTGGCCAACTTGACCTTCTCGGCGGAGAGGTCCTGGATCTGGGATGCCAGGATGTCACGGGTGGGCTGAATTGGGGGCATACCAGGACGGCCAGACTTGGCATCAGGGTAGTGGACTGATGACAGACGGGATTGTCTCTTGGAGCGAGGGATAGGGAGAGATGCACCGAAAGAGTTGCGGGATCCTCTGCGGTCCTTCATCGAAGGAGAGAGGGAGAGCTGGTGCATGTAGGGAGAAGGGTCGGCGATGCTGCTACGGGTGGCAGGGACCTCGACTGATCTGTCGGTGCCAGGCTCCATACCGGGGACAGGCAAGCTGCTACCGTAGCTTGAGCCACCGACAGCCTGGCTGTTGGTTCTCTGCTGGGTAGGCTGAGCCTCAACATTGAGGTCGGAATCTTCGAAAGCGGGCATGATGTGGGATGTATGAGATGGTATGAGAGGATAGATGGAATTCAGGGATGAAGGAGAAGAGAGAAGACAGATAAGAGGATGGAAAGAGGTGCTAAGTCAGCAGGAGAGGGACTGAATGATCGGATGTTCTGCGTCACACGGAGGGTCACTGAGTTTACTTATGTATATTTCTGGGTCGGGGCCAAATTAATGCTGAATCAGAGCCCGTACAGCAACGAGCATGCTCTGACAAGGGGGGTATCCACATGTGGCATCATCGGCCGGTGTCAACAGAAATGTTTCGAAATTTTTTCAACTCGGAAGCATTCAGCAATGACGAAGGTTGGAACAAGCTAAAGGACCCTGGTGCCGGCGCCACGAGGCAGCAAAAGTCCCGACGCCGCCAACAGTACCTTTTTCTGAGGCAAAAGCGCCATTTGGCTTGCAGACGTTGATGCCGAAACGCTTGTTGTGAGGCTGTTTAAGGTTTACGGTTTTGTTGACGATTCGAGACGGGCTCGGCGTCGACGTCAGAGCCCTTGAGAATTTCCAAAGATTGGTGCACGGTGAGCACCGTGGTGGATACCGAGCTCCCCAACAACTGCTTCGAGTCCCCTGACCGCTCTAGAAATTTGTTGTATGACGTGTGTCTCATCTTTGCTCGGAGCGAGGTCGTGGCAGGACATCGGTGGAACACATGGCCAGTAAATAATACCTCAGGGCCAGGTATTGGGCGTGGTCTTCCTTTTCGACTTTGCATAGTTCTGCTTGTTCAATTCCAGTTCCCAAAGTAATACATACACCAATTCGACCGTCATCATGTCTGCTGCAGTCACTCGCACACTTAACAACGGCGTCAAGATCCCTGGTAAGTCCTGTCAAATCCCCTGCGAAATCAACCTCAGGTCGCTGACTAGGGGCTACAGCCGTCGGCTTCGGCACCTTTGCCAATGAGGGCTCCAAGGGCGAGTCTTACAAGGCCGCTCTGCACGCTTTGAAGACCGGCTACAGACACCTTGATTGTGCCTGGTTCTACCAAAACGAGGATGAGGTTGGTGCAGCTGTTCGCGACTTCCTCAAGGAGAACTCGAGCGTCAAGCGTGAGGACATCTTCGTTTGCACAAAGGTCTGGAACCACCTCCACGAGCCTGAGGAGGTCAAGTGGTCCTTCCAGAACTCGCTCGACAACCTGGGTCTGGACTACATTGACCTGTTCCTTGTTCACTGGCCCATTGCCGCCGAGAAGAATGACGAGAACATGCCCAAGTTGAACGAGAAGGGCCAATACATCATCAAGGAGGAGTTGACCAACAACCCTGAGCCTACTTGGAGAGCCATGGAGGAAATCTACTCATCTGGCAAGGCCAAGGCCATTGGTGTCTCCAACTGGACCATCGACGGCCTCAAGCAACTCCTGTCTATTGCCAAGGTCAAACCTACCGTCAACCAGATTGAGATTCACCCCTTCCTCCCCAACACCGAGCTGGTCGACTACTGCTTCTCTCAGGACATTATGCCTGCCGCCTACTCGCCCCTTGGTTCGCAAAACCAAGTTCCGTCTACTGGAGAGAAGGTCAACACCAACCCTGTACTCAACGAGATCGCCGAGAAGGGCGGTAACTCCCTTGCTCAGGTTCTCATTGCATGGGGTCTTAGAAGAGGCTACGTCGTGCTTCCCAAGAGCTCCACTCCCTCCAGAATCGACAGCAACTTCAAGAGCATCGAGCTTTCCGATGCCGATTTCGAGGCTGTCAACAAAGTCGCCGAGGGTCGCCACACTCGTTTCGTAAACATGAAGGACACCTTCGGTTACGATGTTTGGTAAGTCGCATCGATTGGCTCTCCGACCATGATCCTCAGCTAACCAACACATCACAGGCCCCAGGAGTCCTCGTAAACGAATTTTATTGAACCGATGACGAATGACCGATCAAATCCGATTTGCAGCTTTCCACGTCCTGGTGACGGAAGGCGGAGCTTCATTGGCAAACACAGTAAAAAGTTTGTTGGCCCGTGAAGGCGATCGGTAGGCCTACCAGAAGCCGACGGAACGGAGGAATGTTCCCACGAAATAGTTACTTCTTGTTGATACCAATGACTACACGTTTTCTTTTCCCTGGACTTGTGCCGAGAACATGTTTTGTTAGGTTGTTGTACTTTTGTTTTGAAAGCTTTCTCCGCACCGAGTCTGGAGGTACCAGACAGCTTCGAGTATCGAGCCGTCGAACGAGAGAAGCATTTGCCCGTCTCGATATCCAGATGTCGTACTAGCTCAGCGTTTTCAGATGGAATATGATGTCTTACATAAAGTATTTCTTGCACCACTATCTCCAACAAGCTATTGAAACTGCGTTGCAGCGCGAAATGCAGGTTGTCTGTGGTGCCTGACCACTCTGCGAGATCGACAGACGCCAAGGCGGCTTGGGATCATTGCTCGATGCTCATTGCGTTCCTTCAGCACTCTGATCGAGCTCGACTCATTACGAAGAGAGACGAGGATCTTGGAAGAGCGAAGCAAAAGTACAAGAGACGTTCGCGTTCTACGGACTGGGTGTTCCAAGAATGCCGACAGAATCGTGGTCGCATGAATTTGAGGTGGCTAGTGGATATAACGTAGCAGTGAATTGTCCGAAAGCAGCCATATATACATTCAAGGCCCAGATTGCGATTATCTCGGACAGAAGGCTGTAGGAAGGCAAGATAGCGAACCATAATTGTGTACAAGAAGAGTAAGTGGATGTGTGCATGTATACTATTAAGATCCATCAAGTCATAACGTATTTGGGACCTTCACCGCCCTGTTTACATGAGATTAGCAGATGGACTAGGATGACCAAGGTAATGCTTACCTGAGGAGTTCTCCAGGTGATATCCTGGTCTGGCACCTTAATATCGCAGGTCTTGCAGTGTACGCAGCTGTATGAATTTAGTAAGGTCTCGATTTGAGCATTCACATGAAACTTACTTCTGCGAGTTGATCTGGAATCTTACACCGAGCGGTTTGCTCTCATCCTCGATATATTCATACACACCAGCAGGGCAGAACCTGTTCTCGACACCTTGGTACTTGGGATATTCGAGCTCAGCGTGTTTGTCCCAATCTTCTACGTGCAAGTGACAAGGTTGATCCTCCTCGTGGTTAGTGCCAGTTCTGCTGACACTTGTCAAGATGTCGAAGCTGATCTTGCCGTCTGGCTTGGGGTACTCGATCTTCGAACAGTCTGCAGCAAGCTTGGTAGCTCCATGATCAGTTCCAGCGTGCTTTATCGTCCATGGCACTCTGCCCTTGAAGAGATATGCTTCAAGTCCAGAGTACATGATACCACCGTAGAGCTTCAATGGAGAGTGGAAGGAAGGTCGCATATTCCGGACCTCCTTCAATTCCTTCCAAATAGACGAGGAGCGCAGCTTGTCTTCGTAGTCGTACAAGAATACAGGACTTGAATCGTCTGATTCGCGCAAGGCAGAATAGGCAGCTTCGGCGGCAAGCATACCCGAACGCATAGCGGTATGAGTACCCTTGATCTTAGGTACATTGAGGAAGCCAGCAGTGTCACCAATTAGGGCGCCACCAGGGAATGCGCATTTGGGGATGGACTGGAAGCCACCCTCGTTCAGTGTACGAGCACCGTAAGATATGCACTTACCACCTTCCAGATATTTGCTGTACATAGGGTGGTGCTTCATCTTCTGGAACTCGCCGTAAGGAGCCAACCAGGGATTCGGGTAGTCGAGACCAACGACCAGGCCGATACTGACGAGGTTGTCGCCGAAATGGTACATCCAGCCACCACCATATGTATCAGCAGGCAAGGGATAGCCCATGGAGTGGACGACCAAACCCTTCTCGAACTTTTCAGGATCAATCTCCCAGACTTCCTTGATACCAAGACCGTAGGTTTGGGGCTGACTATCCCTCCTCAAATCGAATTTCTTGGTGACTTGTTTGGTCAGACTGCCGTGACATCCCTCACCGAGGAGGGTAACGCGAGCATGAAACTCCATACCGCGCTCAAAAGAGTCCTTGGGTTTGCCATTTCGACCGATGCCAAGGTCGTTTGTGGCGACACCTTTTACCGAACCGTCGGAGTTGTATAGTACTTCGGAGGCAGCAAATCCAGGGTAGATTTCGACGCCAATCTCCTCTGCTCTTTCTCCTAGCCATTTGGTGAATTGGTTGAGGGAAATGATGTAGTTGCCATGGTTGTTCATTTGTGGTGGGGCGGGGATGGGTATTGAGTAGGACTTTGTGAGGAAACGCATACGGTCTGTGGTGGCGGCTGTGATATGCTCGTAGCGGTTGGGGTTATCCGGGGAATTCCAATCGGGAAGTAGCTCGTCCAGAGCGGAGGGCTCGACAACATTGCCAGACACAATATGGTCACCCAATTCGCCAGCCTTTTCCAGCAGCAAGACACGGAAGTCGTCGTTGCCAGCATCGTTCGCCAGCTGCTTTAGACGAATGGCAGCACTGAGACCAGCAGGACCGCCTCCGACGATGCAAACATCGACCTGGTCACTTTCCCTCTCAATGTCGGCAGGGTTAAAGGAGTCGTCGGGCGTAGCGAGGCGTGTGGGTGATGTGAGGGAGAAGGGACGACGCTGTCCTGCGCGGAAGATGGCGGGGCGACGAGATAGAGTGGGATTGTTCCTAAGAGGGGCGAACGCAGTAGCAGTAATGGGTCGCAGGGCCGAGGGTCTGAACAGACGAGCATCTTGGACCAGTGCCCGGCCTAATGTGGTGGCGGATGGAAGACTGCTAGCGGACGGCATGGTTGGCGACTAGAGAAGGCAAGGTCCAGAGAGAAGGGTGACTGGTGTGCGGAGGCAGAAGAGAAATTGGAGGGCGAGCTGCTTGGTCGTTCGCCTGGTCGACGGAGCTCAGGGAGTGGTGAACAGATAGCCTCGGCTGAGTGGAGTGAGTCGTGGTGCTCTCGGTCTACGCCTGCCCGTCGACGGTGATGGGCATTCAAAAAAGCCGCCGCTGACCTCGGCGCATGTGATTGGCCGAAAGCAGACAGCGCCACCACCCGCACCTGTGACTTGCGCCAAGCACTCTGAGTCTGTCGCGCCTTCCCATCACTCCATCGTCTGCCTCCAAGCCATCATTACCTTCTCGACAAGTCTGCGCCCATCACCCGGCTCTCTTGTCACGGATCTGGCCTCATCGTCGGTTTTCTTTGATTGATATCATCATGGGCGACGTGTCTTCGACCCGACTCTATCTGGGAAATCTCCCGCGCAACGGTACGCTTCTGCTCGTGTAGCTGGCCTGAGCATTGAGGATCTGGACACGGCCTGGACTCCTCCTTCACCCTCTGCGCAAGCTCGTCCTGGATGATGGCATCCCGCTAATCGGATTCGTGCTCTAGCCACCAAGGCCGACGTCGAGAACCACTTCGCCAGCCATGGAACTGGTGAGATCACCGAGATCAAGCTCATGAACGGCTTCGGCTTCGTCGAGTACAAAGACGCCATGGACGCCCGCGACGTCGTTCCCGGTGAGTCTCTTGTCTCTTGTACGCACTCGCTCACTCCCTCGTTGTCTCCGCTAACTCGCCCTTTTGGGTAGCTTTCCGTACGTACAGTCCGCTCCGGCCGCCGCCAACATCCTGCCACCCCGGTCGCTTACTGACTCGCGCTAGATGGCTCCGACTTCATGGGCGAGCGCCTCGTCGTCCAGTTCGCTCGTGGATCCACTCGTCCTCGCGAGTATGGCCATCCCGAGCAGCGCGCTCCTCCCCGTCCGCGTCGTACGGTCCACCGCATGTCCATCACTGGCCTTCCCTTTGAAACCAGCTGGCAGGTTAGCAATGTCCCTCCGATGCACAATTTCTTTCATCCGGCCGTTTCTCCTTCCCCTTGTCTTTTGTCTCGTGTCGCCCATGCCGCGCCCTGATTTCGCTGGTGTTGGATTATCTTTCTTCTTGCTTCGGACTTTCTCACTCAACCCAACTTGGACCTGGACTCACATTGGCCTCTATAGGACCTCAAGGACTTTGCTCGCCAGCCCGGCCTCGATGTTGTTTACTCTGAAGTCGGACGCGAACGCGATGGCAGCGGCAACGGCAAAGGGTAAGCACCCCCAGCATGGCAAGCAACCACTTTCGTTCTAATCGCATGTCCCAGCTTCGTGGAATACGAGACTGCTGCCGACTTGGTCTCTGCTGTGGAGAAACTAGACGGACAGGAATTTAAGGGTGCCACTGTTCGCTGCATTCCTGATGTAAGTCTACTGATCGTGACTGGCCGATGACTCTCTCACACTGCCATGCAGACCCAGTCCGAGATTCCTCGCATGCCACCCCCGCCTCCTCGCGACAACCGTTACCGCTCGCGCTCGCCTCCTCCTCGTCGTGGTGGCGGTGGTTACGGCGCACCTCCAATGGATGACTACTACGGAGACCGCAGAGGTCCTCCTCGCGGTGCTGGTGGTTACAGCCCTCGCCGTGACGACTACCGCCGCAGAAGCCCCCCACCTCGTTACTACGACGACCGCAGAGATCCCTACGCTCGTTCCCCCCCACCCCGCGCCCGCGGTCCCCCAGTCGATGACTATGCGCCGCCCAGAAGCCGTGCTTACCCTGCTGACGACGGCTACGGTGCACCTCCTCCAGCCCGCCGTTACGAGGCTGATCCCTACGCCAATGGCCACGGCAGAGAGCCTAGAGAACCTAGAGAGCCTAGGGAGCCCAGAGAGCCTTACGGCCGCCCTCCTAGCCCTCCCCCAAGACGCGAGCGTGGCTACGATGCAGGCTACGATCGTAGACCTTACTGGTGATTACCCTTTTCTTACATTTTTGACAAAAACGAATTTCTTGTATTTTCGTTTTGGAGAATTGTCACTTACTCATGCGCAAGATCCACACCTCGATCAACCAGCTACCGCCACGGTAAAACAAGCCGAACTTCAAGCACCCAAAGGACAAGAGGCAGCGCACACAATGGATCTGTTGGCAAGTATTAGCTGCGGCTTAGGTCGCGACAGACAGCCGAATAGAGCTGCCTACAGCAGGCTATGGCGGATTCTTATTCTTGCCAGTATGTAACAGTATTCAGTTATCTTAATCTGAATCTTGCCTTCTTCAGATCTGAGCGGTGCCGCTGTTGTGATGTTTATACAAATGCTAGCGCGCGCGTCTCTCGTGTAGACGGCGTTCTTAACCTAGAAGCACCGTCCAGGTGTTTTGCTCATCCGAGGGCGCGACCTAGACAGTGCTCTCTGTCTCGATGGGAATAACGCGAACAAGTCTCTCAACAGGCGTCTCTCCTCCTTTTACTGTGACCTCGACCTTGTATTCTCCCAATTGCCTGATCTTGTCGGCTTCAGCAGCTGTCTGGGTAGATAGGTTGACGAACTTGACGTCCTCGGCACTCAGGACGATCCGCGAGGCTTCTTGGTTCTCGGAGAGAAGGTGAACAATCCTGCTGACAACGTCGGCGTTGGAGACGGTACCGAAGATGGGTGTCGCAGAAGTAGAGGTGGGTATAGCAGGAGGAGCAGCCGCAGCAGCGAGGAGATCAGCAGCGGCACTGGAGAAGCCTTTGTCCTTCTTGACGGGGGCGGCTGGGGTTTCAGAAACAGGAGCAGCAGATTCCTGAGGCCTACGTCGGAAGTCCATGACTGGGGGGAGAAGCATGGAGAGAAGTTCGGTTGCGCGTTTGGGCTAAGGTAGGCATCAATACAAGACTCGAGCTGCGTGATTAGAGCAAACATACGGCCAACTTGTCGACCTCGACAGTACGCTTGGTGGTGCGCTGAGACTGCTGCTCAATGACTCTGACGGCAGCCGGGTCAGGGACACCGAATTGAAAGTCTCGTTCGGGCGTGATGTTCTTGGCCTTCATGTCCTTCAATTGGGCGGGGGTCACATATTCGGCAGCCCTCGTAGGGAAGAAAGCGTTGCGCATACGGCCAATAGAGATGGGAATGTAGGTGCCCTTGCGACCAAAGGTAGGCACATCCTTGGTGAGGCGGACGGTGACGGTGGTGGGCGCGCGAGCCATCTTCTTCTTGCCGCGAACCTGCTGTCCGCCACGCCATTCTTGCAGGCCCAGGCTGCTTATGCGTCGTAGACACGACGTGCATTGTGGTAAGATTGTCGGTCGCATGGTCAAAGACATGGTCGAGGTGGTGTTGTGTATACAGTATCTCCTGCTTGCGCCAAATGTTCGTCTCGAAATGTTGTCCGCATCTCCGTTCGTGTCTTGGCGGAACCATCTTTTGGGCTGTCTTTCCGACTCTCGACATCTATTATTTAGCTACCTTATATATCCAGCAAATCACACACTCTCAAGACTCAGTTGCTCCTGTTTCCCTCCTGCTGTATGCAATGGTGACAAATGTGACACTGCCTATACATCCTTATCTTTGACCCACACCTGAATGCTGCTATACGAGTCCCTGGGGGTCAGGCCGTTGGGTTCTGAGCACGACGTCTTTATACATCTCTGCGAAATTCTACAGGGCATCGGCTTGTTCAACTACAGCTTCTCGGCCTGAGTAGCCTCTTGGACTTCCTCACTGCCCACAGGCACAAGTTTTCCAACGACCAGATATTTCTCGGAGAATCTCTCCTCCCATCCTCTCAGAGCCTCCATCTCTTCCTCGCCCAGGTCTGACAGAGTATCCAGAGGACCGTTCAGGTCCTTGGTCAACATATCTTCGTCAAAGCTGCCACAAGCCAGGCCTCTACTCGCGTCGCGTCCGGCGAAGTTGGCATAAGGGCCTCCTGGACCGTAAAAGTTGCGTCCAGACGTCACATCAAACACTCTGCCGCGGACTGCAAGGTAGACGGGCATGTTGTTGCGGCCATTGTAGGGCTCAAGGTCGGGTGGGGTGAAGGTCTTGAAGACAGTTGGTGCTGGCGGGGACGGCAGGGCGGCTGCAGTTTTGGGTGTGAGACGATAGTAGAGCAGCACCATAAACAGTGTGATGAGAATCAGGTTGATGGGTGTTGCGATTGATGCACTGGTCTAGTCTCAGTACCTATTCATTGATCCGGCCGGCGTGAGGAACATACACTTCGGTCGCCGAGGGCGGTGATACTTCTGTATTCGTGTCAGTACTGTGTGAGAGTCTTTGTCAAAAACACATACCGTCAGCCATGGTTCTTGTCGTGTCTGTCGCCAGAATACTTTTCGAGTGATTTGCGGGTCAGGGCCGTTAGACAAAGACTCGAGCGAGAAGAGCGTCACCGACAAGCGTCACCAACAAGCTCGCTCAAGCTGACTGATGCATGACCTGACTGTGGGGATTGGGGAGAGGCTTTGGAAACCACTTTCGTTCGTGCCGATCTTCCTCCTCGGCCCTTAAGGCTCTATCCAACCGTTCTTGGTCGCCTACAGGCAGAGTTCGCATGCCACATCGGCTGCCACTACTTACTGGACTCGACATCTTTCCTGCGAGCCTACATCTGAGTACTTCCGCCAGACTGCGTTATTAGACGAATCCTTCCTGAACCCTAGAAAGAATCCTTTCTTGGCTCACGGGTCGTTAGGGCTCTGGTCACGCCTGATATATTGCCATCAGTAGCTCTATTACTGTCCGATCACTCGGGTGCATCATATGCCACTACTGTCGTATCGATGGACACCGCCGCTCAGGTTGCTGGCCGAGTTTCGAGGAGGGTTCTTGCGACACGCTTGCCTTCTAGATTCTTGCAATGAACATCACACTCGGTCAGGGTCTTTGACAGGCGCTGTTTCGCATAGTGCTACGCTGGCTCCAAACACACACAGTCGATTTGGAAGTCGAGGACGTCCTGTTCATCTGCCACTTCTAGTCAAAGCTGAAACACGCCGCGAGATGAAACGCGAAGCTCCTGCATGACATGCGTTCACAGCGGTTGTCGCAATGCCTAAAAGACCATCTACCAGGCTTTCCACACCTATGTGATCTCTAATCGGTCAAAACTTGTTTGCGCTTCCTTCTTCTTGATTTTTGGCTTTGTTGTTGTGGCTGCCATTGTTGTTTACATGCCTCGTTGATCACACACACACTTCCCTCTCACACACACGCTTCTTTACCACACGCCTTCCTTCTCACATACGCTGTTGGTTGATCGGCGTAAACTCCTAATTCTTCTTGCACACTATAAGTAAGTTTCCTCATATCCGGCCAACAGAGCCAAGGTTGTACCTCTTCTACGTGCTTTTCCACACCCACCGTAGCATCGTCTGGCAATTCTGGTGCGCAGCAGGTAATTCGGAACAATGCGCAAATCCTTTGAGTGGTAATACAGCAAGAGCACGTCAGAAAACTTGCCTCTACTCAGCGCTCGAGAAAGCGTGCGTTTCTCTACCTGCTCGCGTGACGGAATTGCCACAACAAAGCGTTGCTTACAACATAGCACATCCTCAAAAAAAAGACTTATTTGTGGTATCAGTTACTGACTCGAACTAGTTCCTCGGTCAAATCAGACCCCAATGAAGTTCACAGCACGGTCGGACGAGAGTGTCTCGCATAGACCGGAGAACGCCTTTGATTCGCCTTATGATTCGAAATATCAAGTCTGTATAACAGGAGGCAAGCCGAAGAAGTCAACACTGGTCGAAAAGGCAGCCAAGTTTGGTCGTCAAGCATTCGGAAGTCGTTCTACATCTGCTGGATCCAGAGATGACTCGAGACGACCATCCCTACCTAGTCATTATACTGCAGTAAGAAGCACCTCGGGTCTGTTTGGAGATGGTTCGAGACTCGGCGCCAGCATCAGCACGAGTTCGCTGGTCTCGGTGCGTCCCAAGACACGGAACGTGCGTGATTCAATCACATCAAGCATCTATGATGAACCCGAGACAACGAAGCCGATGCCATCCCTGAATGTTGTCAAAAACGTCGCTGTGCCGCAAATACCACCTATCTACCCGACGAACGACATCTCGTCTCTCACTGGCCTCCCCTCGAATATTCATCGAAATCCGAATCTGAAAGAACACAACGAGTCAGCTAGACACTCGACCGACAGCAACGACTCTACAAGAACCGTCACACAATCGAAGATCGATCCTTCTAGAAGTCACTTCAGCTGGACAACGTATGCAGAGACAGAGCGAAGTATTTCACCAACCACATCATACATCGAGAACAGAAGCATAGCAAGGGAACCAGACAGCCGCTTCAGTTGGACAACAGCAAACACAAACACTACATACCAACTAGACACGCGACCTTGCAGTCCGACACCTTCTTACCCTACCTCGATCATGTCAAGGCGACGGCCCGTGCCTGGTAGAGAACCAATGGCTCCCAAAAGACATGACAGCATGGGTGATGTGCAAGAAGCGACCTGTGACAAGGCTCTTCCACAACCTCCAAAGACAAGACAGGCTGTAGATCATATCGACGAGCTGGAGTCGCGCGTGGAGTCATTGGAATTGCAGAAGAAGAATATGGAGAAACTGTTCAAGGAGCTGGAGAGAGTGGATTCGGCTAGCCCGATTGAGGTGTCGGAGAGGATGAGGCGCGAGAACCGTAAAAAGATGGGCGAAGTACGGACCAGGCAGGATGAAGTGCAGAGGGAGCTGTTTGAGGTTGGAAGACTGCTGAGCAGGGCCAGGGCCAAGGCCGAGGAGATAGACGGCAGTACAGGACTATGGCTCCGACGTGTCACGGATTGAAGGACGCATGTATCGTCAGAATACCATGTATATCACCCTCTCACACGTGCAGCACGCAGAGACTATTTCACGATTGCCAGGGACGAAGTATCGGGAAGGCGGAGAGAATGGTCGTGATTGTATGATTTCAGAGAAAAACAAAGGGGTATGTGTCGAGCCTTCGAACGCCGGAGAAAGATGTGGACGACGAGCTTATTTCTTGCCGCTCTTCTTGATGCCCTGGCCGCCAGTGTTCAGAGGGCCCTTGCCACCAGCCTTCTTGGCCATCTCCTCACGAGCTTTCTTGTCTGCGAAAAGAAGTCAGAGATGAAGAGCTGAATACAGGATGGGAAGCGGATAACACAAACCAGCAATCTGCTTGGCCTTGAAGGCGGCGTCATCCTCGTCCTCGTCCTTAGCAGCCTTCTTGGGCTTCTTGTCTAGATTGAGTGTACAGTCAGAATGGGCGATGAACGGGGCGCGGGTGGCCGGGGCCAGATTGGTACGCACTGTGAATCGGCTTGGTGCCGTCTGGAATCAGGTTAGCTGGAGAAAGCGAATCGCGACGAGAGGACACTTACTGCCCATTCCTGAAGGCATGATTGCAATTGTGGGGTTGGTTGATCGAGTAGAAGTGAATAGAGGAGGAAAAAGGCCGATGATTGTGACTGCGGGGGTCTGAAAAGCCAAGGGCTGCGGCCTCCAGAACAAAGGGCGGGAGATGGTTGTTGGGAACGTGCACGCTGGAGACACGAGTCGATGTCTGTTGGGAATGGTGAGTGGCAGAACAGAAACTCGGCAGCGTTAGGAATTGAGATGAGCACGAGGTCTGGGATGCGTTGGGTACTGAGATAAGCAACATACGGCGGTGCTGCGGGGCGGGCCGCAGTGACGGCGCATGGAATGGACAAGTCAAGTTTGCCATGTCCGAAGCGCACTCCAAGACCATCAAAACCGCAAACTTCCAACTTGTTCCGTTCGTCGAACGCTGAGCAGTCTTCCACGCGTCCCGAGACTGGCCAACTGCCCGTCGTCTATCGCCTCGCCCTAATGCCGCCTCCCTCGTCGGTCGACCACCTTCCTTCACACCAGCCCGCCGCTCGTCAGCGTCCAAAGTCGCCGGATCGTCTACTGGCCGAAGCCGAAGCGCAATGGCTCTTCAGTGAGCAAGAGCTGCTGCATACGCCATCGGTCCAACATGGCATGGCTCCCGAGAAGGAGAAGGAGATACGCGCAAAGGGCATCAACTTCATTCGTCAAGTCGGCATCATGCTCAAGCTGCCCGAACTCACCCTGTCTACCGCCGCCATTTTCTTCAACCGCTTCCTGATGCGTGTCAGTCTGGTCGATCGTCCGAATCAAAAGGCTCTGCACCACTATACACTTGGCGCGACCGCCCTCTTCCTGGCCACAAAAGTCGAGGAGTCATGTCGCAAGATGAAGGACCTGGTCGTCGCTTGCTGTCGCGTCGCCCAGAAGAATCCAAATTTGTTGATTGACGAGCAAAGCAAGGATTTCTGGAAATGGCGCGATACCATCCTGCTAAACGAGGACGTCCTGCTCGAGATGCTGTGTTTCGATCTCACCATCGAGGCCCCTCACAAACAGCTCTACGAAATGCTCAAGTACTACAATGTCCATCACAACAAGCCCTTGCGCAACGCTGCCTGGGCCTTTGTCACCGATAGCAACATCACTCAGCTCTGTCTGCTGTGTTCCAGTCACACCATCGCTGCCGCTGCCCTCTACTCGGCCGCCCGCTACTGCAACATTGCCTTTCCCGATTCCTCCGACGGCCGTCCGTGGTGGCACGTTCAGCACGTCGCACTCGATGACATACTAAAAGCTTGCAACTACATGGCTTCCAACTATGAACATGTTCCCATCAGACCCGGTCACGAAGGCGCTCAATCTACCTATGTACGTTTCGATGGTCAAGATTCGGACTGGGATGCTACAAGGCTGAGTAGTGAACAGGCCATTACCAGTCCCTCCGCTCCTATCCTCCACCAAGACACTGCCGCCAACGGTCACGGTCACGGTAGCAAAATCCACCACATTGACCCGCCCCACGACGATAGGGCCGTCAAGAAGAGGCGCACCTCCGATTCTGCTACTGCCGCTACTTCGGTTCCTCATCACGCACCCGCCTCGCGTACCGTTGAGAGTCATGGTAGTGAGGAAGGCGAGGTTGAAGGCTAGACATGTTTCACGTTTTCATGATTTTACTGAATATACATCGAGCGATGGCGTTACGGGTTTGCAGTGGTCGTCAAGGACCAGGGTTTGAGGCCTCGCACCAAGAGGATGTTGTATTCTAGATTTCCCCAATTCCAACAACGATTTGATACCCCGACTCAGCATCTCGAGGATGCATGTGGCAATATCTTGGAGTCGTCCGTGTGATACCAAACGACCCTCGCCCATGAGAACATTCGACGCTTTACAAGATTCCACTGGTTGACCACACGTGTAGTAAAGTGCGATTTGGTTTGGAACGCTTACTTCGAACAGGCACTTGACTCAATCGGGTAATGACAGATTGATAAGATCGAAATACACGTCCTTTTTTTGTTTTTCCACATATTTATCTTTGCGAAATACTATTCCAGAAATATCAAACGCATAAACAATGACTGTCGCCAAGATGGGTTCGTCTCGAGACATAAAGTGAGTTCGACCATCTCGGCCGTCCATCGCTCTCATGGCTGACCACGCCATGTCTAGTCCTCTAGTTTTGTTCGAGAAATCGAAGGCTGAAGGTAGGCCTTTGTACGTCTCAGGTCCCATGGTTCGGTAAGAAAAACAGGGATGTAAGTGCTTTCATCTCACTGAGTATTCTTATAGCTACAGTAAACTTCCTTTCCGACTGCTGGTTCAAGACTACAAGGTCGATCTTACTTATACACCCATGATTCTTGCACATGAGTAGGTACCATCAGTGTCTTTATCCGCTTCGTATCCACCTCGTCCTTCGCACGAACCACTACACAAGATTTTTGACGCTCATATCGTCACATAGATTCATCCGTCACCCTGTTGCGCGTTCTTCAGATTTCAGTACTCATGACAACGAGGGCCCTGTCATCGCACAGTTTGCCTCGAACGACCCCGTCGAGTTTGGACGTGCTGCAGAGATGATCGGTCCGTGGGTCAACGGCGTTGATCTGAATTGTGGATGTCCACAGTCATGGGCAATGAAAGAAGGCATTGGTTGCAGTATGATGGCAAATCCAGACAAGGTTGCCGCCATGATCAAAGAGGCCAAGCAAAGGATTGGGTCCGGCAAGACTGTCTCTTGCAAGATTCGAATTCACCAAGACTTGAAGTATCATTGACCGTAGCTGTCTCTTGATTGCTCTACTGACTTATATAACAGTGAGACGATACAATTTATCAAGACCGTCGAAGCGGCAGGCGTAGACTACATCACCATTCATGGGCGACTGCGGAACCAACGATCATCCACACCGCCCAACTTTGAAGCCATCAAGATGTTGAGGGCGCAGACGACACTACCTGTCCTCGCAAACGGCGATGTCTACTCCCTAGAGGATGCCCATCGAATCACAAGGGAGACCGGTGTAGACGGTGTCATGGCAGCTCGAGGCCTATTGGAGAACCCTGCCTTGTTTGCGGGCTTCGACAAGACGCCAGTCGAAGCTGTGTCCCAATTCATACACTATGCTGTTCAGGGCGGTATGCGACATGAGCTAGTTGTCCATCACCTCACCGAAATGATGACCAAGACGAGTACAAAGCGGGAACGGGCAGGTCTCGCGACCTGCAACGATATGGTGGACGTTGTGGATTGGCTTGACAGCAGGTGCAAGTTGCAACGACCTCTTGTATAAGGGCGACTGTCAATGGAAACTGCTCCGTTCTGTAAGAGCATCCTCAGATGCGCTTAGCCACACGAAAGCTTTGTTTTTGACTCACTCCTGTATACCTGGTCGGCTCATCGTCCCACAAGCCGGTACCTAATTGTCGTGTACCTTTACGATGAAACCGCTTCATTGGACGCCGTACCTCGAGATGGTCACGTTCAATACCAAACGGGTATATACCACCCTGGGATCGAGCTACTATTCTTTTTCGTGTCCTTGTAAATCTTTATATAGAAGGGAAGAGCGAAAGATGGGGTTTGCTTCCGACCCAATCTCGTGGTAAGCATGATCAATTCTTCGGGCCGAGCCGAAGCGGTGGTCAATGACGATGTTTTACTTTTCCTTTATCTACTTTTTTCCCCATCAAGGTTCTAACTTATCGGTAAGGGGGTCTTGACTGAATCGCCTTTTGCTCATCGAATTGCGCTTACCAATTTACCCGACCACTACTTAAGCAGACTCTTGTCCTTTTTGTTGAGCAGCTTTGTTTCCGTTTTAGACTTCAATTCCTGTCAACAATGTCTGTTTCCGTGCCTCAATCTTTGTTCCTCAGACTACCACCTGAGTTGAGACTCGATATCTACAAGTTACTCTTGCTTCATGATCCGAGTTGTACCTTTGCAAGCAGCAAGCCTGCTCTGCTTCCTACGTCGATAGACTATCACGAGGGCCATCACACAGGATCCTCGGACGACATAGAACCCAACGCAGTCACTCTCTCCATTCGTGCCGAGGATCCAGTCCACTACAGATCGCGTGCTCCCAAACATGCACGCAGCGCATTTTTCGTCCGTGCCGGCGGTCTGCGTCCTGGATGCGTGCCTACGACGTATTTTTGCGTCAGCAACACGGGCATTCATACGTCGTTGCTGCGAGTAAACGCACGGATTTATGCCGAGGCTGTCGAGGTCTTGTACTCGAACCACGTTTTTGATTTCGACATGCACATCGAGGCATTCGTCGGTTTCCTGGAAGATCTGACACCATTCGCTCGCAATTGTATACGGTCAATACGCTTGGTCAAACGTGCCTTGCCATACGACAAAGAATACTCCAAAGCAGAGTGGGCCGTCGCCATGGAATGGGTCGGCGGGCTACCCAGTCTGAAGTCGTTGACATTGGGAATTGTTGCGGGAAGGCCAGGTCCTGACGGCTGGGACTTGGTTCCTGCCTTACAACCAGGGGATTTTGATGTTCTCAAGGGTACGGATGGCATGGAGTGGATAGAGGAGCTCCTTGCTGTGAAGGGACTGGATTACATCGCAGTCGAACCCATTGTCGTGCACAGTCCATTCGCCAGAAGCAATGCGATGGCACGTTATATCCAGTTCTCAGCAAGCGTTGATGACGGGTCGTTTGCAGCTTGGTTGAAGGACAATATGATCAGGGGAATGTAGGACATTGACAGCAGTTTGGGTTCATCAGTAGTCTGGGCCCGAGAAGTGAGTAAGGAGATGCAGTGCATCAGCAATGTAGAATCAGCTATCAGACAAGCGTGAGAGAGACCCGATCAATGTCTTTTGGATTGTGATTAGTATAGATTTTGAGCCTCATACGAAACGGAACAAAAGGTAGAGAAGAAGCTGGATCTTAGTATGCCCACAACCGTCAAGATTGAAACGCCCTGGACGCCAGAGGAAAACAAGAGAGGGCTCGCTGCCCGTCTAAACCTTGACCCAGAGCGACAGAACGCTCTTAGCATACGCTGTGATTTCGTTGGAACCAATCTTCGAGTCTCCGTACAGACGATCGACAAAGCTGATGGGGACCTCAGCAACCTTGAAGCCCATTGCCTTGGCCCTGACCATCATTTCCATCTGGAAGCTGTAGCCCTTGCTTTCGGTCTTGCGAATGACTTCTTGCAGAACGGACTTCTTGTAGAGTCTGAAACTGCCAGTCAAGTCACTGACACCTGGTCTGAGAAGAGTGTCGGCGAACAGGTTGGCACCTCTGCTGACAAACTTTCTCTTCAGATCCCAGCCGTAGACACCTCCGTCTCCAGCGTAGCGGGTTCCAGTGACAATGTCGTAGTCGGCGCCGTTCTCGTTCTGTTTCTTGATCATGCGGGGAATGAACTTGGGGTGGTGACTGAAGTCGGCGTCCATGATGATGACAAAGTTGCCGGTGACATACTGCAGACCGTGGACGTAAGCGGTACCGAGACCCAGCTTGCCAGCTCGGGGCTTCAGCTTGATGCGCTCAGGGGAGTAGGCATTGATGAGCTGTTGAGCGATCTCTTGGGTGCCATCGGGCGAGGCGTCGTCGACGATGATGAGTTCCCAGTCCAGGTTGCTGTGGCAGACAGTCAGCATCACATGTGATTGCCGCGCGGGCTGTCTCGGCGGGTGTGATACTTTTCGGTAAAGGTCCTGTTCAGCAACCAGGCGATGATGGGGAGATTGCGGCGCTCATTGTAGGTGGGCAGCAGCACCGAGTACTTGTTGCGAACAGCCATGTTGGTGTGTGTGACAGTTGTTGTACTTGACAAGTAGATAGAAAGGGGAAACTGTCGGGCTAGATGGAGCTCGTTCCAGCTGCTGCCAGCTGTTGCGGAGTTGACGCGACCAGGGTCCACCCCCTGACCATCATTAAATAAACCTTCAGAAGCACAAAACTCTGTCACGTTCTATCTGTATGCTTCCATGCAATGCTCACACACGTCTAAATCTGTACGTAGTGACATTGTCCGCGAATTGGTCGTCTGGTGGTCTTGCGACAGACATCGAGGCACAAATTTAAGCAATGATCGACCAGCTTGTCTTTATCAACACATCATTCTATCTGCTAGCTCTTCTGCTGCTGCTGCTTTCTTTTCTTCTTGCTAGCCTTTTCTGCGAGGAGTTGATCAAGATATGTTCCAGATCTCTTCTTGCTTGGCCTTGGATCGTCGTCATCATCTGATAATGGCTCGGTCTCATCTTGTTTCTGAGACGTAGTACCAGACTTGCGAGCGGACGATTGAGACGGGCCCTTTCTCTTCAGAGCCGAATTAGAGGCAACCATGGCTGCTCGTCCTTCGTCGTCGTCGTCATGGTCGTCGTCGACGGCGGGCTGATCTAACGTAGACTTCTGCGAGGCAGGTGTCTTCTGACCAGGCTGAGGCTTGGACGTGGCTCTGTGGCCTCTAGCGGCTTTCTTACCCAGCAACTGCTCCAGTAGCCTGTCGTAGTTTGCACCATGTCGCTGCTTGAGTAGCGGGTCCTGATGGGCGTCGGGGGCGGTTGCGCCGAGTCCAAGGCTAGACGCTCTCAGTCCATCTCTTTCTGTAGCAGAGGAAGCGAAGATGCTCACAGCTCTGGCGTGGGTTTGAACAGCTCCTCGTCTTCCTTCAACAGCTCTTGATGAGTCTTTTGGGGTTGCGTTTCCTGCCTAGTCTTTGTGGGGAGCCATGACTGGACTAAGCGCTGGCTGTTGGCAAGAGCGACGTTTGCACGATTGAAGACGACATCGGCATCAGAGGGTGCGTTGTCTTTGGGCATGGCTGATGAGTGTCGTACGAAGGAACTATTTTGCGGCAGACATGGAATGCGGGCGTCGGGCGCGAGCGTAGCAGCATGCGGAAGAGGCTGCGGAAGAGCGAGCGAGCTCAAGCCGGTGATACCCGCGATGAGACTTGGCGCGAAGATTGTCCGACCAGACTTCTTGGAGTTGTTGTATCTCTTTGCTGAGCCTTGACTGCACCAAAGCTCTATATCCACCCTCTCCTCTCTACATACCCACCATGTTCAAGCTCGCCCGCAGCAGGCAGGCCGCCTCTGCGTTCCAGGCCGTCAAGGTTGGTCCTCACACCTTCCCCACCGCAACAGGACCCCCTTTGCGACTGACACTCCCGCCAATCCAGAATGCGCCCGTTCTGCAGCAGACACGCAACCTCTCCATCCACGAGTACCGCTCCGCTAAGCTCCTCGAGTCCTACGGCATCGGTGTGCCCAAGGGTGATGTCGCCCACTCGGCTGCCGAGGCCGAGCAGGTCGCCAAGAGCATCCGTATGCTGCATCCTCAAAACACATACTCTCGCTTCTCCGTGCTGATTACTCGCAGCTGGCGATGACATGGTCATCAAGGCCCAGGTTCTTGCCGGAGGTAGAGGCAAGGGTCACTTCGACAACGGTTTCAAGGGTGGTGTCAGAGTCGTCTACTCGCCCAAGGAGGCCTCGATCCTCGCCAACGAGATGATCGGACACAAGCTCATCACAAAGCAGACTGGCGAGAAGGGCCGCATCTGTAACTCGGTCTACATTGTCGAGCGTAAGTTCGCCCGCCGCGAGTTCTACCTCGCCGTTCTCATGGACAGAGCCAGCCAAGGCCCCGTTATTGTTGCTTCCTCCCAGGGCGGTATGGACATTGAGGCCGTCGCCAAGGAGAACCCCGATGCCATTATCACCACAAAGGTCGACATCCACCAGGGCGTCACCGACGACATGGCCAAGACCATTGCTACCCAGCTCGGCTTCTCCCCTCAGTGCATCGACGACGCTGCCCTGACCATCCAGAAGCTGTACAAGGTCTTCATGGAGAACGACGCTACCCAGATCGAGATCAACCCCTTGTCCGAGACTTCGGACCACCAGGTCCTCTGCATGGACGCCAAGCTCAACTTCGACGACAACGCCGACTTCAGACAGAAGAAGGTCTTTGAGTGGCGCGACACCACCCAGGAGGACGCCGACGAGGTCAAGGCTGCCGAGTCTGGCTTGAACTTCATCAAGCTCGACGGTGACATTGGCTGCCTCGTCAACGGTGCCGGTCTTGCCATGGCCACCATGGACATCATCAAGCTCAACGGAGGTCAACCCGCCAACTTCCTCGATGTCGGCGGCGGTGCCACTCCCGCTGCCATCAGAAGTGCCTTTGAGCTCATTACTAGCGACCCCAAGGTTACTGCCATCTTTGTCAACATTTTCGGTGGTATCGTTCGTTGCGACGCCATTGCCACTGGTCTCATCCAGGTTGTGCAATCCATGAACCTCAGAATCCCCATCATTGCCCGTCTCCAGGGTACCAACATGGAGGCCGCTCACAAGCTCATCAACGAGAGCGGCATGAAGATTTTCAGCATCGATGACCTCCAGAACGCTGCCGAGAAGGCCGTCCAGTTCTCAAAGGTCGTCAAGATGGGTAAGTTTTGTCCTCTGATTTCCCAGTATTTCAAGCTTCTAACATGGTGTCGACAGCCCGTGACATCGACGTCGGTGTCGAGTTCTCTCTTGGTATCTAAAAGGCAGAGGGTGTGGCTTTGTGATGGGAGGATTGTTCCCTTTCGGCGTTTAATTTGCAGACAGTCAATCACCGTCGATTGTATATACCTAGCGATTGTGGAATCAAGGGACCGTTTCTTTTTCGTTCTTCACAAACACAACAACCTTGGCCTGTCTCGCGCTATAGCCGACATGAAGGATGCGGAGTGCAATCGTACGCGCAGGCCAGGAGTCGGTTACACAATAAATCGTCATGTTCCAGATTTCAACAGGCTACGTGGGTATACTAGAATTGTCTGGCCGTATAGATATAAGTGCTGTGCAAATCTCGCAGCCCGACAAGCAAGCAGGCGGGTAAATGTTCTGCCACGATTATTCTACGGAAAAGCGTGGTCGGGAGTCGGAAAGCTGACTGACAGGAGGCCGTGTAAGACTGCCGAAGCAGCCGATGCAGTGCCGAACAAGACATCCGTCTTCTCCCCGCGAACAGTCCCCAGGTTCAAGTAGCTACCTTTGCCTTCCCGCAAACATGGCTATACCTCTTCCTGCTTCCCTTTGCTTCGCTGCATCTCTGGTCCTCGCAAACTACGGTTGATCCGCCACATACTCCAATCGCCATGGCTAGCTTCATCCAAAAAGGCGCCAAAAATATTCTGTCCAAGCAGCCCAATGACGTTGTCATTCTCTCAGCACTACGAACCCCTGTCACTCGTGCAAAGAAGGGAGGTTTCAAGGACGCCTACGACCATGAGTTGCTCGCACACGTCCTCAAGGCCACTCTTGACGCCAACCCCAACCTGGACCCCGCCAAGATCCAGGATATCCAAATAGGCAATGTCCTCTCCGAACTCGGTGGCAGCAAGGCCGGCAGGATGGCTTCGCTACACGTAGGATACCCAGACACATCCTCGTTCCAGACCGTCAACAGAGCATGTTCCAGTGGTCTCGCAGCCATCACAGGCATTGCTCATTCGATCGCTGTCGGCAGCATTGACATCGGTGTTGGCGGCGGTATGGAGAGCATGACTAGGAATTACGGCAGCCGAGCCATTCCTACCCAGCTGTGGGACGACCTCAAGAACTCGCCTGTCCAGGACGCCCAGGACTGCATCATGTCCATGGGCCTCACAGCTGAGAACGTTGCCGAAAGATATGGTGTCTCAAGAGCAGACCAGGATGCCTTTGCCGCCAACTCACACCAAAAGGCTGCCAAAGCTCAAAGAGATGGACTGTTCGACAAGGAGATTGTTCCAGTCAAGACAAGATACCACCCCAACCCAGAGACTCCCGAGGTCACCGAAGAGATCACCGTGACCAAAGACGACGGAATCCGACCAAAGAGTACACCAGAGAGTCTTCAAGCAATGAAGCCTGCTTTCAAGTCTGATGGCAGATCTACAGCCGGAAACAGCAGTCAAGTCTCTGATGGCGCAGCTGCTACATTGATGATGAGAAGAAGCACAGCCACACAACTTGGTCTTGAAAAGAACATCATTGGTAAATGGGTGGCTACTCAGGTAGTCGGTTGCAAGCCCGACGAGATGGGTATCGGTCCTGCCATCGCTATTCCCAAGCTGCTCGAATATACTGGAATTTCCACATCAGAGGTCGGCATCTGGGAGATTAACGAAGCATTCGCCAGTCAGGCCATCCATTGCATTCGAACCCTTGGCATCTCAGAGGACAAGGTGAATCCCAAGGGTGGTGCTATTGCTCTTGGTCATCCCTTGGGTGCCACTGGCGCCAGACAGCTTGCCACACTATTGCCCGAATTGGAAAGACAAGGTCAAGAGATTGGCATAGTATCCATGTGTATTGGAACTGGAATGGGCGCGGCAAGTCTTTTTTCCCGTGAGTAGGATGGCAGGTGAGAGAGAGTAAAAGAGGGAGAAACATGATCGAGAGGAAAAATTTATAGATATGCTATTTCAGGGCAGAAATAGTCTCATGAATTCACCCTCCATCGAACTCCTGTGTCATACCACTCGTGCGAAGAGCAGCGAACGAAGAGTAGTGAGAGCGAGTGACGACGGGGTGGACTATGGGTAGGGCGAGGCTCACTGGCTATTCAAAATGGCTGATCAGCTGTCGCGCCCTCACTAACCAGAAAATTGTTCACTCCTGCAGCCACTTTCAGCAGCATCTACCTTTCGTCACATTATATAAGTCGTCATCCTGCTCTCGACCATCATTCTCACCTTCATCCAACACCCAACTTCACGTTAAGACAAGTTTGATTAGCACCCACCCACTCAAGATGGCCAAAAAGAGCAGACAAGTCTGTTTGTATATATCTAGATGCCTATGAGCATAGCTGACTAGTCGTTGTAGGAGCTGGAGAAGGAAGTCACAGCCCTCGCAAAGCGATTGAAGACTATTGAAGAGGAAAAGAAGATCGGAGCCGAGTCGAAGCCCAACCTCAACGTCAACCTCGAATCCAAACCTGATCCTCAACCCGAATCCGCACCCACCACAACATCCAAGGAGGATCTCGTTACTCCGGAAACTCTCGAGGTAACAACTTGCTCGAATGTGGTCGGGATGTGATGTCTGACACAAACAGGAGTACAAGCAAGTTCTGTTGGCGCTAGAGAAAAGTAAGCAGCTCGGCAAAGACCTCGACACTACGTTGGAGATCCTGAACAAGTTCGAAAAGCTGGAAGCAGAGCTCATCTCGAATCGTGACAGGTTCGAGGTCTCTCACCTGAGACTCGCGATCGTCGCTCTGAGAGCAAAGTTTGAGAGACTGTTCGCTACAGTTCTCGCCCATGCTACCGGCAAGGACGAGTTGATCAACGACGCAAGCTGAACCTGAGCCTCAAGTCGTAGGTAGGTCAATCAGACGGGTTGATAACACAGTCCTGGCAAACAGTCGAATCTGATCAAGCATGGAAAGAATCAGATCAAGAGTGGACGGCTTGATAGCATTAGGTCAAGTCAGAACGAGAGAAACCAAGCAGACTTGATAACTCACGCGAACGGCCCTGAACAAGTGACATGATCGGGATTGATGATCTCCCAAAGCTCATGGACAGTAAGAGAATTTGTTAAAGTCCTCGATGATCAACCCAAACCATCGAATGAGACTCGACTAACTCTGGTTGCTCCACAAATCCTAACAATGCTCAAATCGACCTGATTGACTCTTGACTCTAATACCTCGCCCTCTTCCCCTTCCTCTCATACATTATCCTCAGGTCCGTCTAGTTTCTACATCCGGATCTGCGCGGAGCTCTGATGACCCATGCTCGCTCGAGATGCTCATCCAGAGCATTGAATATCAAGTCTGTTCTTGTATAGACGTGTCTATTCATCGTAACAGAGTGAAACTTCTACATACCAGCATGTAGAGACACCCGAGATCATTGGACGATTCCCAAGATGTGTCCTTCCAACATTCTGTATAGTCATGCCGGTAACATGTCGTCCAAAATTCACGCATGAGGCGGTCAGTAAGTATTAATAGGGCAGTAGAGCCCGTTAAAGGACTATCTCAATACAGATATAGTCAAGTCTTTTCGGATATCCACGCACGTTGAAGAATCAGATTGACAGAGTTTGTCTGTATTCCTGAATTGTCAACGCCAGCCATTGAAAGCCTAGACGTAGAATCATTCGCATTGCTTGCGTAGTCAAGAAAAGGTACAAGAAGAGGACAAAAGGCAAAGATGGAAAAGATAACATCAGGTCTGGTATACATGCTGCATGAGCCACATATAGGCATTGCAATCTGCTCCTGGCCCCCATCTGAGCCTTAAGAATGCATCGTGCCTGCTTCTTTCTCCTGTCTGAGAAATGCGTCAGATTCATGATTGTTGATCATGGTTGTTGTCGTTGTCTTGGTCGCTAGATGCCATGATGGCTCGGAGCCGATCCCAGTCGATAATAACATCTTCCTTGTTTACAACCAACACGTCTTCGGCGTCGATCTCAGCAGTAGACGTGACCGGTTCGACAGGGACTGGGTCGACAGGGACATCACTGCGATTGGACATGTCCTTGTGTGCCAAGAGGTTTTGGATCTCGTCAATCGCCTTCTATCGAGGAGTCAGTAAGTGCGACATGATTCGATGTTGACATGGCTGACCTCAAACCCCTTCCAGTCCACCTTCTCCCACGCCTTGACGGAATTTGCAGAGTCGTCGATAGTGCAGAGGATCTCCATCGCCAGGTTCTTTCTTGCATTCTTGATATCTGTTTCGGTAGAGCTCACGCCACGGTTAGCACGGTTACCGTCAACGGTTGTTTTGTGAACCTGCTTGATGGCCAAGCCGCTGCACCAGTGTGTCCCTTCAATGTCTAAAGTTTTCCATAGCCAAACCTGACGTGACTTTGGGATCCTGCATGTGCGCATGATCCAGTTCCATGCAGACCATTCTTCCCTCATCTTCAAGGACCTGACCAAGCACGATGACGCGGTGAATAGCATACAGTTTGACACACTTGCTGTCGGCTAAGACCAGCGACAGTTTCATGATCTCCATAACCATGACGCCTCTGTAATAGCGTTCGTTTAGCAGTCGAATCTCCCTCGGACCCAGAAGAGCGGTAGCCATAAGTGCGACAAGTTTCGGGTGAGCTCAAAAAGGAACCGGTCTGTGGAGTTTGTGGTGTAGATATAAAGTCAGAAATGGGTAGAGGTAATAGTGATAGCCGTGATGTATGATGCAGAAGAGTTGGAGAGGATAGACGATCGTAGAAGGGCGCAAAGAAATATTTGTAAAGTGAAGTTTTTAGTCAAATCTTTGGAGTGAACGGACATAGGTGAGAACAAGGGGTTTTGTAGAGGGTACCAGTCGTCAGTCAATCTTTCACTTATTAGTGAATGATGAACTTTTAGATTGGTGCATTTAGAATCACCCAAAATCAGAGTCAAATCTCATGTGTTCCTCCTTCCCTCTTTTCCCCTGCAGCCATGCTGGCATTACGTGGGCTGCAAACTTGCACAAAGTACTCCGGGATCAAAGCAGCGTCCAATGAGAGCCAAATAAAGTTCTGCTCTCACTGGACCCATCTCTAGGCCGAAGGGAACTGTGCATTATGATAGCCATATGTCCAGAACCCCAACTCGGGAAGAGCGAGGTTCGTAGATTGAACACTCGTTGGCCCATTCTCGGGACACCTCGCGGCTGGATAGCGCACGAGGTGGCTATGTAGCCTTACCGCGAGACTCTTTCTCCTTGCGCAAGAACTCGGCTTGCTCAACTTGACTCTTGCTCAGATCGACGAAGAAGAAAATGAATAAAAAGCTGACCAAACTGAGGGCAAGCAAAAAATAGAAGGGCGTGCTGTTATTGTGCGAAGGGCTCGCATCAATAATCGCTGACGAGACAAGAGGACTAGGGTATCGAAGTTAGCATGATCTCAGACGAGGCATAGATTGAATGACCAGGAGCTGCTGCCCATGGCATATATTTTAAGATCAAAACTTACCCAATAAAGGCTGATGTCTTTCCGACCATTGAGAACAGACTGAAGAACAGGTATTCTTTCCCTCTTGGGCAGACCTCGCTAATCATGACTGTTGGTCCGTTAGCAAATACCAGCAACACGATTTGACCAGGGTCTTCTTGCCTAATGAGTATGAGTACCAAGGGCACACAAAGAGGCCGTAGAAAACCTGGTAGAACCAAAACTCAATTTTGACCTTCTTCGAATTAGTTTATAGCATGGAAGAACGGTCATCGTTGCTCGAACCTTATATCCGACTTTCTGTCATGGGTTAGTCGATAGAATGGAAGAACGATTATCGTTACACGTCTTACCTGTGAGAAAATGCCTATGATACCCCAAGCCGCTAGGCAAATTATACCAATGGCAACAACATTGAACATTGTCTTTGTAGATAGCCCATAGCGCTTTTGTACATACCCTAAGATGATCAGCATAGTTTCACTGGAAGACAAATCCAGCTGAACTTACAAAATGCACCAATTCCCACCGCTTGAGCAGCAATACCGACCAGAAGAAGATATGTTAGCTCGAGAGTGTTGTAAGTCACCACAGCATTCTGCAGAGTGCCAATCACCGTCACGATTGTGTTGAGTGAGTCTCCTAGCAAGAAGTATCCAATGAGGTAGCAGAAAGATTGTCGGAGTTGCCAGATCTGCGTGACGGCGTACCAAAGTTGTGAAACACCAGCAACCAAGATCGACCCATGCACTTGCATGCCAGGTCGTTTCTTTTCCATGAAAAACCAGGGAACCGAGAGGAGCAGCCATACACCACTGCTGAAGGCAATGAGGACAGATAATCCATAGTTGTTGTTCGCGGTGCTTTCGTCTACACGCATTGCGAACATGATGCCAACAATTATAGCCTATATCTTGGTCAGCCATGAGCCGGAACTACATTTTCCAATATGTCTTACCAGAATGATCATTTCGCCACAGGATTGGACGTAGAAGGCGACCTAGCATCGTCAGCATACTCTGAACCATGGTGACCACGACTATGCCCTAGTTGGCACTCGATCTTGATGGGTATGTGGATTTCCTGTATGAGAGACTCTTGCCAAGAGATACAGTGGACTGTGTCAATCTCCCTCAAAGAGGACATACAAGAGAAGGCTTCTGGAAACACTATAGTAATTGCGGCTTGGACTTACATTGCTCAGCTCGTTCCTCTTCATGCTGTCGAAATGATCGTACTGTTCGCGTGTTATAGTACCATCTGCACAATCCCGTGCCTTTTCTCGAATTTCTCTCGTGTTTCTGGCCAGTCCTGGAAACGCAGCACTCCAAAAAGACAAGGTGAGTTCTAAGAACGGATAGTCAATTAAGTGTTCATCATTTACGAGCCAAGACTTGTCTCTTGAGACTTACGATATCCAATGAGGCCTACGATGTAGAGGCCGGTTCCAATTTGCCACTGAGATGGGTCGTGAACCCCTAGCCATCCAAAGCCAATTGCATATGCAACAATCGAAAGTCCGATTAGAATCTTGGAGCGAAGAGTGCCAAAGTCTGCGTAGGATCCCAAAATCAAGAACAGAACAACCTGTATGGCGAAGGATATGCCATTGCTTAGCAGGACAATTGAGTTGATGGAGCGGTCGGACCCTAGGAAGTGCAAGATCTCGCTATCTCCAGCTTGCTGGTATAGGAGATTCTGGAAGGCAGTCGGCCCGAAGTTAAACAAGGACAATCCGTTAGCTGTAGCCTCTGTTAGTTGATGGAGTCAATGGTGTTGGCAAACACTCTTACCTCCAACGTAGTATAGGTACCAAGACCTGAGTTGTTAGCCTAGATTTCCACTTCATTGAACATGCGAATCACCAAATTTCCCAGCGCGAGGTCTCAAAGCGTTCGTCTAATTGATCGGGCGCAACTGGACATTCGGCACCTTCAAGGTCGAACGATCCGTGGACTGCTCCTTTTATGGGCTCGTTCGCTTCTGCGCCCAGCTGTGCGAGGCCGGGGTCGTTAGAGGCCATGGCTACGAAGTTTGATTGAACAGTTATGGTCGAAGATGACGGCAGGGTTGTGTTGGATCAGAAGAGCAGATGCATATACAAAAATACTTGTCGATTGGATTTGCAATCGGAGGCAAAATTCAGAATATGGTACTTATCAAATTGCTATGCCTTTGCTCTGCGGGAAGCAACGAGCCAATCTACTCAGTGAAAAATCACAACGATCCCGCACACTAGTAAGGTTCAAGGCCCCAGGGGGCTAGACGGCACTTCAGACCCGGAGAGAGAAGGACGAAGATTCAGCTTGCCGTCAGTGGTCTCAGGTATCGAGACTTGCGCATCGGGTTCATCCAAGCAGAGACTGACAGCTCTGACGTCTTCGGGAGATGTAGAGTTATTTGATCTGGTTGTTCTCAAGAAAAGCTTCGATAAGCATATTCGGTGCCTTGACTCTTGGGTAACTTCTTGGTGCATGGACAAGCGGCGGCCTAGTAGTGGGCGTCTCTACTGGTCGAGCGGATTGGGTTCGGAGGTACCCTACGAACGACTTCCCTGCACGTCACCTACCCATCTACCTCTGTTGCAAGAGCTGTCATGTCCCTCTCTGTTATCGAGTGTATGCCGGACGTTGGAACGTTGGAGAGAGTATCGGAAGTTGGATGCCAAGCCAGTTGGAATGTTACTCGGTTTCCCTGGCATTTGTTTCCAACGGCCACCCAACCTCCCTCCCAGCCACCGATATACCAGCCATCTTTGTGCCAACCAACATATTAAAAGCAGGCATCAGCAGGCTAGCATGTAGACCCACTTGCTCATACACCGCATCAAGCTAAGTTTTCACCTCGAGTCTCTTACCTGCCTCTTCCTTCTCCATCGTCTTCTGCACGACCAACCCACACCCAAGACCACCACTCTTCACACTTCCATCACATCCTCTACCACAACCTTTCAAAGAGCAACAATGCGTTCGGTTGCACTTGCTCTTGCGTGTCTTGCCACTGGCATTCATGCTCTCCCCAGACCCGCCGTGAGCTATGCGGTAGTCAACGTGGATGGCGGTTCTGCGCCCACGAGCTCTGCGGCAGCACAAACGACAGTGGTCTCTACTGTTGTCGAGTCAGAAGTGCCTACCACCGTCTCACAGATTGTGTACAAGACTGTGACCGATTCGTCAGCTACAGCGACTACTGTGTCTGTCAAGACGGTGACAGAAACACCGAGCGAAACTCCTACACCATCAAGCCTCCAACCCGCTGCTCCCTCGACATCAGCACAGGCTTCAGAGATTTCTTCAGCACCATCATCGTCATCATCTCCATCGGCATTGCCATCACCGTCGCCAACCTCATCGCCAAAAAGCAGCACCTCGCTCGCGTCGACATCGTCATTGCCTAGATCATCTGGCGCCACGATCTCGACAAACACACCACTGCCATCTTCTGCATCTCAGGCTGTCAAGAGCAGTTCAACTACAAACACTGCGTCCTCAACGCAAAGAAGCAGCAGTAGCAGCACAACACCAACAGCATCCGTGTCAATCAACTCGATTGTATACGAAGTGACTGGTGGAGCACTCACAACAGACTATGTAACAGTCACACTCTCTGGCAGTGCTCAAGCCACGAGCTCGTCAACCAGCTCGACATCATCCTCATCGTCTGACTTGGCAGCGTCGACGGTGGTTGTGGTGCAGACACAGACTGTGGTACCCGCCGCAGCAACCAACTCGGCGTCGTACTATGATAACGGAATGTGGCACACGTCGTATGTAATCAAGAACTTCCCCACACTTGCTCCTAGTGCTGCAGGCCACCACTGGAACAGCACGTCACACTAAGCTTGGTCTTGTAGCGGCAGTGTTCGACAAGGAAGATGCGGGTGAATAGGATGGTGGAGGATAAAAGCCGACGGTTGCTGGCAACCGTACGGTAACGACAGACATATGATAGTGTAGAATAATAATACATAGTAATGATACGGACAAAGTCGAATCCAAACTTCTCATCGTGCCAGACCATAATATGAAATTATCGGTGACCGACTGCAATGGAGCCGGTCACATTGTGGAGGAGTGGCTGAGCAGTACAGTCCCTTCTCGTTATAGCAATCATCCGTACAACGATAGTCTCGATTGAGCGATTATTTTCAACACCTGAGCCAACTTACCATACAATTATCGCTATTTCTCACCTTCTCGATATATCGCCTACTTCTGAGCCAGTTATCGCTATATCGAACACGCCATGGCACCTCCGGAGCCTCGCCGCCGGCGCGCTATAACGACTGAGCAGAGAATATCGCTTCGTCGCTACGCACAACAACACCGCGCGCTCAATCAGCAACAGCTAGCTAGCTGGTTCGAGCAGCAATTCGGCCATCGACCCTCTCAAGGTACTATCTCTGAGAGCCTCTCAGAACG